TTAATCTATTTAACGGATTTAAAAGCAAAATAATAATATTCTTAACGATAGTTAATATTTATTTAAATAAAGTATTTTTATATAGTTTATAAAATATCGCCGAGTTCTTTTTAAATTATTTTAAACTTTTAATAAATATAAAAATAGGATAAGGCCGTATAGATCTAAAGAATATTTAAAAAATCGTTTAAAAATAAGGGAATCAATTACGATTAGTTAACAATACTTTTTTAAAAATCTAAAAAATAAAAGAATAAATTATAATATATAAATTATTTTATTTACTATATTAAACGTAACGATTATTTTTTTTAAAGAGGTATATATAATTAAAAGTCGGTATATTATTAGCGGGGGTTTTACTTTTTTAATAGTCTTTATATTTAATTTAAATATAGTATATATAAGGCTAGTTAGATTTATTATAAGCGGGCTTAGGGCCGGGGTTAAGGATTTCCTTAGGATTAGGGTCTATATATTACGATCGGCTAGTCGTAATAAAGTTTGTGTTAATAGAAGTCAAGGCTACGATATTCGTAAATAATAATCGTCGTAAGAATAGCTTTAAAAAGGCTATTATTTATAAATTATAAAATAAATAAAACTTTAATAATTAATCGTAATCTTATTAAATAAGTTTTTAATAAAAATAATTAAAAGTAATTATAAGATTTAATACGAAGTTAATTATTAAAAAAGCTATAAAAGTCTATTTTTAAACCTAGCTCGGGCTATTTTATATATAAATTTTAATTATAAATATATTTTTTATAATATTTTATTTATTATTATCCGATTATTTATTAAATAGTCGTTTATTTTATATTTTTATAATTATTTATTTTATTTATTAATAAGCGTTTGTTTTTTATTTTATTATATAATCATAGTTATATAACTTATTTATAATTCTTTTATTTTAAAAGGGGCCGTTTAAGTTTTTATTATTATATATATAATATAGTAGCCGCCGTAGGTCTTGTGGGGTAGGGCCCTAGTTTGGAAATGCGTGTTGGGTCGTAATACTATATTATTAAAGTTATTTAAGCTATTCTACTTTTTTTTATTAGTATTACTGCGGACCTTTTTTTATTTAGACTCTTTTTTATCCTAATGCTTATTTTAATTATTATTATTTATTTTATTTTTATTATTTTTTTGGTTAATAATCTCGTTTTTATTATTATTATTAATATTACGTATTTTTTTATTATCCTAGTATTTATTAGATTTATAATTATTATGTTTTTTTTTAAACGTCGGCTTTTTATTATTAATTCGGTTAAGGGACTTAAACGAATTATAAAGGAAAAAGAGGCTACGTCTTAAAAAGCCTTTATTTTTTATATTAAATTTTTTTTAAAGTCGTTATTACGATTATAATAAAATATAATAATGTTAAAAGCAAAAAGTTAAGGAATTTATTAAAAATTATTATAAAAAAAGGAATTAATTAATTAATAAACGAGGCTAAGGATATTATTATGAAAAGTTAATAAAAAACGTTAATAAAGTAAAAGTTTAGAAAAAAAAAGGCTATAAAATAAAAATATTTATAGAAAAAGGATTATTTAAAAATATAAAATAAAAAAGAAATTAGAAATATCCTTATAATAACCGCTTTTAAAAACGGGATTAATAACCTAAATTATTTATATAAGTTATTAAATAATTAAAATATTTAATTATTAAATCCTAGGGGATTAGTTAGTTAGCTAAGAGATTTTCTATTATATTAAAAAGTCTATACGTTAATTAAAAATAATTACTTTAGGTAGGTATAGTTATTATAAAGTCGGTATAGTATAAAACGCTATAGATTATTTAGGCCTCGTTTTAGTTAGAGGGGGCTTTTTTTAACTAGCTTTTCGCTATTTAGTAGCGGAAGGCTAAGATTCAGCTTTTGTTTGATACGAGACTTATTTTTTGAGAGCACTATTTTTATACTTAGTTGACCTGCCTGTTACAACTACCCTCGCCCAACTTTACGTAATAAAAATCGTTTATTAAATAAATATTATATCGTATTAGACGTTATAATAGATATTTTTAACTATAATTTTAATAACGTTGTGTTTTTGATTAATAAGAAATTCTTTATTTTAGATAATATATACTAAACGCCTATGTAGACTTAAAAAAATAATAACTTTTTTTTATATTTAGTTTATAAAAAAGTTCGCGACCGTAAAAAAAAATAATTAATATTTTAATAAGTAATTATAACTATTCTCTTTTTTAATTTTAACCCTCCCGTATTATAAGGCGACTATATAATATAAATAAACCTATTTGAATATTTATGAGTATACTACTCGACAATGCTTAACGATAACTTGGATTAATTGCTGAACGTATATAACCGAGGACGACTTGTTATTCCAAAAATCGATTTTACTCTTATTATATTAACTTTTACGACGATAAAATTATTAAACGTTTTATAAATTAAAGAAGAATTTTATGTTTTCGCTTTTAAAATTAATATTATTATGACGATAGAAAACTGTTCTCATTTAAACTTTTTATTAATAGAATTTATAAATAAAGGTTAGTTAGTATTAATGAAATACGTTAATAAAATAGTCGACGGTATAATTAAAGAAAACGAACGTTAATTAATTTGCTGGCGTTTTTTGATAGACTTAAATGCTAAATTATAAGGCGATGCTTGCACTTTACTTTTAGGATATTATATTTTTATTTATAAATGCGGCGAAGAAACTATATTTTAATAATTTGGGATAATAATGATTTAGGACAATTAGAGACGACGGATATTGCTAAGATTTTTTTTTTACTATGGAGTTTTCTTTATCTTATAAATTAAATTAATATTTATAGCGAGGGCGTTGTAATTTTATGTTAGGGGGATATTGCTACCTAACTGTGGATAGTTAGTGTTAACGTATAGACTATTATAGATATTCGTATTATAAGGGTGTAGACACTTTGCAGAATAGTATTAATAAAGTAAGATCTCCATTACACACAAAAGCGTACCCCAACAATAGGGGTCGCAGAAAAGCTGCTTTTGGAAAGCTGCGCCTGGCACACCCTCCCAAAAACGCATCCCAAAAAAGCAAGGCATTACCAATGCATTATCTAACATATTATACCTAATAAAAAGACCTATAGATAGGGCCTCTTAATTTTAAGTTTACTCAGCAGGGCATCTGCCTACTTCTGTACTTAAAATTGGCGCTTTGCTTTGCCCAATCACATAAAAGCACGACGAAGCAATAGCAACCTACGATCCCTTGGCGAGACAGATCGGGAAATAGGGAGAGGGGATGAGAGATATAACGTTCCGTCCTACTCGTCGATCTACAGCTTTTACTGCATAAAGTAGAGGTAACTGCAACGTTTGCTGCTCACTTCTAAGGTTGTCCCTGCCGCAAGCTGCTGTCGCACATGTAAGTCCAGCCGTCGACCTCGGCACCTGAGACAGGCCTCGAAGGGGTGGCCACGGGAAACGATTCAGGCACATCGGCGAGCCGATAGGTTCAGCTGGCGCGGATGGAGGGGGGAGCCCTGGGGAGGAGGGTTCGCACTACAGGGCTCGCCAGAGGGCTTGTCCCGCCTGATCCCGTTCCCCCCTCTCGGACAACTTTCAAGCTCCCACAACCCTCCTAAAAGAGTCCATCTGGTCCGTTTCAGAGGTTGGGAGGGACCGGAGGGTGGTGGTTGGTCAGAGGCTATACTCCCCGGTACGTTCGTGTTGGTTCAGTGGAGTTCAGGTACTATCGATAACACCAGCCACCCCTTGCGTCTCACGATCGCTGCTGCTCGTTGGGCACCTCGGTCTTCTGTCTCAAGGTAGCGACGTTTGCATCGTGCGGAAGAGATCCTGGGCTGAGCTGGTAGGGTAGATTTTGTCCCGGGAGAAGCGAAACTGAGAAAGTTGTGTGAGTGTTTAGATATGCGTTCGCAGTAGGTAGTAATTAGGTAGGCGTCGGAATTGGGACGGGACAGGGGATGTTGGTTCAAGTTGGCGATGCTTCCCCAACCACGCGCAGACCAGCCACCCACCACACGGGCCCTCCCACCATACCTTGGAGCACCATGACGACAGGGCGGCAAGATTGACCGCGCTACCGAAACAACTATCGCAATCTGGCCTGGCGATAGTGACAATCCGGAAGGGAGGTTGGGGCGGGGGCGGGGGACCGGGGGAAGAGAAGCAGCAGCGCACATTGCGCTGCCTGCGCGCGCGAGCCTGCGCGACTGACATTGTCTGTTAGATTGGTGCTGCTACAGACAGGTCAAGTTAAGTGGATAAAGATAGAGAATATTGGAAGCGGGCGCCGTCCAAGCGGCCAGAAAACGGCTGCGCTTGGGACAAATGGGGGAAAGGGGGCTTGGGTTGACAGCTCCTTTGGCAGCTCGGGTGCGACAGGGCGGGTACCTAGTGCAGTGCTACCTACCTGCCTTGAAAGGTATGCGATGATGGTGGCCGGCAAGGACGTACGTGACAGACAGACATGCGCATGCGGACTTGGATGGCGCGGCTGCATGTCCCAAACTGATACCAAGTATCATGTCGTCGTGATATCAAGTGAGGATGGCGGGCTATCAATGCACGTCATGTAAAAGAAAGGCCCATCTCAGTTGCTGCAAATTTGGGTCACGGGAATGTAAAGTACGTCAAAATTGTGTGTGTATGTAAGTTTTTTATATTTGGCCTCTCTGTAATAGGGCGAATAAAGGCTTCAGGATGTCTCGCAGGACGAGATATCAATGAGCTCTCTGGTGGATAAGGTACTCTCGAACGTGAGAAGAGAAACAAAAGAAAACGAGATGCCCAACTCAAAAGCTAGTTCCAAGCTCGAGATCAAGCGCGAGATGAGGCGCTGTATAGCCGCTCTTAAAATGTCCCACAAGAGCCGTTTCCGGGCTCTGACCGTTGGGTACTTGTAAACGCCACATTCGAGCCCCAAGACAAGTGAAAAAAAGGCAACTTCTCCGATCGTCGACCATAACGCCAAAGTCAATTTCAATCACCGCCAGGTGCCGTGAAGCTTGGCCCTGCGGCTACTCCTCCGGCCTCCCTTGAGGCCGACGTCGCCCTGCACCATAAGGCTCTTCCACCGCCGCGACAAGCAGTTCCGGTCTTTGCCCAGGCTGCGCGCACAATCCTGCCATTCCGTCTTGGAGAGCTTCAGCTTCTCCAGCACGAGCTCGACGAGGATCCTATCCTCCTCGGCGCTCCATGGCTCTCCGTCGGCCTCGACCTCCACGTTCGAGCCTTGTGTTTCTTCCATGCTGCTGTGGTTCATGTTTACGCCGTCGCCATTAAGCAGGTGTAACGTGTGGTAGTCGGAACGCTCGAGGCCGAGAGGAATCACCTCTGGTGCGATGCGCGCGCGCTTAGGTGTGGATGGGGCGGACGGGATGGGGTTGGTATTGGAGGCTTCGAACGACTGACGCTGCGACGAAATATCGAGGTCGCTCTCGACGTCCTCATCTGTGAGGAAAGCATCATCGCGACCCGTCTCGTCATCAGCCGCGCGCCGGCGCTTGTTCACGCCTCGTGGCGGCGCGCGCTTTACGATGCGCTTGCGTGGGAGGTGGTCGTTGTTGATGGTGCCATCCTGCTTTGCGCGCGAGCGCAGGCGCAGCTTGAGAGGAGGAGGCGCGTGGGCAAGAGGCGGCGTGGGAAGCTGGGATGGCGTGGGGAGATAGTTCTGCTGCGCCTCGTACGATGGAGTGGTATTGGAGATGTTCTGGTGCTGAGGCGACGAGAGGAGGGCTTGGAGAGAACGGCAGGTGTCGAAGAGCTGGCCGAAGCCGCTGCTAGTTGACAGCGTCGGAGGGCTCGACGGGGGCGATGCGAAGAGAGATGCCTGGAGGCGGGTGAGGGGTGGCTGCGACGGGTCGCATGAGAAGGCGGATGGCATGAGCATCTTGGACGATTTGACCGGGGGTTGGTATGCGCTCGTTGGTTATTGGGTGTTGCGCGATGCGATGACCAGTAGGTGAGGTGTTTGGTATGCGACGGGAAGACTTTTGCGACTGTGCGCGACTATGCGACGGGAGAGAGAGCGAGGAGGGTTGGAATGCGCCGGCGGATTGTAGGGAGCGGGCGAAGGGTCTTAAGGGCGAGGATATTAGAGTGATAATTGTTCGAATATTGAATCACAGGATCGTCTCTTTTCTGCAATGAGGGAGAGGAATGCGGGTGAAGCAATAATGTGTGCGAGAGTGTGGTATGTCGGTGAGGAAGTTCGGGCGGGAGACGGGAGGGTAGAAGGAAGGGAAGTGTAGGTAGTTAGGTTGGCTGGGACCTGGATGGCGGCAGAGTGGCAGGTGGCAGAAGGGACGGCGGAGGACTGCAGGCTCATTGGGGGGGGACTAATAGTCCCTGTGTCTGGCAAGGGCGAAAATGGGCTTTCCTAGTGCGCTGGAGTCAAGAGTGGGCCACCTGACAGGGTCCGTTCACTGGCTGGGGTGGGCACACAAACTGCATGCTGCAAGTAAGGTACCTAAGGTAGCTTGGGCCGTGGTCGCCTGGTGTGGGTATCACAGTGTTTGAAAGCCTGCCAACGTGTGTCCCGATGCGTGCTCTTTCACTGACTAGAGCACCCGAGATACGTATCACTTTTGCCAGGGATTTTAATGGGCGTGGGAGGATGAGGGTCCGAGCTTCATTCAGACCGACCCTTCCGTCATGTCGTCGTCCCTTCCAGTTTCCTCCATGAGGTAACGTACCTATGTAAGGTACTCGGTGGTACATCAGTCATAGCCCTAAAAGACATGATGCACTTTACTGTTCTCTCACAGAACGGGGTAGACAAGGTTGCACCTCATCTGGCATGAGGTGGTCGATGGTGATAATCGGAACCCCCAAAACAGTCTGCAATATGAATTACTTCGCCTCATCAGGACGGCCGGTACGGTCGAGGTAGCCTTCCGTGGTCGAATGGCTGGCCACGCCACGCGAACAAGTATGCCATCTCGACTTCTCCCACACTGTCTCGTAGAACCCATCTTGCGTCTCAATCGCCTCGGGCTGTACCTCGAGTCTGGGACGGCGGCGTTGCTTCTTTTCTTTCATCCATCGCCCTCCCTCCCACACCTCTTTCATCCATCCCTCAGCGACCTGCAGTAGCTCTCCTCTCACGTTCGGGCATCCATACTCGCCGATCTGCAAGGGTCAACTCGGAATAGCAAAGAAACTCACCATCGATCCCCCTTCTTGGCCATCTGGTTTGAGTGACTCTGATCTCTTGTCCCACCTCGTCCCGGCCAAAGGTAATACCGTCGGCTCTTTTGTTGCTCCTTGCTTCTTCCTATTTGTCTTGCCAACCCTACACTTTCTCCATCTCTGGTGTCTCTCCTCCTGTTCATGCAAGGTGCTCGCTGGACTAAGGGACATGACCATTCATCTTTATTGTCTCTGCTTCATCTCGCGCACCCTTTGCCCAATTACAGCCTTTGAACCCAGTAGACATCATACATCTCCCTAGGCTTCTCCGGCCGAGAGCAGAGCTGCAAGACATGCGAGACATCGTCTTCCACGGAATTTGCCTCCTCTATCCTGGCTCACTCCGTCCATGAAATCGATCCACCTCAGCTTGAAATCCCCCTCCTATTGAGAAGCCTGTGAGTATGTAGAGAAAATCTGCTCTTCCGCTTTTGGCTTACTGCATTCGCTCAGACTTTACTGCTAAGGAAACGCGGCTCGCGCCCTCCCTTCTGTCAAACTCCCACACAATGGGACACACGGACGGCCGGCCATCATCTCAGTCTCTGTAGAGTCTAGCTCGAGTCACGGGTTCCGTACTCTTCCACGCTCGAGGCGCCGATTGCTTCTGCCAATGACTGACTTGTAATCGATTCGGCCCTGCAATATTGCCTACTGTTAATCAAGACTCACTCTGCCTCCGCGTCTGTCTAAGGCTTCTACGATTGCTTCAAAGGTTCATCTGCAACATGGAGGCAAAACAGAAGAGAGCAGATGATTGCTTGGGATTATCAGAAGGTCTCTACGCTCGTGCTCCCTCAGCCAGGCTGTGAAGGGAAAACGTACTCCTCATGCCGTGCCACCTACCAATCACCATTGACCATCTCCATTGAGATATGCAGAGGACTGCACAAAGAGATCAAGGCTTGGGGCTTCAGCGGCTCACGTCTGTGCTCCCTCCAGTGGCCTCGGGTTTCGAGCGATCCCTGAGAGCCAGGCTCAACGTCTTTTGCGACACGTTCCGATCGGCCCCCAACGACATCATGATTCTCTAATTCCAGATACCGCCTTCTCCCGGCTTACAAGTCGTAATCAAATCTTGAGAGGCCTACCGAATTCCTCCTGAAGCTTGTTTCGCAGGCATGCTACTCTGTACGGAGTACCTACAAAATGGCCGAACCCTACCTTGTAAGTTGTGGACGAGGTGGCGCATGACTCGATCGTGCTCCTGACCATGGAGGTCGGTTCATTGCTTCCGAAACGCCCGCCTCTCATGTCCCCATCTAACGACCTCATGACCCTCCTTCTCTGTGATGCGAGACCACCGTCGAGGTAGCCACGAGGTATTCAAGAGCGCGTGAGATGGCGGTGTGGTGGTGGTATTCTCAGTGGTGGTGGCATTGTTACGAAGAGCGGCGCGCCACCACGAGGGTTCGACATCCTCTTTCGTGCTCCGCATGCCAGGCGCCCTGGACACAAAGAGGGGCTGTCTTTAATGGCTTGCATCAGAAACGTGGGTATACCCGCTCTATCCTGCCCCGCCTCTTCCAACTTTCGCGATTCCGACAAGGGCGGTCTCTCAGTTTCCCACACTCACTTTGAACTACTGTCAAAAGGCAAAATTGGAAAATGTCAACCATTGGCTTTCTCTAGTCCAAATAGACGGATAACGCCAGGCTCGGAATCGTCAAAGATTGCCCGAACCATCGAATCTTACATAAATCGGCTTCAGCACTTGCAGAAACATGAGAGAGCGCCAGGTCAGAGGTGAAGGGGAACGACCACATGGAACAAAGATGCGGAATCCCGCGATTGCCGCCGTGACTCAACCTCAACCAGCAGAGCATTGCGCCACGAATGACTTTGAGCAACTCCAGAGAGAGGTGGGCGGTGCCCGTTGCGAAACTCTGCGATGCGGTCGGCGCGTCGTCGCGAGCCGCACGCGTCTGACGCGCTTGACACGTCTCCACTGGCGGGGTCGCGTTTAATTGCTTGCAGCTCCCATTGACAAATGAACGAGCTGCTGGGAGCGCATGTCCCACACCATTGGCCAGTCGCCTTCAGACCGTTTCACTCGACACAGTGCGCCGGTTCCCTATCGGTGGGTCCCGGTGGATACGTACCCTCCATATCCAACGTCACCCGTGGACTTTCCCTAAACTTCCGCACACAAATCGTGCATTTCGTCCCGTGGTCCACGTCCGATTCGTGAGAAAGAGTCCACCGTTCTGTTTCGAGAAAGGGCTTCTGGACCCCGACAGTCCTGCGGTATCCTGCGGAGTCATTTCTGGGACTGGAGAGAGAGAGAGAGGTGGGCATTTGTCACAGCTTGGGGATTGCCGCCCCCTTCCCCATTCGTCCCGTCCATGTTGTGCGCAAATTCTGCCCTCTCGTGGATCCTACCCGTTTTCCCGTGCTCTCCCGAGTCCCATCCCAGGTCACTATGGTAACTATCTTGCGCCTCCAGGCGTCCAGCCAATCTCTTTCGTTGCGCAAAAGTCGACGGCGAAAGTCGTCCTGGCAACGATCGGTCGCGGGACACGTCCAACTCCAGGCTATCCACAACCTGTCCATCATCGGATATGTCTCCCGCCCGCCCCCGCGTCGCAAAGCTTTGACCGCGGGTGTAAGCGACCATTTTCCAAGTGCCGACTTTTCTGCAATCTGAGTTGACATGCTCAACCCGCTGCTTGACTCGGGAAGATCTCGTAGCCACTTTCAACCATCGGTCTCAAGTGCAAATGATCCAACAGCAAGTCCCCGATGCTTGCGCAATTCAGATATCATACATTCTCACCGCACTTTCGATTGCAATTTGAAATACATTTGCGCGTGCCCATGTTCAGTCTCCGCAACTGCAGTCATAGAAGAACAGGTCAGCATCCGAGAAATTTCGAACCTCAGTGCGACGGATTCACCACCACGAAAGAAGACTTGCTCGAGGTTGCAAGGTGAAGAAGCTCAATCACTCAGTGCAAATTCTTTCCCCTCAGGGTTCTCATTTTGCTATCATGTTGCTTTCTCTGAATTGTACCGGTTAGGCGTCCACTTCAACTGTCCTCTTTTGCATGAGACGTGACTTTTGACAACACAATTCTGATCCTCCCCCGACGTACCACTCAACTCAAGGTCATTGAGTTCAAGCTTCTCTAGTACACAAACTTCAGTGTGCGGTGTCATTCGACCACTGCCTCACTCAAGTCACGGTGTCAAAGCCTGCTCGCAAAACCCTGCCGGCGAGTCGCAAGTGGTTAACGACTTCTCGTGATCGTATCAGTGTAATACGCCGGCTCTGCTGCACCAGGCAACAACTTATAGGCTCTACAGGCTCTCCCTTGGTATGCAGCACTGGTCCTTCACCGTCCTAAACACTTCTGATAGATATTGGTATCTTATAACAGTCATTCATCTACCTCCATCTCCATCAAGCTTACACATAATAGAAGGAAGTCGTAATTTGCCCCCCCTTACGCCTTACCTAGTGGGGATAAAATGCTACGGCAATGAAGTCCCTGTCTTATGCAATATTCACGCCAAGTAGTATCTACACAAGTTGTCAGCTCAACCTCTTGATTTCCACGCCTAATATTATTGACCTTTCTACCTGCATATTTCGATCAAGGCGAAAAGTTTGCCGTCTCGTCTATTATTCAAGCATGCTCACTTTGCCACTCTCAAGGCTAAGACCTGATATCGTTCTCCCTAACTATGACAAAAGCACTCCCGGGTATGCCATGCCTGTCCCAGACCTTTTGCTCATCGTTCATCCATCGACTGCGTACATTGCTCGATTTACAATTTGAAAGTGGGTCCCTAGTACGTGCCACATGCGTCCGTTTCAATACAGCAAAGGAACGCATTTGCCCTTCCGATGAAGGCCTGCATCTCCGAGGCTGGAAGCAGTGCTCAATTGTTTCCAGAGTCTCAAACCCTGCATGTAATCGTCACCGCAGTCCTTCTCACGCTTGACTTCCTTCAATCCATATTCCATCCCAGGTTTCCAAGGTTTCGTAATGGCTGTTGATCTCTCTTCTGGGCGACGGGAAATATGGCGAGTTGAAGTCGTGTCTTATACTGATTAATATGTATCGTTTCTCATGATCATATTTTGCAGAACCCCACATTCTTCTACTACATTTTATTTCTCATATTCAACGATCTTTGGCCCCAAACAAGGCTCAGCTTATCCGATTCTATATTCACATGACGAGATGGTTTCTCTCTGATCAAGTTGTACCCGCAAGTAGGCGAAGCTTTCAGTGCTGAACGGTAGTCCCTTAATTCACCGCTCAAAACTAATAATTGGCCACTCATAAGGCCTGAAGGCATGGTCAGACCTCAATTCCTTCGACTTCCTCTTTACATACCGAGAGCATCATCCATCTCCAGTTGTCCACAATCACCATTTGCCTGGGATTCTCTATGAATGTCCTGCCACATTTAAGCCCCAGAACATGTAAATTTCCTTCTAACTGATTGTCAAACACACCACGAGAGCCTGTCTAATCGGTCTAAGCGAGATGAAATATCAACATCTTCCGCCTCCACTCATCCAATGTAGTTGTAATCAGAGCTTATACATGAGACGAGAGCTCACCACCCTTTGCTGGAAAGCATCTCAACCGCTTTGCATCAAGGTTTCTTGTGGACAGTAAGTCACATCTCTCTCTTTCAAATTGGCGAGAACCCCTTATGTGTACACAATGTTAACCCTTTGATGTTAGGACGTAAATACGAGGGAGGTGCTCGCTTTTTGTTCAGCATGACAGCCACTTGATTGAGGCTCGGAGTCTCTACCACAGAACGGATAATCCACCCTTTGTCCATGTTGCACCCACCCTCCGTATGATGTGGTTCTCTCTATGACGGGAGCACACCCCTTTTCACGTACTAGCCCTCTTCACATCAAGAGTCTGAGATGGGAGCTATCCCCTTCCCTCCTCCTCAGTCTCTTAACATAGACAGTAGACATGAATGGTAGAAGCTCTCCCCTTTTCTTACAACTGCTCTTTCGATGCCCAAAGTCTCCATGAAGGGCGAGTGATCGCCCCTTTTCTCACAATCTCCCTCCTTGTGATGCGTGCTTCCTCACGAGGCGGGCGCTCACCCCATCCCACCCGCCCTGTAGATATTGAGGGTCTCTTTGGAGGGCAGAGCCTCACCCTTCTCAAGCTGCTCCCGTCCTCCTTGTGGTTAGGGCTTCTTCATGAGGCGGGAGCTCACACCTTTCCCTGTACCCGCCCTTTTGATATTGAGGGTTTCCATGGAGGGCGGGAGCTCAGGACTTTTGTTGCCTCCTCCCCTCCCCTTCGGTTTGACTTGATTCTCTTTCTTCCCTCGACAGCTCGAGTTTTTGTTTCTTACCTCCACACCTCCAGCTCTTCCTTGCAGCTCGACCATCAATATTCGCTACACCTTCAACTCGACAAGCTTACTCCTTATCCATCACAATCAATAGTCATTGAAATCACTAACACCGTCATCCATGGCTAAGGACACTCATTCGCAGTCCATGCCCGTTGGTGGCCAGAATGAGGGCGAAGACGACGTGTTCTGGTCGGCCCCCCACGATGACTGGAAGCCCGCGCCTATTCCAGAGATCGCTTGCGACTCATGCAACAAGCTCCCCGGCGCCCAGGCCGTTCATCAGACCTGCAACAAGTGCGGAATCACTGTCTGCCGCGGCTGCGTTGCTGACGGCAAGATCTCGCGTTTTCCATCCCACGTGCCCCATGAGGTTGGCGATTTCAGCTGGGCGAAGGCCTCATCCTCGAACCAGCCCGCCACGACCTTGGATTCCGCCGGCGGCTCGCTCGCTCGTGGTCTGCCATCTGCTGCCATCCCCATCCTGCGCGGTCCCGCCACCACGCTTGCTGCTTCGTCGACCAAGGGCAATTCTTCTGCCACCAAGAGCTCTTCGAAGAAGGGCGACAAGGCCTTTGGAAAGGACTCCGCCAGTCATCTGACGCAGGTATGCCAGCTTTTCACCCGCACCCCTCCCTCTTACACCCAAAAGCTGATTTCCCCCCCTCCTTCCCTCTCCCATAGACGACCATCGCATTCGACAACAATTCGTTCCTCACTCTCTCTACCCCCACCAAGGTGAAGAATTCTTCTGAAAACGCTCAGATTCCTTCTCCCGCGAAAGGCAAGAAGTCCAGGAAGCCCAGAAAGAAGAACAAGAAGAAGGGCAAGAAGATCTCTCACGGTTCCGATTCCGATTTCGCCGAGATGGATGCTCCTTCGAACAAATCTTCGGACAAGGAGTACGTCCCTCCCGCAGAGATCAGTCGCAAGCGCTCTACCCCTTCCCTTGGTCTCAAGAAGGGTAATAACCAAGTCGACAACGTCGCCACCGACGCCAACATCGCTCCCATCGGTCTGGCTCAATCCCGTCCCGTTCGCGCCGCGGCCATCAACACGTACGAGAAGATGCGTAACGCCAACGTCAAGAAGGAGCCAGAGGCCCTGGATGAGATCATTGTCTCCAATGTCCCGGAGGTGAAGAAGACTCATCCCCCCAAGGAAGACCTTATCGTTCCGACCAATGCTGGTCAGAATGCGCGTCTCGGCCACCGCGATTCGTCTTTCAAGAACATCCAGGTAATGTCAAACCCCTCTCTATACTATGACCGTTCACTCATACATGGTTCCCAGGACTATGGCTATGCCCAGCAGGGTCAGGTTCAGGGCGGCAGCGCCTATCTCTACGCCCCCCAGTACGGCGAGGGCTACCGTCACCGCGGCCTGCCTCAGCTTCACCCCGGTGCCGCCTACAAGGCCAAGACCTCTCACGCTGGCGAGGCTCAAGTCACCCAGTCTCACACTGTCGCCAGCCCTGCGACCGATAACAAGCGTGGTGCGGCTACGGCCGAGCAGGCTCCGGCGTCCAAGCGCCAAAACACCAACAAGATGCCTTCTCCCACATCTAGCATGAGCTCCATGTCCGCTGGCACTGCCGGTGTTCCCGAGAAGGCTCAGGCTCAGGCTCCGCTCAAGCCCGTTGCCCCTGTCAGCACCCCCGAGGAGCGCGCGGTCAGCCGCCTCCTTGTCACCACTAACATTGCCGGCCTCATGAACGCGATCCAGAACAAGGTGAAGCTTCACATTGCCAAAAGTGGTGTCCAGACCCACCAGCAGTATGATCTTGTGCTTCGTGAGGTGATTCACAGTGCGTGGGTCACCAATATTGCCTTGACCCAGATGAAGCGCCAGAACGGGGAGTTGGCTGCGATTCAGCTCCTGCGCGGCTATGCCAACGTTATTACCTCCAACCTCGGCATTGCTGACGGCTCTCTGACGAAGAATTGGCTGGATGGAACTGATTACGACATCCAGTCAAAGACTGCTACTGTCCCCAACAGTGTCCGTATCGATGTAAGTCGTGCAAATCTGAAGATTCTTGGAACTACTGCTAACCTTGAAAAGGAGGTGAAGCCTGTCGCTCAAGATGGCCTCAATTATCCCATCGAGGGTCGTGATGTGCACCTTGCCAATCTCCTGATGTTCATGAAGACTGGCGGCGAGTAACGCGGAGGTACCTACCGCCTGGCACCGAGATGCTCTTACTATTACTTCTACACCAAAAGCTGCATCTCTTCGAGTCGCAATTTTGCTTCCCGGCTTGGTTTTATTATCGGCCTTGGGTTCCGCGTCTTTTGGGTTAGGTTGGGTATTGGGTTTCTCTTGGCTCCGTGCCCCCTCGATCGACCTTTGATTATTTTCTTTTACGTCACGGACCTGACATTCTTCACTTTCGGCTAGCTGAAGACTGGTCCGCGGGTTGACTGTGGTCCGGGTTTGGGTTTTAGGCGATACTCGTCTCTCTCATTGCATTTGGCCAGACTGGCGTTGAAAACGGCGGAAGTTGAGGACAGATCAGGTTGGGATGGCTTCTTCTTCGGCTGAGATACCCCTTTCTTTCTTTTCGATTTGCCTCAGAGGGCTCATAGGGTTGCTTAAGCTAGGTACTCAGGCTCTAGTAGTATGCAGCGATCAAGCATATTCCATCATAAGCATCAGCCTCGCTTGTGTGACGTATAATGCCAGGTTTGACTATGACTCCTTGCTCTGCTGATTGTGAAATGGCGAAGAGAGGTGAAGACGATTCGTAGTGCTGGATCCAAGCATGAGCTCGACTTTTGTTACCCTTGAATATTGCGCTGCCATATGCTGCTTCTGAACATCTCAGACACGGCGGGTAGGCTTCTAGAAGGCACCCAAAACTTCGGGACTACTCGCGAAGTAGCAATAAACTACGGTCACTCAACGACTGGTAACTTAGTATAAGAGAGTCACGAATCATGGTAGATTTGAGCAATCCGACTGCAAAGAAATGACAGATTACGGCTCAAACGCTCCTTCTCACAAGGTCAAGATGAAGATCAGGATGGCAGTTGCAGTCATCCAAATGGGGAAGGAGTCAGGCAAACCCCATCTCTGGCCACCATAACCTCATCGAACTCATTGACACCGCCGGAAAACTCAATAGATACCGATTTGTCTACTCACCACCTCTGAATCCGAGTCAGGAATCATCAAGAATAAGCAAGGAACGCAAGGCCCCTTTAAATATCACAGCGCCTTCCTCTCCCGAAAAATCGACCACTCCCGACCCTCGACTTTCCCTCCGCAGAGAAAGAAGTGAGCGGCAACCCACCCGGCATCACCGCCGAACAATTTCACTCAAGGAACCTTAGTGACAGAGACTCAGGAAACCACAAAATGAACGCCGTACGCAATTTTGTTTTCTCGAGGAAGTATTACATTTTCAGAACCCCCATTTGCGGCCTCGGAAAGTCCGTCTTAGAAGAGTACCTGAATCAAATGTTTCCTCACGGACACATCATAGTCAGATTGGTTCGTGTTCCTACACCTCATTGATAAACGTTCAAGGCTGATCACGAACAGGATAACGACCACTAGGAATGTAGTATCCCGCGACGACTCACATCTGAGGAGGATAAGGGGCTCGAGAATCTCCGCACCGTCAACGGCCCTGCAGAGCAGCAGGAGAAAGGAGGCGCAGTCCACGTCAACGAGAATGGCGACGCGGAATTGATGGAGCAGCAAGCAAAAGAACAAGAATATCTCTCTTGAAGTCTATACATAAATGAAGCGAACACATGACTTCGTCGTATCATAACATGAGGTGAGGCTTACGCCGATGCTCTAGTAGCTGAATCCAGATTCCCACCAATGCTGTCCAACATGCCAGTGTCCAATGGCTTCCATGTCAGGCTTCCACCACGATGTCTCTCCGCGTCCGAAGCCGAGGGCCCGCACGACCGAAACGGGGACGGGCTCCATGAGCCAGAGGCCGCTTTGAGCAAAGTCGTCCGCCAGCGGCCGGACAGTAATGTGCAGCCACGCGAACACAAAAATGAGATTCCCAGCTCTCCTAAGCGCGCGAGGCATCTTCGTAATCTGAGGCTTCATGGCTGTACAGAATGCTTGTTGAGTGAGAACTCCCAGCGCCGACAGCCAGAAGAAGAGCGCCGGCTTCCACCACGTGGTCTCGGGAATCGCGCTGACGCTTCCGGCACTATGGAGTAGACCCGAGAGAAGGAAGGCAGTCGACATGCCGATTACCTTTGTGCTGCGCGTCCCCTTTTTGAGATAACCACGGTTCACGGCCCAGCTGACCGGCGCAGAGAACGTATGTCGGAAGGTCTGGTGCCACCAAGCCCCCCAGAAACCAGCTAGGCCTCTGTCCAGGATTTGTGTGAAGGAACCGAATACTGTTGAGTACTGCCACAGCTCACCCCGCATGGGGAAGACTTTGCTGAACACGTAGTACTGGAATAAGTCATGGACAGCGAAGACCATGATAAGCGAGGTATAGAGAACGCCCAGTACGGCGGCATGCCGCCACACGGATAGGGCCCATGGTGGGAGAGCCGCGAGGTGGTCAGGAAGGGGCAACGAGCTAGGTCCGAGTGAAAAATAGGGGTCTTCCATGATGGCAACCTTGAAGATGTCGAGGATCACATACAATGATGCGATAGGGATGATCTTCCGTCGCAAGAATTCTTTCTCGTCTTTGTAGGTCTGGCATCCTACGAATGTTTCTAGCGGGATAGTGTCCATCTTGACAAGCTCACCCGTACCGGGTTTCTCCGAGGGAGCTGGGCTGGGAACCGAAGAAACAGCCCAAGTCCAACCTATTTCACGTCAGTACGGAGGTTTCTAAAGCATGGGCGAAAAAGCTTGCTTACCGACTCCCCTGAAATTGGTATAGAGATCAATGACCCAGCCCAGTCGCTCTGAGAAGGATCCGTTTTCTGGGAAAGCCTGCCAGTAGTACTCGTACTCGTTGAGGTTTACTTCGGGCGCAGTGACTCGATCGGCTTTTCTCTTCTTGCCGCCGGCTCGCTTCCTGAGTCCGGGTCCGTTTGTTGGGGCTGCGCGATCCGCGGGCGATTTGGATTTGCTGAGAGTCCTTGGAAGAGCTCTCGTCACCTTCCTTCGAACAACTCTCTCGTAGTCGAACTGAGGTGCGGTGAACACCAGCATGGTGAAGTTGGACAGGATTCCCCAAAACGCTGACAGGCCGCTAGTATAAGACACGGACATATTGGTGCTGGAGGTGTCTAGTAAGACGTCGATATTGAAAATGACGATGAAGGCGAGCACTAGCCACCTTGCCCTGTAGAGCCATGGCCTTTTTGTATGCGGAAAGGTCAAGTAAAGAATGGGGACGATGAAACTGGCAAATATGCCGTTCGGGATTACGAAAGGTCGTGCTTCGCCGGCGGCGACTCGAGCTTTGAAGGTGGCACGGTAGCTATCGCGAACGATGGTGGCAAGGAAGGGAGCGCTGATGTTGGCGAGGTTGGGCTTTGTGGCGTTCGCCAAGATTGGTGCGGTGAAGCCTGGAATACCCAGAGTCATGGTGATGTCGGCCGCCATCATGTTCTGGGATTGGATAAATTGCTTCGATTATAGCAGGCGAGGTTGTGTGTCAGGAAATGGGCCCTTGGATTGCCCAAATGGTGGTGGTGAGCTAAGGGAAGTTGATGGAAGGGAGACGGGTTATATAAATTAACCCAGTACCAGTTGCAGCTAGCTGCGAATATCTCTGACCCGAAAACTACACGAAATTACATTAGATACCGCCAGTTCTCCGAGTACCGAAAGGCAACGGGAGCGGGAGCGGAAGTCAGAGCTAGGGTTCTCTGGCTCAAGGGTACAGAAATGAGAAACTCTGGAAACCTCTTCAGAACAACTGATATGCTTCCGACGTCTGGCAACAGGATGTCACAAGATTTGATCCAATGCCCTCGTAGTTTTCGGCGTGCTTGGACCAAGTCGTCAGATCTCTTTTGCAAACCGAACCCGAGTACGGTTATCGTCAGTGGACAGAGCGGGGTGGTTCAAGAGCCCGCAATCGACTTAAAATGGCGCAGGTCAGGCTTCCTAGGAAGGAACGAGGGTTCAAAAGCCTCGGAGCAGCAGAATTGCGATGGCCCGAAGTTATGCGACGTGTGGCGTGTGTGGGTGAGCTGGGTGCCATGGATGAGGGCGAGTGCGTGTGAGTGCGTGCGTGCTCCTCTCGTCCACAGGGCATGGCAAGTCAAGATGTGTTTCGCCCCTTTGGAAACAAAACTGGGATCTCAAATAGGTAGCAGGTGGGAGAATGGGGATGAGATGGCAGTGTAATGCGGGCAAGGATGGATGAAGTATCGGGGTGTAAGATAGTGGGCGAGATATTGGGCAAAGTGGAACAGACGACTGTAATTAAGAGACAAGGGGTTCGGTCTTTCATTCGGTCTCCTTCATTTGAACCTCTCGCATTTTGCATTGGTATTTCCTGTTGGCTTGAATCGAAAAGGTAACCGAGCTTAGTCGAGCTGAGTCGAGTCGCCGCATCTTTTCGTCTGACGTCAATCAAGTCGCCGGTCGATGGAAGAGCCGGAGCCCACTCCTTCCCGTACGCCGCCAGTCGTGTGGCCAGAAAAGGCAAGAGTGTGGAAAGCGCCCCACGCAAGCTTCCCGGTCCGCCACCACCTCTGCACGGCGCCTGCCTCGGGTGATGGGGCTTCCCCTGGAGAACATTGGCTAGGTGAGGTGGCTTCTGGGGACCCTTTATGGCGCACTCGATCGCCCGCCAGCTGGCTGTAGTGGACTGATTCGCTAAAACCTTTTTTTTTCTCTTCTTATTTTAGTATTTTTTTGGCCTGAGCGCTGCCTTGAGGTACCTCGATCTGGCAAATACCTGGGAAACTGCTCGCTCAAAGAAACGGCAGTCCGTACACGAGTACGGAGGGGGGAAGCACTGCCACGTTGTGATCTTGTCTCTTCCATCTATTACCTAGGTATTACCGGACGCTCTTCCCCGGCCACCCTCTCTTAATGATGCCATCATCCTGGTTACCTCGAGCACGTCGATACAAGATGCATTGGTCCGCATGAAAAAACACGAGAACAAAGACGCGGCTCACGATAGCTGAGTATGTCACCTGTAAGTCATAACCTTGCGGCCTTGGAGATTCGGCGGGTAGCAGAGGATCGAAGGGATCTCTCTCGCATGTCTCAATCTGCCGCGCCCGTTTCTATTTCCCCGAATCAGGGACGATGCGACCCTACCTTCCATCTAAATTACCTTCCGGATATCCTTGTGCCTTGAACCAACATACCAAGACATCATGCACTCACGAATCCTCTCCCCGCGGTTTCTGCCCAACTTCTCGCCCCTCGTCTCGTCGACTATCCCATCGCGGTAGAGGTGTCGTCGCCATCTCCGACATGTTCAACTTATTCTTCGCAGTGCGCCTCAACTCCTCCCAAGTATACCCCAGCCACCATCCCGTCGACGTCCAAGTTTGAGGGGACTTGGCGTGCACGGGAGCGCCCACACCCACCAACGGAGTCTCTCGCGAGTTTGATGCCGTCTTGACAACTGTCGGAGCCGTGTGTATCGAAGTCGCGAGTGCCGAGACCGCGGGGCTTGGTGACCTGGCCTTGCTGGACCAAGATTTCTCGGCCGAGTCGAACCTGTCTCGAATATTCCACGCACGAGACAATTGTCCCTTCATTCGAGATACCCATGTCTTCTCCATGGGGGATCCATTGCTTCCGCCACCTACATTGCCACCGCTCGGCCTCCTATCATTCCCTACTGGCCTTACAATAATCAAGGTCGCGATTGTCATGAGGACGCTGGCAACCGCCCACGTGCCGAAGGCTGCTACAGAAAAGTTGTACATCGGAACGGGGCCTTCGGACGTGCTTCGGGTGGCATTTCCGTTTTCGTTCGAAAGGTCCTGAAACTTGACAATATCCGTACCGAGAACGGTCTGCATAAAACATTATTGGTTAAGACAATCCGATCGGCGCATTCGGGTTCTGTCTCTCTTCTAACGTACCGACACAACCGTAACTGGTAATAGGATCAGGGTGATGAATGACAACTGCTTCATCGCAGACGAGTCATCCGCCGTCAACACTGCTATGGTTTTCATCTGCTGCGTCGAGTGATGCGTTTGCAACCGTTGGATCTGGACAGTTCAGTGGTCGCCCCCCTTCATTTAGCACGCTCAGTCGGTACTAACGTATTCTTCTCTGTTCCTTGCGAGTTTGTCCAATGCTGTTGCCCTATCCAACAAGTCCTCGATCTCTGCGATTTTCGATGTTAACTTTTCTGCGAAGCCTTTGATGTGCGTCCGGATCTCATCGGCGTGGGAATCTCTGAGAGGGCCGAGATGCTCGGCCACCTCGTCCACGAAGAACTCTCGGAGACGGCGGAGAACTCGAAGGTTATTCTCAACCTCCATGACACTGCGATGCCGAGTTTCCATCAAAAACGCCATTCTACGGAGGTCCTGGGCGTGTATTGATTCTCTTGCCCTGTCGTCCACCATCTCCTCGTCGTCGTAAGGATACACGTACGGCTCGGTCTGGGTTGTATCTCAGCATAGGTCGACTCTGCTGCGCCCTTCACATGCGGCGAGCCGGACTTACCAAGTCATGTAGCCTCTTCTCTGTGTCTTGCACATGATGCGAAAACATCCCGGTGGACCACTCGGCAGCGGCAAGCAGATTGTCAATACTGATACGGAAACGCTCGGGTACGTCGAGCGCCCGAAGGCCATCCATACAATCCACCATGCCCTCTTTCAAAGTGTTCCAAAGCAGGTTCTGCGTCCCTTTACCCTTTTCCGGATGATATGATCGGGGGCTGGCGAGCAACCACACCGCTGTACCCTCGACGATGTCAAAGTGGACGTACACGGCCGCGGAGTGCGTCTCCCACCGCGGCGTCCGAGCAGGGTCTACGTCTCCGGGTAATGCGTGTAAAGGATACTCACAGATGCGGAACAAAGTGAGGCAGACCTGAATGTGCCTACCGCTGCGACCTAGCACTGCCAGGCTCGGTTGTTGTCCAGGACCCGGTGGGAGAGTAGTCGTACAGCCTTTGAAGCCCGCGAAGCTCATGCTGCTGGCGAAGCTCCAAGAGTCGCCGCCGCTGGTAACGAAGCTTAGGAAGTGAGCCGGGACTTGATGGTAAGTGAGAATCTCCAGCAGGACGTCTTCGCTGAGGTTCAGTAGCAGTGAAGTCGGCCACATGCGCTCTAGCAGGCTGTTCGCTGTCATTAGTGCCCCTCGCTCTGTGCTTGCTCCTTTGGAGTATGACGACTTACACGACTCGTATTGGAGGGTCTCTCTTGAGTTGGCTGGGCCCCAACAGGCCCTGCTTCGGGTCCGGCCATGACAGCTTGTTTCGTAGCCCCTCGATGCCGCGTACAACGTGTAAGTCGGCCTTCTTCCCACTCCTCTTCTCGCTGGCAAAATCATCGTCCAAAAGGCCCGCCGCCGGGGGTTCAGCCATGCCAAAGTCAATGATGATCAACGGGTTATCCCGTTGCCCCGAATCCCCGTCAAATACTTGATGTTTCCTATCGGCATAGTGCTCGGCGCGCGCCTTGCGCGTTGCACGTCGCTCGTCTTGGCAGATGAGGGAGTCTGGGTACTCAGGCGCAGCGGCAAGCTTTTCCAGGAAAAATCTTTCTTGCCCTTCGTTCATGATCTCTTTGGGCGGTGGGGGTCCTCGTCGTAGTTCTTTTTTTTCGATTTGGAAGACTTTCCCGCAAGTGAAACGGTCAGAGTAGAGGATGTAGTGCTTGTTCATATTCATGTGGACTTAAAGACGATCACAAAATAACCTGGAAATTGCTTTGCTTTCATATTTTTTGAGGCGGTGCTCGGGGTGTTCGCCTCGGGGAGACTTGGTGCCGCACTCCATATGACACCGCACATTGCACAAGTGCAACAGCCGCCCGGCAAGGAGAAGCACGGGTTCGGTAGTAGGGGTAGCACTTGCCCGGTATCGCGTCGGATGTCGACGTGTCGAAAAGGATAGGGCGATGTGGGCACAGAGGGGCATGGGAGTAACATGGCACGGGGAGTTTGAGCCAACCGGGCAACCTTTAACGATTACTCGTAGATTCTGCCTCGAGCGGGACACAAGGTTACATCAGGGAAGTTCTTCGATTGGCTCAGGCTTGTGTGTGTGTATGTGTGTGTTCCGAACTGCAGTTTCTTTTTTTAGTTTGTCCATTGTCCTATGTACTTCTTCGCCCGCGCCGCCTTCTTGGAGTCGAGCCGCCCAAGCTCTGCATCGATCCACGACAAGACCGTCATGAAGTTTGCCTGTTTCCTCGCGAGTACCATCCTCACCGCGTCGAGAGCAAGCCTTTGGGGGACCACCATGTTAGCGCGAACGCACTTCGAAGGGGCGTCTACAGTTATCTTGGGGTCCGTATGTAATACATACCACGCGACGTGCGTCTTCTCTATAGCGAAGGCGTAGTCTGGGTACTTCTCCCTCCTAGACTTGCTTGTGAGCAGTCCGAAAGCCACGTCAATCATTTTGTTCAACGTCTCTATGAGAGACGAAAATGGTTAGTCGAAAGGCAAGGCCAGCTTTGAGCAGGAGGGGGGAGGATCTGTCCTCTCGAAAGACACGTACGCATAACGAGTCCGTCACCGGGCCGTTTGCTGGTAGGCAGACAGCGCCAGTAGGCCCACATCTTCTCGGACGTCTCTGCGAACGCCTTGTGAAGGTTCGTCATGACGGTCTTGAGGGTGTTGTGTTTGGTATCGTAGAACATGAGGTGGGACTGGATCTTGAAGGCGTCTGTAGAGGTTCACAAAGTTTAGCTGGGGACGAATTGAACGAAAAGGGCAGCTGTGGCGAGGTTGAAGACGTACTCAAGACCCTTCTTTGGAAATTCTGGCCGGGCTTGTTTCCATAATCGACCGTCAAGGCATTGGAAACCACTCATGATACGATTAGCTTACGGCTGTGCTTCATCCCCTCCTTTCCGAAGGCGAAATTACGAGCTTACCTGTATCTTTGATATGGCCTCGATCTTTGACAATGTCGAGGGTATCACAGTCGACAGCCAGTCCACAATACGGGAACCGAGCCCCGTCTGGAAGTCTGGCTACACTCATACCATCAATTTCCATCTCAAAGTTGACCAAGGTCTTGTTGGGGCTGACGGTGACGCCGTACTCGGGCAGCCCGCCGTGCATGACCTGCACGAACCTGCACGCCTTCGTCTGGTCTGTCGTGATGAGGAGGAAGTCGTCAATCAGCCTCAAGAGCAGACAGTCTTCCTCCTCCCCCGCCAGGAACGCGAGATGCTGCGCCTCGAGGTCGGCGTAGAAATAGTTGCACAGGGCGGAGGACAGCACGGAGCCCTGTGGGATACCCTTCTTCTGCCTGTAAAACTTCTTGCCCACTTTGACGAGATTCTGTTTGATGTGCGACTCCATCAGGGCCATCAGGCCCCCCGTTTCCACCTCTCTCCTCATCATGTTGCCCACGAAGACGGTGTTCTTCCGGTTGAGGCCGAGGCGCTTCTCCACCAGTTGCGAAAAGTCGGCGGTGTCGTCGCGGGTGACGGCGATGGAGTGCCATCGCCGTGTTACTTTCGATGCCGCGTTCTTATTTTGCCGAGAATCCAGCAAGCCGGCTTTGACTTCAACGTGCTTCTTGATGATGTACTGGTCCCGGCTCGGAATGCTGTCCATCAGCCTGATGACGGCCTCCTGAGGAATCGTGTCGAAAGCAGACTGCACATCTACCTTGGCGAAATAGAACTTTGGCCGCTGGTTCCCAAATCCGGCACTGAAGGTGTTTAAGCGGTGGTAGAGATCGCCCACTGAAAACATGGACGACCCAAGCTTGGAAGGGTTGCTTTGCTTCAAAGTAGTTAGCAACTAGGCGGGTGGCAAAGAGATGATTGGCAATCACCGTTTCAAGCTTGAGCATGGAATGCACTGGACCCAATACGGAGTTTATGCTTGGCCCGAGGATTGTGCTCCTACCCCTGATCTCTGTTCTTCTTCGCAGGTTCGTGATCGGCCGCATGCCCTTCCCTTTGGGGAGCAGTCTGATGCGACTGAAGCCCAATCGCCTAGAGTCTAGGACTCGAGTAGCCTCATCAAGCTTCATCTCCTCGAACATATTTGTCCGAAGGGTCGCCATTGCCGGTTCTGCAACGTATCGCCAAACGTCGTGTCGAAAGAAAAAGAGACGGTAACGATGAGAGCTCGACTCTGTGATATAGAAATTGCTGCGCAAAAGGGGTATCAAGAGCGAATCGAAAAGATAGTACAGAAACTCGTTCATTATTTCGAGTCGTTTCTTCGTGTCAGTCAGGCTGGCTTTCTGGCCTTTGAGAGCCGGAGGCGCCAGCCATTCCATACTAGTGGTCTTAACGCGAAGAGTATTAGACAAAGTTCCTCGATAAGTAGGTCATTACTTACCCTGAGTCCGTCTGCAAGCTCGCTGAGGGACATGGCCTCAAACCTCCGTAGTTTGACAAAGTGATCAACTTTCCTCAGTATCTGACTCTTGTTGTGAATCCGATCCTCACCAGTGCCCCACATCTCATCTGGGATGAGCTTGGCCAATACAGCCTGGCAGAATGCGGACACATGAGCTGCTGGAGTCGCCAAATCAGTGACAGCATCAAACTTGGTAATTAATGGAGACGCTGTTGGTTTATGCAGCCTATGGCGGCTCTGCGTGCTACTACTGGGAAGACCATACGATGTGACTGGCTGATTGTTGTCTCTCCCCGGCGCCTGGGAAGGACAAAGTCTCTTGGACTGCTTCACCGGCTTCTTCGAGACGGGTTTCCGGGCTTTGAGGTCGATGGCGGAGGGACAATAGTGCCGCAATAGCTCAGCGTAAGCGCAGCGACCATGAAGAAGTTGTAACCGCTGCACTAGGCGTTTTGTGTCTGCACGCAGCCTCTTGGGAAGCTTGATGTTCCGCCCCTTGAATGTTGCTGAGATCTCGTCTTCGCGGAGGGTGTAGTCTGCAAACTTCTGAGATGTCTTGGAGTGGTCAACCTTGGAGGTGAAGACATTGTGCAGTCTAAATTGGCGAGGGAAAATATACATCATCACTTTCAGTGTGTTGCGCTCATTCGTCTGCATCGTTCTGGATTTTTCTTCGTCCGCTGCCTGTTCTGGACAATATATGCGTGGACAACGACTCAAGACATCTGAGTAGCGTCAGTAGAAGCCCCTGCCCCCCCTTTTTTATTGTCAACTTACGTATGTGTCGTAGTCCGTATTGGACCGTACCTCCAGCGGTAAGGGGAGCTCGAGCGTAGAGCATACGATTCCTGACGAAGTTGATCTCGGACGGAAGCCTCTCTTGGGGTGCCGTGGACATTGCCGCATTTCCTTTCGTTTGCTTCGTTTTGTCCTGATCCGCGACTACAGATACGCTCGTATCTGACATGGGAATACCACTGAGCTGGTACATATTACCGAGGCCGGCTTTAACAGGAAGAAATATCGCCGTATCAATGAGGAGATCTATCATGACCTGTTCGCCCGATTTGCCGAGGAGCATAAGCACTTGTGGCCAAGGGGCCTCTTTGAGGGCCTGGACGTAATGATTCTGGTGAATTACAGCCAGTCCAGGAATGGCGCTGTCGTGACTGTGGCCATTCACATTAGCAATGTTCTGACCCCGTCTCCTGAAACCATCACAGAGGAGGTGCTTCGGCCAAGCAGTATGAGGCTGTATTCTGGAGAATATTTGCCAAACTACAAAGTCAACGATCTGTGTTTGGCGGTCAGCGTTGAGGGAGGTTGTTCGTGCAGCAATGGCCTACCTCTGACTGTGAGGATGTAGCTTTGGCCAACCCCCCTGAGAGAGATACGACAGAATCGTCGGCTTTTTGAGAAAAAGTCCTCCATTGCTCCCACCGAGAGTCAGTTTGTGCCCCAGGACGGTGTTGTGTGCAGACCAAAGTCGTGTCTAGTAAGGAAGAAAGCTGCGGTAGGATTTCGCGGTCTTGACTGCGTGCCCATGTCTCGTCTTTACCCAGTGATGCAATCTTCTTGCGGCGAAGTCTCGAAGACCCTGGCAGCTTGGAAAGCAGAAATTCGCGAAGTGTCTTCACGTCATCATAGTGCTGTTGTAGAAGCGCATGCTTGACCCGATCCTCATTCTGACCCAACCTTGATTTCTTGCATCCGGATTGCCCATTTGTTGGCTCCTCAAGTGCCAGGAATTTCCGCTTGGGCGCCATTTTCATTGGCAGATCTCATGCCATCACTGACACGGAACTCTCATGTGAACCCCACGATTGAACAAGGGTGATTAGAAAACCACTCCAAATCATCTGCAGTCAGTAGTACGCGACCAAAACTCGCGCGCTAGAAGGTGTCATCACAATCGATTATGCAAGTCATATGTGGGAGGAGTGCCAACAGTGAGATTGTGCGGAGGCGAGATCGGGGATCGGACTTGAGCTCTGTCGTTGATCGTGGTTGGTGGTCGACAGGCGCGACGGCTCAACGCGTCTTTGGTTGGTCCAGTGTACCAGGTAACTGACTGCTTAATTAGCCCAAGAGTTCGCGAATTAAGGTAAGGTAGACCATAAGGTGCAACCTGAACGGTCAGAAAAGCACGTGCTGATTGGCGGATGACGTCCAGGTCTAAGCGCGTTGAAGGAGGGATGTGGGACGACGGTGCACGTCCCAGGATCTGCCGAACACGGGCGCCGTCTCTAAACGGTAGCTTTGTGGCTTTGCCCTCCTGTGGGGATTCGCCGTCGCGGTCGTCTCTCCTGGTTCCATGACGCCTGCGCATGCGTGGGCTCCTCGACGCTCAAGCCACTGAAGGGCGGTGCAGGACGGTGAACGCTAGAGCACCCCAGCGGGGCTGGTGAGACGATTGGTGCCATGGTGGCCGTGGGGGTCCACCAGCTCCCGTCACTTTGCGGTGGAAATTCATCGAGGGTCAAGGCACGCTGGGCGGGTTCGTGGGCCTCTCCGACTTGCCCTGGACCTGGTCTCAGAATTCACACTCTCTCAGTCTCAAGTGCTTCGAGGTGTGAGCTGTATCCGTACGGAGTACGGATAGTTTAGACATGTGTATTTCATGTGCGCAGTGCTAATTTCGGTGCATCTGCACACTTGCAGGGCTTACACTACCTCCCACTAACCAGAATATGCATCGTCACTTGTTAGACTAGACTCCGGCTGAGCTCTGAGGTATGCAAGCGCGGCGGAAAACGGGTGGCGGCGCGTTTTGGGAGAGTTGTGCTTGTGCTGCGGTGCTACGTTGAACCGATTTTCCAATGTCGCCAGCTCAAATTGAGTGGTCGCCTGGGGGAAAGGGTTCCTTGTCTGCGGAAGAAACGGTTCGGTATTGCTCGCAGAACGAGCCAGTCAGCTGGGTAGTCCATTAGCTGGGCGAACGTGGATCGCGTTTCATAATACCTTAGCCAAAAGATTTTCTGCAATCAGGGTGTTAGCGTCCCAGTGAAGTGAAGGCCGTCCTACCGTGGGTTGTGCCTGCTGTGCCTGTTATGTTCTTCTTATTATTTCCCACCGTCATTGAGTTTGCCAGATTACAATTTTCATCAGCAGCACCACGCGAAAGACAAAGAGAGAAGCTTCGCCGCCAACATTGTACAACATACACATGGCCAAGCCAGTCAAATCTGACTAAGCCACTACACGATTCCATGTCCCAGGTGAGAGAGGCGGGGGAGCTACACCAAGGAGGGTACGTGGAGCTGGGTCGTTACCATCCATCCAGCCCATCCATCTTCCATTGATGGTCCTCGCATCATAGTAGCCTGTCTTAAGACAAGCACAGACTACGGAGTTGCATTTGCGGGACTTCCCTGCCTCAAGACCGAGTGTGTTGAATTGCTTCTCTGCGTCTTCTGTCAGAATACGAGCTGCACCTGCGCCTTCTCCCAACTTGTCCGGCCTGCGTAAGCCTGCAGGATGCAATGCAGCAGCAAGTAGGATATCTCAACGTCTACGACTGCTTATCTTGCCCTGGCACAGTGGACTGATGGTCTGTCAGCTTCGAGTGTTGTCATGATGGTCAATACGCAACTCGATATTAGCACTGATATAGGAGCCCTCCCGACCCAGTTCCCTCATCGAAACAGATCTCCTCAATGCCGTCCCCAAATTGATCCCAAACCAGAGATGTCGGCGAATAATTATCGGCCACGGAATGAATGGTCAGCCGCATTGGACTGTTGAGCGTTGAGCCATTTGCATAGGAATCTTGAAGTCATCCTGTCGCCGGAAGTCTACTCAAGTCTCTCGGGTGTTCCAACCCGGGACCTGGAAGGACTTGGCTTGATTGCAACCCCAACCGGTAACCCCAACCGGTAACCCCAACCACCACGATCTACCTTAGGTCTCGACTCGACTTTGACCGTTTCGGGACGAGGCTCGTCGTGGTGATGTTTCCCGCCCACCTCCGTTGTCGGTGCCGCTCGTACAGAAACTCTGAGAGAGCGGGGACTGTTTACATATCTGCCAATCTATTTGACCTTGCCCGTACGTGGCTATGATATTAGCCTTGCGTTACGGCATCGTGCCATCCTGGTATAGAGACTCTCTCCTCGTGGAATGCTTGTCAGTTTGCCGTCATTTTGCAAAATCGCAGCCAAACGCCAATAAACTGCGAGGAGCCAGGCTCCGCCATTCTCTGGCTTGGGTGACCGCCCAAAGTATTGACCGATTGGTGGTGACGTCTGACGTTGAGGTGGTTGTGGCTGTACTTTATTGGCGACCCTAGCTTCTTGCCTTCAATAATCTTGATTTCTGCTGCTTGTGAGATTCCCCTCTTGTACCCTGCGGGCAGGAAGGCTTAGATAGGGGGACGTCAATGCACTCCAGGTCCATTCTTGTTCTCCAATGTCGTGCGTTCTCACTCCAGACGCCGTAAGACCTTTCTAAGACGGGACGAAGCGAGGGCCAAGGGACGCACCAGGGTTTTGGCTTTGTACTGCGAAGAATAAAACGTTTCCTCTTTGGATGGTAGGAGCATATCGCAGAGGAATTTTCCCCGCAAGACGACAGATCCTGAATCGTTCGAATCGAAATTGCCTTTCGTGATTGTTGCTTGCCGGCTAGAGCGAGCGCCTCGGAATGGAGGAACGGACGGATACTCATGCGGATAATCTGGACGAATACAAACTGCATCAATCTTGCTGTGGAGTTTGGTGTTTGTTTGTCTGGGTCTCTCTGGAGACGCAACCAATTCCATGACATGTTTTCCAAGTTCGTAACAGTCGAGTGGAGGCCGACAAGAAAAGACAGTCATTTTGCAAGTTGGCGGTTTGTCTGTCTTGCTCCTGAACTAAGATGCGACTCGATCGACAAGTATTACGTCGTTTCTTGAACCTTGCGTGTCTCTGGACCTGGGTGCGGCATTGACGTTGCAGTCAATTTTGTCTTTCTAACCCTCTCTCACTGTCCACCACACCCACCCACCGCGTCTCTTATCGTTACCAGCTTCGCCGTTGATATTCGTCAAGCCTAATTGTCTATGGCTTGCGCGACAGGTCCACGAGTAATACTAACGGGAGGCTTCTGTGTAAAGACAACGAAGTCGACCCCCTTCAAGACTTCCGTCCCCTGGCCCGGGTCTCGCTCCCTCTTTCCCGAGTGTCCGGGCAGACCTACTAAGCTGAATCTAGCACCTGCCGTCATCCCCTCCCTCTCTCTCTCCCGTCTCCCTCTCTGCACTCCGAGTGCCTGGAGAGGGCCACAGGTAGGCTGGACCCCCTCAGCCCCCCCTCCCTGGCATACGAATCGCTGCCAAATTGGCCGAACAGTTCGTGCTCCGTGCCTTGCACGCGGCGTCCAATCCTGCTTGTCTTCCATCTTGTCCCGGCTGCCACTCTGACCGAACCGCATCTACCTTGACCGATTGGACGATACCCTCACCTTTCGCATCTATGGTCCCCACTTGCCGTCTCAGCTCATCCGTTGACTGCGACCTGACGCGCATACTCTTCCGCCCCTTCCCACAGGTAGCTAAGAAATTATCAATGCCCAAAATACCTGACCTAAATACTTTTCTGCCTCGCTTGTTGTAAAAGAAGCAGATGCAGACAAGTACGTGCCGTGCCGGCTTTGCACCGGCCTGACAATCTTGCGCTGTGGTGCGGTCACGAGAGTGGTGTGCACCGCGCTTATTCTGCTCCTCGTCCCTTCCCTGTGCCATCCCCGTTGTCAACGAGTCTTTTCGAGGGTTCCTTCTACACCTACACCCACAACTTAGGCAAGGTAGGCGACGCACACACCTCCGGCCCCTCTTACCCCCTCCCCATCTGCCTCCTCATTCACCCATAACCGTACCTTAGGTAAGGTAGCGCTGAGGGGAGGTATTCTCTTCTTCCCTTCCCGCTTCGAACTGCTCAGTGCGCTCAAGTGTGTGGGTGAGTGTGCGTGCACGCGTGCGCCTGCCTCTCTCTCTGCCTCCCTACCTGCCTAATTACCTACCAAACTATCCATCTTGACCTCACCTTCGCATTGGCTGCCCTTGCCTTTACTTCCCATCATTCCAACCTCGCTCTTGCCATCCCATCTCGCTGCGTCCGATTCACCACCACAAGACCCCGGGAAACGGGACAGAATTGACACAATCGCACACAACCGCGGGAAAAGGGACTGCATATTTCTCTTCGTCCCGACTCCAGCAAAACTTTTCAATCTCCATAAAACCCCCACAGAGCAAAAGTCGCACTCACGGCCTGCTCCTGCGGCGGCCACCCATCCATGCATTAAGATTTGCTGTCGATAGGCCCCGGGCACTGCCAACGCTCTCCAACCAGGGACTGCCCGTCGCCTCTCTAAACTGTCGCTGCCCACTCAGCTTGCAGGCCAACACATCAATGCTTCCCAACCCAAACATCCCACACAGCCTGCATGGGTCTATGGAATTCTTGACGAGCCAGTCCACCCGACACGCCTGACTGATGTTCAGGCCACAATGGAAGCTGGCAGTCCAGAAGAGGAGGACCGCCTGGCCACTGCGCTCAATGTGCAACGCCAGGTCCATCTCCAGCACCACCAACCGCAACCTCTAGCTTCTCCTCCTCAGTACTCGCACCAAATTCATCGTCAACCGAACTTCGTTTCCAACTACGATCATCACGATTCAGATTTCGACCTCGACTCCGATTTCGATCGCTACCACCGCTCATCCGAACCCCCCTCCCAGCAATCCCAACATCACTACATCCCTAGCAGCCCCACAGCGAACGGCTTCGCTCTCGAGAACTTGGATGCCTCTGCCGCCCACACGGCTGGGGCTCTCGCCGCCGGTGGTCATGCTCACGATCTAGTAAACCCGGATGATTTCTACCGAAGCTATCGAGGCGTGCAGTCGTCAAATCATCATCGACGAACACCTTCCTCAGATTACGACTACATGGCGACCTCCGTATCTCGAGCTCGCGAGAACTCGGCCATGCGGCCAAACGGCAATGGCAAAGATCCAAAGCACCCGCCGGCTCCTGCAGCTCGTGCGCCCTTGCGCCCTTCGCAGCGATCTGCTTCTGCTCCTGTTGAACCCCCAATTGGTGCCCCGAGGACCAATACAAATCGCAAGCCGAGCGTCAAGGATTTGACCAAGAGATTCGACCAGCAGACCTTGTCGCCAGCGCCTTTGATGCCCAGAATCCCCGTGCGAGGCGTCCCGATTCGACCGAGTAGAGCCGCGACAAACGTCGAAAAACCTACACCTAGCGGAAACGGGTCAACATCATACTCTACACTGAGGGCCTCGACGAACCGTGAACTGACACCTGACACCAGCAGAGGAACGGCTACTCGAACCCAACGAACGAAATATGTCGCCGAAGATCAAATGTCCAACAATTCTCAATCTTTCGCCAGTCGCATCGCCAAGCCACGAAACATAACCTCAGCTGCGGGCATTGCACACGCATCTAAATCTATGACAAACCTTCAGCACAAGTCACCTTCTTTACCGCCGTCTTCTCCCAGAGCGCCCGGTCTGCTCTTTGGTGAAATCCTTCCCGAGCAGCGAGACACCTCAGCCGTTGGATATGGGATCGAGGGTTCGGGTTCACGACCGCGGAGGACTTCAGAGTCTAGTATTCATGTGGCTAAGCTCCACCAACGGACGAAATCCGACCCCGATCTCGTCGAACCGGCATCTCCAACTGATTGGTACCGAGCCACGACAACACTCCCAAATCGTTCAGCAGGACGTTCGGCCCACAATGCTAGAGGTCATGTTCGGGCACATAGTGACGTGGCCGCGTCGAAGGCTGGAGCACCCCTGGTGAGAAAGGCTCTTGCGTCGCGTCCGATGGCAGAGGTCGAGCAGTCTGAGCGAGCAGCGTCACCTACATCGCGCCTTCCAGTTTCTGTACGCAAGCTGGCCACCTCAAGTGACTCGACGAGCCCGCCATCCACAAGAGAAAGCTCTAGAGCCAATTCTCCATCAACGTTCAAGCGCCCGGCGCCAGCAAGTAAGACAAGTCGGACAACTACACCTGTTAATCGTGCCAAGACACCTACTCAGTCGAAAACACCCACTCAAGCCACGCCGGGACGAAAAGCTGCGCCTCGAGGTCTCGTAACTCCGAATAACAATACGCGCCTCACTGCCTTAGTGGCAGCACCACCCCCGAAGCTATCTCCTCCGCTACGCAGTTCTCGACCCCGGCAGTCTGTGTCGACAGCCACCACGGCAAGCTCGCGCTTGAAAGCCGTTGATAGGTCCAAATCGCCGCATAAGTCTGCGCCGAAGCAATCCTTGAAGCCCGATGGATCAACGACCCGAAGACGGAAGATCTCTGTGGGCCCTATTGACTTTGAGCAACGACGTGAACACATCAGACTGGCGTATACTAAGTCTATCCGCGATAGTCAGGTGCGGGATGCTAAACAGGCAGCGGCGAAACGCAAGAAAGACGAAGAAGCTGCTGCTGCTGCTGAGGAGAGGGAAGAAATTCCCCCGGTCCCGCCGATTGAAACTGAGTCGTCTCCAGTGGATCAAAGCAAAACCTTGGAGGAACCTTCTGGAGCCCCGGAACCGTCGGCGCAACCTCCATCGCCTGCGCAGTCGCCTCAGCCACTGACGATTTCGACGATATTGCCACCCGTCGTTGCTCTCTCTCCGCCACAGGCTCGAGCTGTGGACTCGCCTACGCTGGGCATCCCAGGCAGTTTCCCGGCCTTGAGCCCTCCTTTTGAGAAAGAAGAAATCCCGCAATCCGCAGTTTCGGTCACTTCGGAGACTACCGAGTTTGACAATGAGCCACAAGAACTTCCTCCCGTGCAGCTGGAACTCGCGCAACCTCCTACTGGGCTCGGGTTGACGATTATTCAAGCGGACGGTAATCACGAGCAGGCAGAATTGGAAGAAGTGCGACGCACGCCAACCCCAGAGAAGGTCGAACCCGAGGAATTTCAGCCATTGCTGGCGGCCGAAACAATCGAAGTCGAACAGCAGTCCCCATCGCCAACGCTGGAGAAGGCTGAAGCCGAAGAAGAGCCACGACTGCCGACACCAGAAAGGGCGGAATATCAGTACCCGTTCGAGGATGAGTCCGCAGGCGACGACGTGGTATCAATCAAGATCTCATTGGATCCAACATCTTCCCATCAATCGCCCGAACCGACCCCGACGAGAAGCGAGTTCGATGATCCGGCCGTTCCTGGTGCATTTGCCAGCTCGCGGCCGATCTCCGAGTACGAGCCGATTCCGTTCTCGAGCCCATCGTACGAGACGACAGTCAAGATTCTCATGCGGGAATCTGAGTATGACTCTCCTCGACAGGAAACAATTCCTTTTCCAAGAATGGAGTCGTATGATGACTTTGATGATCAGAGCCAAATGGGTGACATGGATGGGTCCGTAGGTGATGTGTCGTACTTCCACCACAATGCGGAGAAGGATTTGGTGTCAGCCATTGACACCCTTGAGAAGCCCGGAGACTTCTACAATGAGCACCACAAGGACAATGATTCGTCTCAACGAGCGTCTACTTGCGAGTCTTCTGATCCGCAAGATGACCCTCGCAAGACGAGCCTTGAGAGCCAGCAAACTCCGGACACATCCCGCAGCCTAATGGTTCCTTCTATGCATGCGACTGTGAACCGGATCAGCCAACAATCTGCATGGACTGATTTCTCGGTTGATAGCGATGAACCCATCCACCACAGAATCTCGGCCTTCGACGATGTTCTCCCTATTCCAAAGCCGCCTTTTGCATCCGAGTCAACCTTTGGATCGGGCTCTAGCAGAGACTCGTCTGCCCGGCAGAGTGAACATTACAGCCCTGACTTTACGCCATCGGAAACAGGAGCCGCCCAGCCATCCAGCCGTGCTACCATTCATCAGCTGCCGGAGTTGGATACTGGAGACGGTTTCTCGGTTCCTTACATCGATGAAAGTCACTATCCACCCCGGAAGGCAGATCCCACCTTACCACGACCAGAACATGAGCCTCCGCCAGTCCCTGCGTCTACACGAGCTCGTGACAGGCGAACGGCAGCTAGCAGTTTCTATGCCGACACTCTTCCTGGAAGTACTATCGGGAGCTCTTCTCGACGTCAGAGCGAAGATGTGTCGCGACCCGTCTCCACCACACAGTCCATCGACCATATGTCGATCGAGACCAGAGACTATTCTCTCGGCGGCCAGACTCCGGTGGAGTCGATAGCAACACCCAGCCAGAAAGATGGCCCAATCGGAAAAGAGAGACACCGTCTAGTTCAACGACGCAATGTGATAAGAGAACTCGTCGACACCGAGATGGTTTTTGTAAGGGACATGAACATTGTTGAGGAGATTTACAAGGGTACCGCTGAAGCCTGTCCACGATTGGATGACAAAACCATCAAGCTCATTTTCCGAAATACCGATGAGATTATCAGCTTCCACACCGTGTTCTGTGCTCAGCTTAAGGAAGCTGTTTGCACAGTCTATGTGCCTAATGGCAGGCGATCCCCTCTGCCAAAGGATGACTCGGTAGCTTCGGAGCAGAATGGGAACTCGTCCACAAATCAAGCGGCGCCCGAACTCGGTGACGACAACGACAAAGCCACATCACTTGGTCCTCTCTTCAAGAAACACATTGAACAGATGAGATTGGCGCACGAGGGCTTCCTCAGAAACAGCGACCACGCAGCCAAGCGCTTGATCCAGATCCAGCAAGACCCCACTGTGAAGGTTTGGCTCAATGAGTGTAATGAAGTGGCCAAGGACCTAACTGCGGCCTGGGATCTGGACTCTCTTCTCATCAAGCCCATGCAGCGAATCACAAAATACCCTAACCTCATCCAAGAGCTTCTGCGCCACACGCCTGAGGATCACCCGGACCGAGCCGAGCTGCTGTCAGCCAAGGAAACCCTGGAATTGGCGATTGTCGAGATCAACAAGACGAAAAAGAACTTTGAGCTTGTCGGGCAGATTGTTGGCCGGAAGAGGAAGGAATCTGATGTGAAGGCTGGGTTCGCTCGGGCGTTTGGCAAGCGTGTCGATAAGCTTCAGGCTGCAAGCTCGAAGATTCCCGAAGATGCCGTATATGCTAAGCTCCATGAGAAGTTTGGCGACGACTACCTTCGGCTACAAGTTGTGCTCAGAGACGTGGAGTTCTACACCCGACAAGTCAGCGCCTACGTACACGAGTTTCTGCAGTACTTATCAGCCATGGAGCTTGTCATGCGTCTTCAACCTGGGAGCTATCCGGAGCTAGAGAGCAAATGGGTGCAATTCAATGTCTCAATGAGAGACATCGAAAAGATTGCCCTAGAAGACCATGTGAGTAACCCGTCCAAGAAGCTTTGCCTCACACACTAAGACTCGAGCAGCTCCAGCAGGTCCGCAAGCATGTCATTGAGCCATTCGAGCATGTGATCAAGGCTTATGGTAACCCCTCACTGGCAATGAAAAAACGAGCAAAGAGACGACTGGACTATGAGAGAGCAGAACAGATCAAGAAAGGCGGAAAGACGATAGACGCTAAACTTAAGGAGTTGGTGGAACAGTACGACGCCCTGAACGAGACCCTTAAGAAGGAGCTGCCTCAGTTGTCCGCCTTGACAGAAAGAATTGGAAACATTTGTCTCGGCAATTTCGTCAATATTCAGGCGAACTGGTACTCTATTTGGGTGGAAAAGGTCAAGAAGGTCACTGGGGAGACAGGACCGCCACCAGAGGTTCCCGACATTATCTCTGCTTTCCAGCGAGACTACAAGTATGCGCAGGAATTATTCTCCAACGTTGGGATCCTGAACCCGGCATATAGAGGCAGAACGTCGCAGTCTACCACAGCAAGCACTGACGATGTTACGACCAAGCACCGGCCTCGGCCAGCTGAGATATCTTCACCAAGAGGGAGAGGCTTATCAGTCAATGGTGACCACGCCCCGATGTTGCCGACTCCAGACTTTGCCAAGCGCCACAGCGGACAGTTTACTCTATCGCCAAGCACCACACCACTAAGTCCTCATCAGTTCTACTACCGGGACTACTACGCTGGTGCCACTGCTCAGCGGCCTTCAGTGTCTGCCTCACCAGTAATAGGTGATCAATCACCTGTGTCGCGTGCAATTGCTCCCCCACCTACCACTCGACCTGGCACAGGACGAAGCTACGAAACGAATGGTGTACCGAGACAAAGTTCAGAGTCGACATCAAACAACAGAAGAGACTCCAATCCAGCACACCAGTCCCAGAACCCGGGCAATGAACCAAGGCGCTTCTCAGGCCTGTTCCATTCAGCTCTGCCAATGCCGGATGGGGTGGAAGAAGGCCAACAATCCTCACGGGCATCGTCACGCGAGCGCACTCCTGCTGGGAACGGATACAACATACTTTGGCTGGCAGCATCACTGTTCGAATTCAACATTGAAACAACAAAGCACGAGGCTGGCTACCCGTATCTTACGTACCAAGCCGGTGAGGTAAGTACATGGCCGCCAGCATTATGGGTGCCCAGAACCCTCGCACTAACCTTTTCAATAGATCTTTGATGTCATTGCTGAGAAGGGCGAGCTATGGCTTGCCAAAAACCAAGACGATCCTGGCGACCAAGTCGGTTGGATTTGGTCCAAGCACTTTGCGAAATTGGCCGATTCATAGAGCCATTGCACGAGCACAGCTGGCGTTACCAAAAGTACCCAAGACGACTGTTTTTCTTCACCCATGGCCAGGTTGATGTCTGCGTGCAGTCAGGCACGTGTGCGCTGACAAAAGCTTCAACGCTCAGAAAGCAATTGAGCCGGGATGAGCGCATCCTAATGGCATGTATTATTGCTGATGAAAGAAGGGAGGCTCAGCCCACGACTTCATTCCACTTTGCAGGAAAGCCAGGGATTGGTTCAAGGGGATCAATGGCGGACATGACCCTCGACGTGTACACTTTTTTTCCTTTCTCTCCCTCTCTCACCCTGATTTGTTTTCCCTTTTGTCTTCAATTTCTTCTGGTCGAGATGGAAATGAGAGATGGCGTTTGATACAGGCGACACAACGAGGTTTTGACGGACGGAATGCGAATCATACAAGCTGATATTCATCTTGATGGCGGCTTGCTTCTCTTGAGAAGAAGACGAAGAAGGGAGGATCAGCAATGAAATACTTTGGGAGCGTTGAGCGTCGTTCGGTCGAGAAGCCCCGCAAAGGGAAGGGCGTGTTACGGCGTTGGAGTTGCCTCGCAGTCAGAGCTGCAGGCATCAAATTTTTTTGTAGGCTTTCAAGATCCAAATGCAGACATAGTGTCGGATTATTCAAGGAATGCCTGAATGGTCGCTTTGGCTCTTGTGAAAATTTGTCCGTTTTTTTGCGTGCTTTGTACCTCTTATGAAGGAAGCTTTTGACGACTCAGAGGCGATCGGATCAATGGGACCGGAATACCTGCTCGAATTCTTCTTGGCAACTCTATGGAGAAGAACCAGTCAAACAGAGTTTCTGCAGAGATTGTAAAAGCGGCATGGTCGACAACAGGCACGCTTTACCTTTTCCCTCCCCTCGCTTCCCGCCATCTAATCGATCATTCAATATAACAAGCTTTCCCCCAATCCCCCTCCGCCCCCCCGCCCCCCCGGCCTTTCAACCCCCCCCTTCAAAGTTTTTGGCCTCTCTTAGTACGACCCACCCAACAAGGCGCGGGAGCTAGCGATCGTTACCCGGCCGAGTCGGAAGATGGGCATGACAAAGTCCGAGATCTAGAGTCCGATCTCACTGATCCTGCAAGGGCCCGTCGGCGCTTTCTAGGATGAACTCATGGATTGTCCAGCGCAAAATCTTCTTATTCTTCTTCTTCAGACTTTAGCACGATTTACGCGGGCGTCAAATCGCTCTGAATCTTGACCTTTCACTACTTGTTCCAAGAGGCACATGATCCAATTTAGCATTACAACTAAAACCCTGGCAAACCCCCTACTGTCCTAGGGGAGAAGAATACACCATGGTAGCCGGCCGATACTCCTTTTCTTCTTGTCTCCCTATGCTGTGATACTGCACTTCATAAACTCCAAGCACCGTAGTTCCAGGGATGAAACATAATAGCTGGCTGACCGCTTGCCTCGCTACACTACTGATATGCCTCATCGTCATCGTCACCGCCTTTCTTCCCGTCGGCGGCACCCTCCTTCCTGATTGGAATCTTGATGCCCTGTGTTGCGAAACACTTACTCAAGGGGGTGCTCTCGCAAACTCCAGGGAACTTCTTCGCCGAGTAAACCTGGAAAGCGTCGCTGAAAGTCGCAGCGAGAATCGGCGCCTTGTGCTGGTTCACCATCGATCCGTTCGGGTTGGTCGCGCCTGGAGGCTTCGCAATATTGACGAATGAGAAGCGCAACCTTGGGAGGAATGAGTCCGTGGTGCTACGAGGTTATGGGTCGCGCAAGGAAACTTACCTAAAATGACCTTCGGTCCTCACGCTCAGGTCCTGCATGATGAACCAGACTCCAACTTGATCGTCCACATCATTAAGGCGAAAGGCACTGGAGCTAACGCTTCCAATGATGTTTCGCGTGAACATTCCTTGGGGTTGGCTCGCGGCCATGGATAGCGATTGCCGATGACCGTACGCCAAATCCGCCTGCGAGGGCACGGGGCCTGGGTTGGCGTGTTGCGGATAGTACTGGGTTGCCGGCGTAAACCGAGAATTCGTCGATTGGTATTCTGCGCTGCGAGTCAGTACTTTGTAACACTGTAGCAGCCATATGGTTGAGAAACTGACGGGGATAGTTTGATCCAGCCGCCATGCCGTAGCCTGGCATCATGTGCTGCTGGGGCTGGGGCGGCGGCGGTTGTTGCCCGTATCCCATGGGTGCTGATCCGTACGGCTGCATATCTTGGTAAGGCTGCGCTGGCGGTGGGTTCAAGGGGTCCTCCCGCAATGCCGTATACGAGTAGGGCTGCGTGGTCGATATAGAAGCCGTGTTGGAGGAGTGGCGAACGAGGTTCACCTCTTGAGTGCCGTCTTCTGACCACAAGTCAACCTGAATGATGTAGTGGGCGGAATCGATATCGCTATCGGCCATCGTTAGTACAGCAGATCAATGACGCCGTGAGAATCCGCCGCACGTACTTTGGGTTTATCTCTTGGCCAGTTTTCGCATCTCGCACAACGACTTTGATGCAGGGAGGAGGCGTAATCGGCCGGCGGTCCTAGAGGCGATCGAATTAGCCATTGAGTTGCGAGTTGGACGAACGGCAAACGTGAGCATACCTTGTCACCAAACCCGCACATTCGCGCTCGCTGAGGCTGCTGCACAACGACGAGCCTAATAATCGCAGTGTCAGTCCAAATGTTTTCGCGCCCTGCAGAAGGCGCGCGACCTACTCATATTTCCTGCCCAGATCGTCCGTTTTTGAAATGGAGGCTGGCATAGGGGCCTGGGCTGGAGCAGGTGGAGGCGGTTGGTGGTGTTGGTGTTGATGTTGATGCTGCATAGTCATTCCGTTGGGCGGCATATTGGATGGCAAAGGAGCCGGTGCTGGATATCCCATGGGAGGAAGCTGGGGAATCTGGTTCGCTGGATGACCAGGCGGCATGGGATGGTAGCCGCCATTCGAGTGCTGATGACCGTAATTCATGGTTGTGGGACTTGTCTAAAATAACCGTGGGATGACAGGTGTCGGAGGTAGAATATGGCAGACCTTGGGAGATCGGATTATATATGCCTGTACCCGGGCTGGTGCAATGGTGTTTTGGGTTTCAGACGGTTAAGCTTGTAGCTGCTGTGGTAATTAAGGCAATGTGAGGCCAAGGTAGCTCTTGAGACGCAAGAAAGCTAAGGTAAGCAAGCCGCCGAACAATTGGAGAACGGGAACGACCTGCTGAAGTGGGGGGGAGGAGAGGGCGGAAGCTGAGGGGGCGGGAGCTGAGGGGAAGGAAGTGTTTGGGTTTGCCGTTTGGGCGGCACGACGGCGATAAGATACCTGCCTAGGTCAGTAAGGTGGATCTCCAGCCAAGCTCGAGTCACACTAGCCACAATGTGGCAGTGCACCCACCACCTTAGCTAAGGTACCTTATCACTATCAGCAGAGCAGCAGAAGGAGCAGCAACACATCTATGATCTCACACAGATACCGCGGTGAGCATTGCCTCACATCTCGGTCGATTCGAGCGCCGTTCCTCTAGCCGGAGTTCTTCCCCCCCGGCTCCCTGCAACTGCTTGCCACACCCACCTCACCCGCAGTCAGCCGCACCGTCGGAATCTGTTTTTACAGAGATGCGGATCGGCGGATGCCGGGGGCAGACCGACCAAACGGCCGGGCAAAAGACATGGGCAAACTTTTTGGCCAAACTGCGACGATGGTTTGGGCAAAGTAGAAGAGCCCATCACGACACGTTCAAGGGTGGTTCCAGGCCAAGGTATCCATACGTAGGTAGTTTTCTCTTCCAAGGATCCGAGGCTACATCGAAAACTCGGTGTCGCGCTCCCGCTAGCTCAAAAAGCCAATTTGGACTTTGTCCGGAGCCAAAAATTTTTTGGACGGAGAACTTTGCGAGGCGAAAAGCGAGGTGCGAGTCAACATTCGGCAGAGCAGCAGATCAGAAATTTGTAGTAGCACTGCAGTATACTGTCTGCAGCAATACTCCGTATTGCTCGACATTTCGCCCGTTTCCCCGAGCGTGCGGCTAGCATTTGCCTGGCCAGTTGTTGGAAGCCGAGCCCCTGACTGGCTGGTTGGCTCAGTAGAAGTTATCATTACGTAGGATCATCAGAGTTGTTCCCCGTCGCCAATATGTCTGGAAATCCGGGGTAACGTCTGCCAGTCATTTTGCGAGCACCATCGTCTTGGGTTGGCCGGGGTTTCCTCCAAGGTGTCCCTTTGAGATGATATTTTGGGAAATTTACGGCGTTAAACGAAAATAATTGGACGGCATTTGACTTGTTGCCCGATGAACGAAACGAGTTCACGACAATTTTGACAAACATGGCAGACTCTCGGGACGACGTTCGAGACCGAGTCTCACGAGCCAAGAGAAGAGCAACACCGGCATAGGGAATGAATGCACAGTATCGGAAGTGCAAGGTGCGAGGTGCTTGCCTGGATTTTCTCCCTCCAGCGTTCCTGGCAGCTCGCCTTCGCCTTTCGGATTGGAAAATTCGCGCATGCCAAGCGGCTATGAACACGGCCGCCCCGGCCTAGAACTACATACTCATGACCGCCTCCTGACGGAGCCTGACGGAGCGAAGCGGATGGATTGCGCAATCCCGAGGCACTGTCAGTAAAATCGGCCAAACGGTTTTCACGTCATGTGTCTGAAAATCTCATCAATTGGCGCCGGGGTAGGTCTCCGGAGTGTCTGCACTCACACAAGGCATGGCAAAAAAGGAAGCAATCCGGGGTAACTAGACGGCAGCCCTGCCCAGTTATTTACCGCTGGATTCCACACCGAAGCGAAACATTGCGCAACTGTGCTTGGCTATGCGATCTGGAAATAGTCAACAATGGCAGCTAGTGGTCGAATCAGCCCTTCTTTGTATTTGTCCGCCCTACATGTCTTGATTTTGATTCTCGTCACACCGAATGTGCGTTTCACACTTACACAACGACGCAGCAAACGCGGCCACAGAGAATTCTGGCCTCCACTCACGTGTTCGCCATCAAGCTCGGATTCCCAGTAAAGACACCACTCGGGACTTTACCTATCCCAGCCAAGGCGACGGTTGTAGCCTGTAGGAGGGGGGGGGGGGGATGGTTCGTGCCTGGTCTTATTGCGTGGTGTTTTCGACTGGATGTCGTTATTTTCATTACGTTTTAGTTTGTCAACGTTTGCCCCTCTAACACCCCCCCTGACTCTCTAAACAGCCGCTCCCTGCCCATAATTCCGACGCCGCCAAACGCCTCGAATTTTTTTTTTTGCTCGTCTCCAGAATTTTCCAGGCTTGGCCCTCTCCTGCCACCATAGCGGTTGAGAGGTTTCTCCACTGCTAGAGGGAGGAAAAAAATATGGAAGAGCACCTGGCCGGACGATGGACCAAGAAACCCAAGCAGTGTCGTCGCCGAGGCCGTGCGTCCTCCCCCCCCCCCCCCCCCCCCCCCCCCCCCCCCGGCGCAGCCGCCGTCTCCCCCCACGACGAGCACGGCAACACAACAGAACCGACGCCCCCCCCCCACCGGCGCCCCCCCCCCCCCCCCCCCCCCCCCCCGCCGCCCCGCCCGCCCCCCCCCCCCCCCCCCCCCCCTCCCGGGAGGGCGCGTATGTGGAGAAACCGGCGTGTTGCAAAAGAATGATTGACCTTGTGATCACTTTGCTGGCGCACCATACCTACGTCAGGCAGGCCAAGGATTACTTGCGCCGTACTTGGGAAAGGTTGCGCAATAGCTGCTGCTTTCAGCCGGAGAATCCATCCTTGCTCCCTTCCCTGGGAAGGAAGGCTTAAAACAAAGACGAGATATTTTGCTGTGCCATTAACGTCCCTTATAAAGCTCCTCTGCCCTGTCAGGCACACCATCTAGCTCCCCCGTTCCAACTCCCTTACCTTACACGTATATCATACTACCGCGGAACTGGATTTAATTTAATCTTGAGATCACGGAGTCATAAAGTCGTACCTTGCCAACTGTTCTGCGTGCGTACTCAAAACGACATCCCATCCGAAAGCGATTACGTCTTAAAATAATAGGACAATCACCCATTCGATTCGCCCCGCGCTCGCGAACATCTCGAATCCCACTCCCGCAAACATACCGTGCTACCGCGGTACAAACCTGTTTTAGTTTCTCTAATAAATCACAACTCGCTTCCAAACCTCCCGACAATGCTTGCCTCACACGGACGCGGCGGTGCCGGCAACATGGCGGACACCTCCAAGTCGCCCAAGATCACCCCCAAGGACCTCGAGACCCCGACCCTCAAGACATCCGTCGTCACCACGGGCCGCGGTGGAAGCGGAAACATGGCCAAGAACGCCGATCCCTACGAAACTCGTTTGCGCCAGGATGTCGAGGCGTAAGTTTACCCCCTCCCCTCTTTGGACTCAGAAAAAGAAGAGAGTCGAAAGCTGACACGAGTCTGATTTATAGTGTTCCACGAAGAGAGAGCGCCGGCGCAACCCACTTTGGACGCGGCGGTTCCGCCAACGTCTTCAAGGGTTCCCCCGAGGAGGAGGCCGCGGCCAAGAAGGCAAAGGCGGAGGGCGCGAGCGCCGTCGACGACGACGATGCTACTACGCTCCGCAAGAGCCCCTCGCCCCCGGCGCGCCGCAGCTCCGAGGAGAATGCCAACGGCCTCGCCGCCAAGGGCAAGCAGTGGCTCAATAGCCTGACCAAGAAGGCATAAAGCCCGTCTGCTTGCTCCTTTTTCCCTTTTTTTTTTCTTTTTTCCCCAAGTTGGGGTAGCGTCTACATAGTGTCTCTTCTGTCTGTCGAAGAGTCATGAGCGATGGCGTATTATTAAAAGGTAATCACGCTTGGACGTCACAAGATCTTGAAGCTTCCTTTCAACGTTTCTGCGGCGTCAATGTCCAAGGGGATTATTTATCCATCGGCCTGCCATCATACGGTCCTTTGGGGACGGAGTTTCATGGGTCGGGGAAATTTTGGGAAACGAGTGTGTCGCTCATGGTCAGCGACAGTGTTTGAAAATGTTGAAACGACACAAAAAAAGTTCTTGATACCACGGTTGGACATGATCCAAGGGCTACTACGATACGGGAAGGAAAAGCATAATGAAATCTTCACTTTTATTTATTTACTGATATTCTCTTTGAAACATCGTGGGGTCTGCGATCTGGAATGTCTTGCTTCCATAGTGGAGGGAGCATGATGTAAAGCTTCGACAATCACAACTGCCATCACCACAGATTGCTCGTTTCCTTTTATTCATGAGTTCTTGTGAGACGGTTTCATTCAATTTGACACAGATTGGTCCAGAGCCCGACCGTCTCTAGTAAGACACTTTTATACATTGATGCCATATCATTGTACTTCACTCCTTTTTCATACGCCTTATAGGAATTGTGACTCTATATTTGGATATCCATGCTTTTCAACCTTCGTCTGCTACTTTTGGTTTTCATCGGCCAGCCACCGACTTGTTTCCTACCTAGTTCTTCGTCAAACGATGGATTTCCGATAGATAGAATCGGAGATCCTCAGGGTTAACACCCGGGGTGATACCTAGTAGGAGTTGGTCAGCCCCGTGGCTCCCTAAACACACGTAGTGCAGTGAACAGACGTAAACGCATCAACTTACCGTGGCCCAGGTTTGCAATCCACCCCTTCTTTCCATTACCGTAGAAGCCCTTGACCATGATCTCGACGGCCTCAGTCATGCGCTCGTGGGTACCGTATAAGACGCCAGGGTCAGCGTTGCCCTGGAAGGTAACGCGCCTGTCGCCGCGAATCTTAACGGCCTCGGCGGGATCCTGGAGCCAGTCGAGGCCGATGACGTCGTAGCCGATGTCAATAACAGAGTCCAGAGCGTGCCAGGCGCCCTTAGGGAAGACGGTCATGGGAACGCGCTCCAGGTTCATCTCGGCGAGCTTCTTGGGGAGGTTCTCGGAGATGTAGGACAAGTACGGCTGGCTGAACTCCTTGAAGGCCTCGGGGCCGAGCTCGCCCGCCCACGAGTCGAAGACCATAATCATCTGGGCGCCCGCCTTGACCTGCAGCGCGAGGTATTCGACGCAGACCTCGGCAATCTTTTGCAGGAGCTTCTTGGACTCCTCGGCGTAGCGGTAGATCCACGTCTTGCTCTGCATGAAGAGCTTGGTGCCGCCGCCCTCGACCATGTAGCAGAACAGCGTCCAGGGGGCGCCGCAGAAGCCGATGAGGGGTACGCGGCCGGCGAGCTTCTTGCGGGTGAGGGTGATGGCCTTGTACACGTAGTCGAGCTCGGAGGCGACATCGACGTTCTTGGACAGGACCTTTTCATACTGCCCATCGGTCGGGGTTTTGAGAGGCTCGGGGAAGTGGGGGCCCTTCTTGTCGACCATCTCGACCGTCATCCCGAGGGCCTGGGGCACGACGAGGATATCGGAGAAGATGATAGCAGCGTCGAGGAGGCCGGCGAAGCGCTCAATCGGCTGCAGGGTCAGGGTGCTGGCGACCTCCGGGTCACGGCAGCAGGCGAAGAAGTCGCGGCTGCCCTTGGCTTCGTGGTACTCGGGGAGGTAGCGGCCGGCTTCGCAGGTGTCAGGAATCTGCTGTCCATTTGTTCATGTCCTGGCTCTTGGGACGGGAGTAAAAGGGAGGGGTTTCGGCGTTACCTTGACGCATGATCCAGCATGGCGGGCGCTCGACCGTCTCGCCTGGATTGGAGAGGTTAGCAGTGGCCTGGAGGTTCGGAGTGGGTGCTGATACTCACCTCTTGCTGCCCGCAAAAGTAGGTCGTTCTTCAATGGCTCAAATGTCAACTCCATCTTGTCGGCCTGATGTGGGAATGTGGTTGCTAGTACCGGTGTGGGAGATGCCTTTACGCAGATAGAGCAGCAATGTGCCCCGCGGTTCGGTCGCTGCAAAACCCCGCCAAAGCTTCCCCGTCCACCGCTCCGAATGCGCCCCTGCGCACGTCGCCGAGGCACCCGGCCAGGGAGGTGCACCAGCCACACTGGGGCTTGACTGCAACTTTGGTGGGCCATTAATCCAATGCTCTTTTGACCTCCCTGGCAATTTCATCTATCGCTTTCCTTTACCAAACAGCTCCGAATAGCTTCCATCGAATCAAATCGAGCTAATTGGCAACCACCGCCGCGTCCGATACCCCACTTTCAGCTTCACGCTGTGAAAAAGAATGCCTTAGTCTAAGCACGATCGATTGGATACATACGCGCCATTGCCCTTCCATCCCTTCGCGGCCAGGGCCTCAATGCCGCCGTCGCGACCTACCGTACGATGCTGCCGAGCAGTTCAGCAACATTTTCCAGCTCCGTCCGACAACGTATGGATCACGGATGGTCTCTTGGCGAGCGCTTTTGAGCGCTACTGCCACGTATCACGCCTCACGCGACGCAAGTCGAGCTCTGTGCCCGGCCCGCTCGAGAATCGAAGACGGCTGGGCAAGAGGAGGATGGCAGAACTGCACCTGGACGGACATTCGACCTTGCCTCCCTGGGCCATTGAGTTCCCGGTCGACCTGAGTCAATGGAAGTGGCAACCGCCGACCCTACGTATATCAAAGGAACAGAGGGATCTACAGAGCCAGCAAAGTCAATCTTTGCTGTCTCGCGTTTACAGATGGTCGGTGTCGGAACAGCAGATGAATGAGGAGGAAATTGCTCGGATTGACATTGAAAGCCCGCCAATCTCTACCTTTGAAGAACGGCTATCTCAAGCCCGAGCCGCCGTTGCGGCTTCGACACAGCACGCGATCGGCTCGGAATACTACGACTTCATCGAGGGGCTTCAGAGGGAATTGAAATTGGGTGCTCTCGATCCCAGTGCCGTGGACTCGGCTGTTTCAACTTTTCCTCAGTCTTTGATCAGTACACGTGCTGACGGCGAGACGGTCAGCATTGCCATTGAGCTGTTCCTTTCGGCCGTTGTCAACGGAATCGCATGTTCCAAAGTTTTGGGCCCGTCAGAGTTTGGTGCGAGCTTTTGGAACCTTCTGCTGAATCGGACGTCTCAAATGCGGGCCAATGACGCGACGATTCTTCTATTCCAGACTACGCTCGATGCGGTCCCTCGCCCATACATCAATGATATCCACGAGGGCATCATTGCGGCGGTGCAAACGCTAGCCGTGTCTCAGTCGACGGGGCGCAGACGGGCCGCGGACATTGGCGTTGCGCTCCGCGAATTGTCGCCCGAAGACCACGGCGCGCTTCTCGAGGGGATCGAAACCGTAGTCTGCCGAGGTTCGGTAGTCTTTGAGGAGGAAACCCGCCAAAAGCTTCACTTCCTTTGGCTGCAGGTCTTGGCACATATGCCGCGGGTCGACTCAACCTACCTTTTTGACGCTTGCGTCAGATCCCAATACTTTGATCGCGAGCTGCCCTGGCACGATGACAGAGATCTCAGCCAGCTTATCCTCCAGCAATGGACTAGCCGCGGGTACCTCGGCGACCACAAGGCCGTTGAGGCATTCTGGGTCCGCGAATCTTCCAGACACGCAACCTCGAGCCTCGCTGCCCTAGTAGCCGGCATCTGCGAAATCGAGCATGACAAACCAAAGCATTTGAGGAGGGAACATGTATGGTTGATCAAAAATCTCATGAAGCTGTTGAGACGCTTCGGCCGCCAGAACCAGCTTGTCGTCTCGATGCAGCGCTTCGCAGAAGCCAGGGATACGATACCTATTATGCCCTTCGCGCGAGTCGCTTCAGCCAGTCACGACTACGAGACGGCTCTCAAGCTTCGTTCGATTTTGCTCTCTCGCGAGGGAAAGCTGGAGGGCCGAATGGGCTCACAATGGCCTTGGACAGCCTGGGTGCCCTACATCAAGTCCATGATAAGAGACAAATCCGTCCCGTCCTGGACCATCTGGTCGGCAGTTCACTGCGGCGATGGCAAGATGAATATTTACCCTGCCAAGCAACGTGATCTCTGGATCAGGAGAATATCTCTGATGGAGGACATGGCAATGTGGTTCGCGAGCGCCAACACAAGGTCGGAAAGGAGTACATTTCGGGACGTTTCCAAATGTATCAACTGGCTGCGGAACAACAAGGTACCGCTGAATAGCAGGTCGATGACGGCAATTGCCAAGGTAGCCACACGGGAACTGAAAAGGGGTGAATTCGGGCGGACTCAACGCCTGGTCTGGTTGATGGACATCATAGGACAGTCCAAGGGACCCGAGCAGAAAGCTTTGGTTGCTCGAGTGCTCCAACGGTGGAGGCAAGCCAATTCCGAACTGGAAATAAAGAGGTGCCGAGAGGCTGAACGGGTCCCGGACGCTGAACGGATTCGAGAGGCGATTAGGGCTCCGGAAAGGAGCGAGTGGTAGAAAGTGTTTTAGAAAATTGAACACACACACACCCGCGAGATGAAGTAATTGGTCCCACAATAAAGGCGTGAAAGAAAAGCGATATGAGGCGTATCCGTGGTGGTGTTTGGAGGGATGAGGGCGATTATGGACGGATAGTGAACCTCGGTGAGACAGGACTGTACATGGCAAAGAAGCGTCGAGACCGGCGATGGAATTCTGCAATGGTAGATGGCCCTTGTTTCGTATCGCGCGGGAACTTTTTTCGTCTTTGCCACGAGGATAAAACGAGCCAAGCGGGTGAAATTAAAAACATTAACAGCTCGACGCTGGAATGTAACGCGGCAACGGAGATGACGCTCGTGGGACGGCATTCCATTGGCCACCCGACGGGCTCTCGGCCGGGGCCAAAGTTGATGAGGGGCTGTCGATTTTCGGCCGCATGCGGCCAGGAAATGATGATGAGTGCGGGACACGTCCCTTCCGGTCCGCGAAACCTAGAGCTCCTTCTCTTTTTCCTTTGTTTGGCTGATGAGACAAGAGTCTTCTTCCAATGCTCGAGGGGAGGAGAAAAAAACTTTATTTCCCTACTGTGGCTATTGAAAAATGGTTGATCCACCAATGGGGCTTTCACGTTTGAGGCTTGGTTTGTCTCTGTCATCCGAGGTGTTGTTGGTTTTGTTCCTGTTGCGGGCGGCAGATCCGACATTGGAGGGTTGTGGTCGTTCGGTGCCGCCCGGTTGACTGATCACCCCCGGGGCGGACGGGAGGGAAAGGCGGAGGAGGGGATGATCATGGTCCTTTGTGGCCCACGAAACGGGGGACCCGGCCGAGCGATGATGTTAGGGCCCTGCGAAGGGTGACGGTGAAAAAGGTACACTACGGGAGGGGGGGGGCAAAATCTTGTGAGTGTTAATATTATGTACCTTACATTAGGGTCGTTTTCCAGTCCATGCACAGACGCCGGGCAAGAGCAGAAAGGGTTCAGCATGATGAAAGAGTATTAGTAGAGGAAACGGCCGAAGCTTGTTAGTGGACGGAAGTCGGAACATTCTGGTCAGAGGGGGTGCGCCGATCAGAGATGGAGCTGGGAGAGGGTACCTTTCTGCATCGTGGTTGCGACTCGGCGGTGACCATGTAAGGCTCTCACCTCGCCAGGCACGGGAATCTCTTCACTCTTCACTCACGAACGATGCCTGGTTCATTAAGAGAGACGAGCGACCTAGAGGAGGCCTGGAATGTGTGGAAGACGGATGGAAGCGGCGCCATCGTTGATTAGGCTTGGTCCCATGTGGAACTCTGCATAGGAACGAGGGCCTGACTTTTCGAATTTCTGCGGATGGGGAATGAGAGGAGGGGCGACGTGTCTGCATGGCATTTCAGTCCTTCTCAGTGGATGGATTCGGGGCACCTCACGACCAAGTCGTAACATTGTTGGACAAAATTTTGCTAATTGAGGTGGGGGGCCGCGGGCGAGATGAGGATGTGATGGGCAGGGGAGGGGAGGGGAGGGGATGCTGCTGCTGCTGCAGCTTCTGGGGGTTACGAAGCAGAGGAAGGGTGGAAGGCAAGAAGGGGATTGTCCGGCCGAGGCACAATTGGCGTGCGGCGTGCCCCTTCCATCTCCCCAACTGTCCCTCTTGATTACGTGCAGCAAAGATGAACACCGCAAAAAGAAAGCGAGATGGGAGGGCCGCGTCCAGTCAGAGGGCGGAGACGACGTCGTTTCGCGACTGATGACATCGAACTCGACTGACATTTGCCGTAGCCCGTTAAGGCGACATTAGCCTACTCCGACCTTGATATAACCTTGCTCAAACAAACGTGGTTGGGGCATGGGTAAACCCGTCATGGGCATGGCCACACCAACTATCATTTTATCAGAGTCAAATCAGAGACTCAGACTCAGAGGCAACGCGGGATGCGAGATTAGAGTTGGGCAGTACGGATAATATCCCGTATGTACTCTGTATATTATTAGACCATGAGTGATGCGCGGGCACGACACTTGGACGAAAGCAAAAGAACCCTGCACGTTGAGCAGCGTCGTTCCATTCGCTTCTGTCCATGCAAAGACAGGATACTCCGTGACTTTGTGACCCCATGACTCCGTACCCGGGAGCGAAACAGATGAGTGATGGGCAAAACGGGGCAGACGCGGAACAGGCTGCAGCACGGCCACGGGAAGGTAGAATGGTATGGCATGGCCACAACGTATGCGAGCACCTGTAAGAGTAGAGAGAAAGAAAGAAAGAATGAAAGATAGAGATAGAGAGGGAGATGGGGACGTTCCGGACGGGTTGGAAGGCCGACGCCAGCTTCTCCCATCGGCAGCTAAACAAGGTCAAGGGAACAGCAGCCCAGAGACAAGAGAGATGGTGCGAAGTAGAGAGATGGAGACAGAAACAGATAAGCTCTGTCTTTGACTCTCTCGCCATGGGCCATGGAAGATTGTCGTATTATTCAAATTTCAGCGGAGGTAAGACCAGGCTCAAAGGCAGCCTGGCACGCCTATGAGGTACGAATAAGTACCTTGACCTAAGTTACCAGTGTTATTCGACGATTAGCGAAGAGGCGCCGTCGACGTGTTGCGTGATGTTGCGATGAACTATTCCCTCCCGGGAGGTGTGTCTTGGGCAGAGAGAAAGAGCCCAGGGGTGCCAAACCCCCGCATCCGGAAGTACTTAGTACCTGCGGCGGATCACCTCGCCCACCTATTCACGCAATCCCGTCCAGCAGGTCTCGCCTGCTCCGTCCGCTGTAGTGTGTGTGTTTCGTGCTGTTCGCTGAGGGCGACTGGATGTTGCGACCGCTGCCGAACAGCGAGCGACAGGACACGGGAGAGGATGCCGTGGGTGCTCTCACCCTTTGTCAGGGCCGGCTAAAGTACCGAATACTTTGCCTTGCGGGAAGGTTGTTCTGGGCCACTTCATCCTGCTCCACACATCTGTCGCTGTTTCCCGTCCCATCCCATCCCATCCTGCCGCAGCAGTTACACGCTTTGTTCGTTTCGTGTCTTGTTCTTCTCCTCGTTCTACTACTTCTTCTACTCTTCTTTTCCATGTCACTCCCTCGTTCGTCCCTTCCTTTCTCTCTTACCTAAACGTAGCTCCTGTCGTCCCACCCCCCTCACCCTCCTCCCCCTCCTCGTCTTGTCCGTTGTTGGACACGGCGTGACACGAATCAAGTTCAAACCCAGTCCAAATCGAGGATACCCTCCTCTTCGTCGCTCCCGCATCTACCGGCATGTATGTGAGAGGGTGAGAGCAATACGTGGATGGGCACTTACATAGGCTTGCGTGCGCCCACCCCCGACCTTGTTTTCTACTCGTCCACCCAACCACCACCACCTCATCCTTCTACTAGGATCAGTCTTCCACAACCGCAACCACCATCACAACCAGGACCAGGACCAGGGACCAGACTAAAATCAACTCTCCTGCATGTCCCGCCCGCTCCTCTCACATATCTCCGTCCACCAGTGGCTCACCGTCCTGCACCCATAGCAGCCCACGTCCTTTTTACGTCCGTAACTCCCCCCCGGAACACCCAGGTAACCCTCGACCGTTCCCAGTTTCTATCCTCTTTGGATCGCATCCTCGACTCTCTTCAACGAATGACCGTCTTGTTTACTTCGATTTTCATCCCGACAGCCTCTCATATCACCCTCCTTTTCCAAACGCATTGACAAGAATCCGAGAACTGACCTGACGCGCGCCCGATCGCCCCCCAACCATCAAATGGACTCTGGGCACTATTCCGCTGCACGTCATGCTGCTGCCGCTGCCGCTGCCGCTGCCGCCTCCGCCGGCGGTGTTGGTGGTGGTGCCGTCTACTCGGCGCAGCCCATCGACCACGCACACGCCTATCACCATGGTCACTCTCACTTACAAACACCCGCGCAATCACCCCATGGTCAGCCACAGTATTACTCGATGAATCCCGTGAGCCCATCCGCACAAGGGCCTTCCATGACGAGCCCGCGCGTCCTACCAAACTCTGATCTCATGCCCGGCGCTCACTCACCGGGCTCAGCAACATCCTCCGCGCCGCACGGCATGACCGGTCTGCCACCCCAACGCGCTTCGTCCCCGGCGCCTTCTGTGTCGGGAGCGCCTAGTCCTGCCTCCAAGCCTATCCGGAGGCGCATGCGCATGATCACATCCTGCCTTGAGTGCCGTCGCCGGAAGCTCAAGTGCAATAAGTCTCAGCCATGTGTCAACTGCATGAAGTTTTCGCGCGACTGCGTCTATCTTAGCCCCAAGCTGGACGAGGCCAGCCAGCTCCGTCTTACAGAGATCAAGGAGAAGGTCGGATCTCTGGAGCGCCAATTGGAGCGTGATGTCGCCAAGACGTCCCGCGCCGCCCAGCAGCAAGCTATCCTCGCAGACGATGTCGAGGACGACTTTGCCGAGGAGCGGAATCTAGAGCCCACAGATATGACGGCTCTCGACGTCACGTATGAGGAAGATGCAGACGGAACCGACGATCTTATTGACCTGGGAGTTCAGGTTGGTCGCATGCGTATCACAGAACGTATCGGTGGCCTGTCCAGACCCAGAATAGCCGAAGAGGTGCGTGTCTTGGTTTTCGTAGGCTTCAGGGGAACTCAAATCCCGAGGATCCTGGAGAACTTGATTTTCTACCTCAAACTGGCGATTTTCTAACGCAGCAGTCAGATCTCGGCCGGTATATCTGGCCCGGGTGGTCCTCCGGGTGGTCCACCAGGTGGTCCACCTTCGGGTGGCCCGATGGGTGGCATGGGCGGAATGATGGCTATGATGGGCGGTAGGGGCATGGGCGGGGCCGGACGAGGCGGGCCGCCCCGTGGTGGACCGCCTCCTGGGTATCCCGGCTTCGGTGGTCCACCTCCCGGCATGGATGCCATGTCTGTCGTAAGCGGAAGTTCTGGTGACTCCATCCCCGACTTTTTGAGGCCTGGTGAATCCTACATTCCCCCCTCGAGTGGCTTCTTCTTTGGCCATACCCCTGAAGCCCTCTCCCTTGACAGAAGATTGCCCCAAAAAGAGGCCGCAGATCGACTTACCCAGCAGTACTTCGCAGCGGTTCATCCCATTGCGCGGTGTGTTCACAGACCGTCCTTTGAGGTTGAGTATCAGAATTTCTGGGATGAAGTGTACAGCAACATTGAGCCAAGGGCTTCCACGCAGGCCGTCATGTTTGCGGCTTGGTTCAGTGCCGCCGTGAGTATGGATGATCCGACAGTGAGGACGTTGTTTGGTGTTACCAAAGCCAACTTGATCGACCGAATGAAGACTGAGACAGAGAGAGCCTTGGGAAAGGCCAACTTCCTCCGCACAACTAGAGTCGAAACTATGCAGGCTTTCATTATGTACATGGTACGGTCTTCCTGCATGCGTCTCATCTTATTCACTGCTGACAACAACTTTAGCTTCCACTCTGCAGAGCCGAGGTATCTCGAGCGCACTCCGTTCTGGTCGGTGCTGCTGTCAGAATGGCGGAGTGTATGGGCTTGCACAGGGATGGAGAGACATATGGGCTGAACCCCCTGGACACACACGTTCGGAGGCTCATCTGGCATCAACTCTGCTTCCTCGATATCCGCACCTGTGAAGCGCAAGGCCCCAGACCAGCCATTAGGAGAGAGGATTACGACACCAAGCTCCCGCTCAATTGCGAAGAGGAAGATTTTTACGCGGCCGGCCCACCTCCGGAACCCGCAGACGTGTGGACTTCTTCGTTACTATCTGCTATTCGGACAGAGTGCAACGAGATGATGCGGGTGATTTGGCTGGACCGCCGGCGGCTCGAAACCCGCAAAACGACACTCACTGCTGTTCTCCAAAAGATTGAAAATTTTAGGCGGCGGATGGTCGAAAAGTACGAACATTTGCTTGATGGTGAGGTGCCCATTCAACGATACGCCAAGCTGGTCATGAACCTGCTCCTCTACCGCCTTCACGTCATGATCCTTCACCCCTACCACGCCAACGCCAACAGCCCCATGACTCACCGCCTCAACAACCTCCTTGTCACCTCGGGCATTATGATCATCGAGCTCTCGATACAGCTTGAGAACGATCCGCAGTTCCGGGAATGGGCCTGGTACTTGGGCGCATACCAACAGTTCCAAATTGCCCTGCTCTTGGCTACCGAAATCTACTACCGACCGCAAAACAAGGAGGCCTACCGTATCTGGGCTTGCCTGGATTACGTATTTGGCACAGATCGCAACCTACCGCCTGAGATTAAGGGTCTGCAGATCCTAGGTGAGATCATGGGCAAAATGCAAACATACCAGAGCATGCGCAAGATGCGTGCACCAACTGGAACCTCACGAGCGCCGCTGAACAAAACTGCCGTCAACGTGAGGAACGAGAACCCCGGGGTGCAAAATGCTCAACAGCCACACGCTGGACACGGCATGCCCATGGGTTTCAAATCGGAGCCTGGTATGGGTGGCCCTGGTGGTGGCATGCAACAACCCTCACCGATGAGCGGCATGGGGTCTCCGGGGATGGCGTCTCCGCCCAACGCGCAGATGCAAGGACCGCCTCCTGGAATCGTCTTTGCCGGCGTGTCAAACGGCGAGGCTATCTGGAGCATGCCGCCTGTGAACGCGGACAGCCCGGAAAGTGTAAGCGACGGAGTCAGTGTTGGCGGCCACAGGCCCTCGCAGCCGATGAATATCATGAACCCTCTCGAGGGTGTAGACTGGGTAGGTCCACATCGCTCCCGAATGCAGGTAACCCGCAACATGCTGATAAGCTCGACTAGGATATCATCAATAACCTGTTCCCTCACGACCCGAATACGGGCGAACTGAACATATCCGGGTTCAACGATCCAACTCTCGGGTTGGTGAACGGATTCCACTGGGCCCAACGATGAGAGTGGCGATATCAGAGGGCAAAGCTGTTTTCTGTGCTTGCTTGCTGTGTGTTTGGTCTTCATTCAACATTTGCGCGATCATGTCTACTGCGTTGGAAACTGCTGCTGCCACAGTTCAAAAAATCCATGATACCACGGCTATTTGTTTATGCATGCTGGTTGGTTCACACGTAATGCGGAGTTGAATGGGTAAAGTCTTAAGGAAGAAAAGTTTACGAATACGTTTTTTTTCGTCACGATGGAATAGAGGAGGATAGCAATGGGGTCAATGAACGCGAAAGGCGCTGGCCTGGAGTGTGTATGAATAGCAGGTCATGCCAAAGGAGAGTGAATGCCTTGGTGGGCGACATCAGTTGGCTGTCTCCATGAGCTAGAGCGTAATAGAAATGATGTCTTCCATGACGGACGGAACTTTGGTGATTTCACTGTGCAGGACAAAACGTGTGTTTGCAATCAGGAAGCCGTCATTCCTTGAGAATGTCCATTGCAACACTTCTTTTGACAAGAATAAGATGTGGGTGGCATCGATTGGGTGAGAAAAAAGGCACAGCACAGGCTGAGAGGCGAGACCCCTTTTCATGATGAAGGAAAGAGAAATAAGAAGATAAAATAAGTAAGAACCCCAGAGGTATCGTCGTGCAACTCGGCAAAGTGGAAGGAAAAAAAAAACTAAAAAGACTAAACAAAAAAAACTTCAGCCATTCTTTTCCCCCTTCCGTGCCTTCCGTGCCTTCCCGTTCCGTCCTCCCGAAGCCAGAAGATGGGAAATATGTCATAAACTTCGTAATCTTTGGATGGTTGTTGTTCTTGTTGGTATCCCGTTTTCTCCCCCCAAACCAATGTACTGATCCTCCCATTTAATGTACTTTCCCACCTCTTGTGTCTAACCGTTTGGGAGCCAATCTTTTTCCATTACATCTAGCACTACCACCTTCACATCGCCTCCCTTCTCTCGTATATTACCCCTCTCTCTCGTCTTAATCCTCATTGCGTAGAGAAAACTCCTCTACCGCACATTGGAGGCTTGATCGGGTAAAAATGTACCCATGCTGAGATCGCTGCGCGTGGCTGCCGTCTGCCCGCCAAGCGACGCACCGCCAGCGTCGCTCCCGGGCGTGAACAGCCTAACGGACTTGCCCTTGGGCCGAGCCACCAGCACCTGGGCAGGACACACAACAATCTCGTCGTCGTTATTGCCGCCGTCGTCGCCCTTCTTGACGACGAGCGGAAACAGGACGATGCGCACGACGGCGCTTTGGGCCTCGAGGGCCTCGTTGGAGGCCGACTTATCGGCGCTGCGCTCGTTCATGAGCGCCGCGTTGAACGTGACGGTCTCGGCGAGTTCGCCATCTGCGTCGTATTCCGGCTGCAGCGGCGGGAGCATCATGTACTCGGCGCGCTGTGTGCGCATCTCGATGGAGAGGTCGACGGCCTCTCGCATCACGCGGCGCAGCTGTGATTGAATCTGGTCCTCCAGATTGGAAGGGGGAGGGAGGACCCTGGACAGCGTTTGGAAGATGGCCTGGACCACGGCCTCGGTGTCGAGGTCGCGCTGGTGCTTGAAGCTGGGGCGCTTGGAAAGCAGCGTCAGGGTGACGGCGCGCCATTGTCGGACGGCCGGGGGAGGGCCGACCTCGGTCAGCAGCTTTTCCAGCGACTTTAACTTTTGTCGCTGCTCGCGGTCCATGCCAAAGAGGTAACGAGTAAACACGAACTCCCAAATCATGTTCATCGTCATGGACATGAAGACATCTCGGCGCCTGACACGGTCGCCGAGATAAGTGTCCACGTCGGTGCCATCCAGGATGGCGTTGTCGAGACGGTCAATGACCTTTTCGTCGTTGATCTCATTTGTCTTGCGGCAGGCGCGCATGTCGGAGAACTTGGAGAAGCGCAGAACCCACTGCTGTACGTGAGAGCAGAGCTGCTGACATCTATGGTCAAAGTGGTCGACGTCCTTGACATTGAGGAAATCGCTGTCGGCGCCCTTGGTAGCCAGGATCTGGCGCTGCATCTGTCGAATCTTGTCCTTGGCCGCATCGAGCTCGGAGCGTAGCCGGCCAATCTCGGCATCCTTCTGTAGTAGTGACTCCTGGAAGTGGTTTTGTTCGTTGCGCACTTGCTCCAATTGTCTGGAGGCTTCAGAGTGCTGGGTCTCCAATGACCGATATCGCTCACTGTGTTGGGCAGCAAGTTGGGTATTGGCGCTGTTCAAGCCCTCATTGACCTCTGTCAACCGGGCGACCTCCTTTTGTAGAAATTCGAGCGATTGCTTGAGGACGTCGATTTCGGCATCGCGCTCTGCCAGAATACCAGAGGCTCTGTTGCTGTTGTGAGAGTCGGCGTGGGATTTGGCGTCTGTGAGCATCCGGTTCTCGGCCATCAATTGTTCGACGCGAGACTCGAGCTCGAGGACTTGCATGCTCTGGCGACGCCGCATGCTGTGTGGTCGGGTAGGCGATCGGGGAGAGCCGATGCGGCCTTCACCGAATCCATCCTACGATTGAGGTCAGTCAAGTTGTCAGAGGCTGGCGATGCAATCACAAGCGCTTCGAGCAACAATAAACACTTGGAATCGCAGGCGGGGAAGCAAAAGAGCAGAAAGAGTAAAATTAATTGTGCGCAATGAAAAACAAAAAACAGCAATGCAAGAATAACTCACAAAGACGTCGGCCATGTCCTTAGTACGGACACGACCTTCGTTGGCGACGGGGGTGTTGGAGGAGCTGGTCGGGTCCTTGTTGAGGTCAAGCTGACTTCGTTGGCTGATGGATCGCAGGTCTCCGCTTACACGCCTGTCGACCCGGCGAAGAGGCGGGGTGGCGTTGCCTGAACGTTTGATGCCTGGGCTCTCAGGCCGCAACGTTAGTGGTTCTGGCGTTGGCGTCCCCATGGCCCGTCGGTGCCGTGACAGGCTGCTGTTGGACATGGATCTGCGCGCTACAGGCTCTGTAGGCGCTGACGGCTGCAGCCGTGCGACCCTGTCGGAAACGCTGCGATTACCTGGTGGGGGAGTGCTGCGTGGTGACGAGACAGTGCTGCTGATTGCTGCACCAGCCAAGGCAGCCGACGCCAGGTCCTGATACTTGTTTCTTCGTCTCTCGAGCTCCGGGCTGATGCCCCGTTTGTACTTTTGCGGCTCTGGAGTTAGCTCCCGTGCTGCAGGTTCTCGTAGTACTGGCGTCCTGGAAAGTGGGTGATCGCGAGCCTCTCCGTCAATCACTGACACTTTTTCTGGGGACTTCGCTCTCTCCAGCTCTCGAGATCGTCGTCTTTCGCTTCTATGAACCCTCAACTCGGGAGTCCCGCGCCCATCCCGGACTGGTGATCTTTGTCCCTGCCAGTCCCGAAGGTGAATGCCGCTGTCTCGCTGCTCTTCATTGTCGAACCCGCCCTTTCTGAGCGGGTGAGGCGAGCTGGGTACAAACCCGCTGTCTCGGGTTGGGTCCGGTGAGCCCGTGGTTGTGCGAGAAGCAGGTCTGTACAACAATCGAGGTTCGAGATCGCTCCCATCGTGACCTTCCTCCTGAACAGGCGGCAAGATGCTCGGCACCGGGCTCCGGAAACCGCTCATCTCGAAGGTCCGCTCAGGGCTGTTTGGAGAACGTCCAACGAATAGGTCGCGACGGGCCTCGGCCTCGAACCCACGGTCGACGGCTTCGTCCATCTCGCTGACCATAGTATTCTTCATGGGTGTTTTTGCGCCTCGGCTCAATGAGCGCTGTTGTGTCGTCATGCCTGTAGACTCGCTTGCCTGTTCTGCTCCGATCTCTCTGCCGAGAATCGGGCTCTCAATGTTGTCATCCTGAGCCTTTCCCTTGAGCGGTGCTACGAGACTCAAAACATCCTTCGCCTTGTCTTTCTCCTGTGTCGTTCCTTTCGATACGTCTTCTTCCAAGCTTCGTGATGCTGGAGACGCGCCGGGCTTTTGTTCATGGAAAATGGTCTCCTGTGTTTGGCTCGGAATGTCCTCCTTTCTTTGAAGCGAGGGACCAAAGACGTCGTCCGCCGCCATGCTCGTCCTGGCTGATGGCTCCGGCATGTGGTCATCAGCAGCATCCTCACCGCCGCCCCAAAAGTCCTCCACCTCCTTGGTTGCAATTTCGTTGACATCTTTTCTATCGGCACCTTCCCAGAGAGAAGGTTCATCGAACATGTCTTCCTCTTGCGCCGCGCGTATATCCTCGTACTTTGATTTCTTTCCCTTCTTCTTCTTACTGCTAGACTTGCTGGCAAGGGCTGCAGCACCAGCAGCAACTGCTGCTGCCCCTACTGCGGCGCCAATGCCCAACGACTCGGATGCCTTCTTCTCTGGTATGCTTTGCTGAACAGGTTCAACCGGCTTATGGTCATACTTGTGCTCCATGTACGAAGCAGCGATGTCCAGAGACGTGGCCGGTTCTGATTCCCGAAGAGACTCATCTTTGCCCGCGGTCGGCCCAGAAATCTCTTGCTCACGAGGTACGTCGGCTTCAGGGGTAGGGAGTTCATCTCCAGCTTTGCTGATGCCCTCTACAGGGGTTTTGTGGTCATCAAAGTACGCAGCAGCAACGTCTCGAGAGCTAATGATCGGCTCTGGGAGAAGAGTGTCGGATAACTCTCTCGTCTTCATCTTCTTGCGCTTGTTTGGCTGATCAAAAGGCAGTTCGTGAACGACGGTGCTGGTCTCTTGTGCGGGAGTGAGATCGATGTCCACTGACTTGTTCGACGTAGGCGATGGGGTATTGACATTGGTAGGCTCGGGAACAATGTCTGCAGGAGATTCGAGGGCAGATGCGGTCTCTGGAGGCGGTGGCGCTGAAGGGCTTCGAGTGATATCGCGCGGTGCACTGTCGAAATACTCAACCTGGCCTGTCGCATTTTCAGATGGGCCGGGCCCAGGCACAAACGGTTCTTGTTCCGACTGTAAGTTGGTGCTGATGGGTGAGCGGTCCAGAGTTGTATACTGTTTCTTGCCCTTCTTGCCCTTCTTCGACTTTTTGGGTGCGGGGATGTCCCATTCATCATCACCAGCAATGATGGGTTGAGGCGTTGATTCTGGTTCGACTATACTGGTTGTCTGATGAAGTACGTCTTCCAAAGGAAACGAGGTCTTGGCAACATCAGCGTCAGTGGTGGTGTCGGCAAAGTTCTCTGATGTCTTCGTTGGGTTATGACCGCTCTCAATTATGGGTAGGGCTGGGGCGCTCGTCTGCTCCTCGAGGAACGTTGCTGGTTCTTCCGCAAAAGAAAGCCGCTTGGGCTTCTTCTTGTCTTTCTTCGACTTCTTGGAGACGAGCTCCTCCGCAAATGGTTCTTGCGGCGCAACATCAACCTCGCCGGGTTCCTGAGATATTCCCTCAGGGATGACATCAGGCGCTGGCTCGATGATAGTCGCCTGTTCAGAGGGTTCTGTGGTCTCGAGAGAGGGCGTGGCCGGCTCGTCGAGCTGCACCTGGCTGTCGCGCTTTTTGTCGTCTTTTTTGAACTTCTCGAGACCAAATGTCTCTTCAGGCTCCTCAGGGGACATATTCTTCAGGATAATTGGTACGCTTGGTTCCTCAAAGCTCCGCATGTCGTCCTGCTCGGTTACGTCCAATGGAGCGCTGGGCAAGACCGGATCCACCAGGGTATCATCAGGGAATGTCTCATTTCCGATTGCCTTCTCCGATGTAGGTTCAGCAGCCGGTGCGTTCTCAACTGTTGTCTGGGGTTGGTCGAGGTCTCGGTGGTGGTCAGGGGTCAAGGCATCCATCTTGTCGGGGCTTGCTGATGCATCGGAAGTGGACAGAGGCTGATGAGCACCTGTGGACTCGAGGGACCTGTCCGCTGCGATATTGTCATCTGTCGATGCCGGCTTGTCGGTCGCAACATAGTCTCCGGTTCTCGAGGCAAGCTCTTCAATTGGAGACTGGCGACCCAGTGTTGGTTCGATATCCTGCTGCTCAGTCGACTCAAGCTTGGATATTGCCGTGTCAGATGCCAAGGGCGACTCGTGTTCAGCGTCGTCAAATGCCAGGCTCTGTCGCTTCTTCTTTTTGTCCTTCTTGTTCTTCTTCGCAGGTGCGAAATCAGCAAGGCCAGTATAGGGCACGACCTCTGGCTTGGCCACGACGTCAGGCGTTTCGGATGGACGGAGTTGATCGTAAGGATCCTCGGAGAGTCTCTCAGATGAGATGGGAGCGACGGATTCTTGCTGAATCGAAGATGCAGCATCAGGCTGGCTGTCCAGAACATTCGGCTTGGGTTCAAGGCCCAGAGTGCTCATTGGTTCGTCTGATTCCTTTGGTTGCTCAGGCTGGTCATCTTGTGAGAGGACAACTGTGGGTTGGGTCTCGTGAACCACCGAAGCCGCCTGCGCATCGGAGATGATCTCGGGCTCTGTGCGAGTGGTCTCAACCTCGGGCTCAACTGAGAGAGACTGCTTCTTCTTGTTCTTCTTACCCTTCTTCGAAGTTGATGCCTCGGGCGAGTCCTCAGCAGGCAGGACCGTTTCCTCTACAGGCTCGACGGCCGAGCTCTCAATGATAGGCTCTGCAGTGCTGGGCTCTTCGATTGAATTGGCGGCAGTGCTTTCCGACGCGGTACCTTGTTTTTCAGCAGCTGGGACGATAGGTTCGAGCTCAACCAAGGTAGACTTTCTCTTCTTCTTGTCTTTCTTGGACTTTTTGACTACGAACTCTGATGGCTCCTCGGCAGCAGGCGTGTCTTCCGGGCTCTTCTCGGTCTCAAGGTCAAGAGATTTGGACTCGGTTGATGGTTGGGGCTGGTCCTCGACCGTCGGTGCTGAAGAATGCTCCCGCGGGCCCTCATGCGCAGGTGAAGACCTTGCTTCCTTCTGCACTAAGGCTTCTGCAGAGTCGCCCTCAAGTGACGCTTCCACAGGATGCTCGGCCGGTGGGATCTCTAAAACCATCTTATCAGAGGCCAGAGATCTGTTGGTAGTGGTAGCATTGTCAGCATGTGTCACGTCCTCCTCGGTGTCTTCAATGGTTGTCTCCATCGGGGTGGCGGTTCCAGATGCAAGATCGAAATCCTCTTCGGCCATGGACTTCTTCTTTTTCTTCTTATCCTTCTTGGACTTCTTGACAGGCACACTCTCGGGCCATTCTTCCTCAACTGGTCCGCCAGTTGGAAGCTGGGAATCCTTGGCGATGGCATCTGGATCAATGGCAGTATCCAGTTGGTTCGAGGGTATATGTGCTCGTGCGATGGTTTTCTCGATAGAGCGATCTTCCACCTCTTCGATTGGGGCCGAGATTGGCTCAGCCTCGGGTGATTTGGCATCTGCAGAAGTCTCTGCCGGCTCGACGGATACATTGGGCAACTGCGTTTGTTGACTCACGGGCTGAAGTGCCTCCTCAGCTGGGGTGGCAGTTCCCGATGGGATCTCAAAGTCATCCTGAGTTTTGCTCTTCTTCTTCTTGTCCTTCTTCGACTTCTTCTGGAAGGCTGAGAATTCGAGGTTTGGACTCTCGTTGGAAGCCTCGATAGGTGTCTGAATGGGGCCATCGACGGGAGCCAACTCGACAGGCGTCCTGTTAGGTTTTTCAGCGGAAGATTCCTCCACCGGAGCTGTGGTAACCTCTGTCGCGATAGTCTGCGAGTCTGTGTCGGCTGATTGCATCTCCTTAACCTCATCAACGTCAGAAGGCACAGAAAATGGCCCGCTACCCATCTTTGCCGCCTCTTCTGCGCCTGCAGTGATGGCATCTCCTTGGGCTACTGATTCTGCTACCGAATCCTCCTTGCTTGCTTCGGTTGGTTTCAGTGACGGAGCATCGGTGGTAGTTGCGCCTGTGGCTTCTTTAACATCAGGAGCGAATCCGCCGACGGGCTCTGAGGGCTCTTCGGCAGTGGGCGTTGCGGTTCCAGAGGGGGTTTTCGAGTCGTCTTGAAGCTTGCCCTTCTTATTCTTTTTCTTGTCCTTCTTTGACAACTTCGGGGATGAATAATCCTCCACAGGTTGAGGAGAGTCTTGGGCAGCACGGGAAGACTTCTCTGTTACCGCCATTTCGATTGACTCTTTGGCTGGCTCCTCACGAGATTCTTCGGCGTTCTCAAGCTGCATCGACCGTTCGGCATGCTGGTCAACTGCAGCACTTGGCATTGATGTGGAAGGTTCCTCTACTGCAGCATCTGTGTGCTCGACGAACCCGACAGGGTCGCTCATCAAAGGCTCACGGATGGGCTCGGCAGCCGCTTCGGCAGATGGCTCTGTGGTTGGTTCGGTCGTTTGAGTGATAGTCTCAGTCGAAGGTTCGGTCTCAACCATGATCAAGGCCTTGCCCTTCTTCTTCTTCTTGTCTTTCTTCGCCTTCTTGCCGATCACCGGGGATTCATCATCAACATTGACATCTGGAGGTGCGGAAGTATCGTTTTGGCTCTCAGCCTTTTCTGGTGCATGATTCACCTCAATAAGTACTGGGCTCGCATCCTTGGGAGTGTCATCAGATGTCGCAGCAGTCTCTGCTTCGGGTGCGAGGGACTGCTCGGATGGGATGTCTGCATTATTGCTGGCGGCCTTGTCGTGATGGTCGTCCTTCGCTTCGGGGGTAGCTTCCTCGGCGGCAGCAGCCATCTCGACCATCTCCTTCTTCTGCTTCTGCTTCTTATTCAGACCTTTTAAAGGGTCCTCTTCGATGGCTAGCGGTTCCGACTCGGACTTCTCGGCGGGCTTCTCTTCAGTAGTCTCCTCGGCAAGCGTTTCCTCAGCAGGCATTTCCTCGGTGGCCTTGCTCTCAAACTCCACTTCATCAGGCTTTTCTTTAGAGACTTGTGAAGCTTCAGCAGTGGCAGCCTCAGAAACAGCAGCAGCAGCAGCCGCCATCTCACGCATTTTCTTCTTTTTCTGCTTACTGCTTAGCCCCTTGAAGGGGTCCTCGTCGACCTGGGACGCCTCTGCAACAAGAGAGTCTTCCACATCCTTCTCATCGGTGGCTTTGTGGTCGATAGGCACCTTCTCGTCGGCCGGGGCTTCAGCAGGCGTCTCTTCAATAGCCTTATCCTCGGCGAGAGTCTCTGCAGGTGTCTCATCGAAAACCTTGTCTTCATAGACCACCTGCTCCACAGGCTTTGCTTCGGCCTCGGCGGCAGCCATCGCAACCATCTCCTTCTTCTTCCCGTTCTTGCTCAGGCCAGCGAAAGGATCCTCTTTGGTTTGAGGCTGCTCGGGCTCCGGTTCAGGCACCGACTTTGATTCGGATGGAGGCTCTTTTGTATCGACACCCTGAGCAACAGGCTCCCCGTCGGCAAGTTTGATTGTCGCGGGCATCTCATCCTCGGCCGCTTTTTGCTTGGAGGATGACTCCAGGGCCTCTGAGACAGCCTCAGCAGCGGCAGTGGCCTCAGCGGCCTTAGCGGCGGCAGCTACCTCGGCTTTCATCTTCTTTTGCTTGTTGTGCAGACCTTTGGAAGAATCCTCCTCAATTTTGGCTGGCTCTAATCCTGGCTCTGACCCAATATCTGGCTCCGCTGCGCCTTCTGGCTCCGATGCAGGCTGCTTCTCGATTAACGACTGGATGGGAGTCTTATCAGCGGTCGTGTCTTCGACAAGCGTCTTCTCATTGGCAAGCTTCCCATCAGCAGGCTTCTTCTCGGCGGAGGTCTCGTCGGTGGAGTTCTCCTCGGCCAGCACGTCCTCTGCGGGGTGCAGCTCAATGGGAGTATCGTCGGCAGGTTTCTCCTCAGCAGCGTTGTCTTCCGGTGTCTTCTCAGCCTCGACAGAAGCGGCAGCAGTGGCAGCAGCGGCAGCAGCTTGGGCGGCCGCCTTCATCTCGGCCATCTTCTTCTTCCTCTGCTTTTTATTCATACCCTTGAACGGGCCCTCCTCATTCTTTGGCTGCTCCGCTGACTTCGCTGCAGCCTCTGGGGCACTCACTGGTTCCTCTGTGGGTTGTGGCTCTGGCACAGAAGTCTCCTCGATGGTGTTCCCATCAGTACACTGCGCCCCGGCAGGGCTCTCAACAGCAGGCGCGGAGTTGGCACATTGTTCCTCGGTGGTCGCCTTAGGCTCCTCGGCAGCGGTTTCAGCAACAACGACCGGCTCGGTAGCAGTCTCGGCCAGGGCAGCAGCGGCAGCGATCTCTGCCTTCTTGTTCTTCTTCTGTTTGTTGCTCATGTCTTTGAAGGGATCTTCCTCGACCTCAGGCTGTTCCGATTCCGGTGCCGTCTTCTCTTCGATAGTCGTTTCTTGCTCGGGCTCCGTTTCGGCAGGAACCCCTGTCTGTTGGATAGTCTCTGTTGGAAGTGCGGGCTTTTCCGATGTGTCTTTCAGCTGGTTACTCTCCTCGGCACCAGAAACGACGGCTTCCTCGCGAGTTTCCTTCTGCTGCAGCACAGGTATCGATAAAGGCGTAGCTCCTGTCTCTAAAATCGGAAGTTGCTCGTCCAAAGCATCAAGCTTAGCGTCCTTTTTGTCCTTCTTCTTGCCCTTCTTCGATTTCTTCGAGGTGGCGACCTCTTCCGCTATAGGCGTCGACCATTGTTCTTCAATGGCAGGACCCTCGGGAGTGATGGCTCTTGACTCGGTGATTACTGCTACCTCTGATGGGATAGTTACGTCCTCCGATGCTTTGGAGCTTGACTCTTCTGCGGCCGGTTCAACGGCAGGCATGGTTGACGGCTCGGAAGTCTGCATTACGTCCAGCAGGTCAATTTCCTTGGCCACAGGCTCCGGGTACGACGTCGCTGGCGCCTCATCGGGGGTGCTAGAAGCGAGATCCTTCTTCTTTTTCTCGTCCTTCCTAGACTTCCTCGTAACAGCCGGGAGTTCTTCTTCCGGCAGTGCACTGGTGCTATCTGCAGGCGTCTCGATCGTCGCCGCTGGAGTAGGATCTGTTTGGCTGAGAGGCTCTGATGGTGTTTCCTGACTGACTTGAGGTTCTTCAGTCGTAGGGTTGAGGGAGGCTCCTACTTCCGTGTCGGTAGGCTGCAAAGTTGCTGTTGAGTCTTGGGTCGGAGGTGCTTCCTCAGACTTCAGGTCGTCCTGGGCATCGGCCTTTGGCAGGTCTTCAGGTGCCGTATCCAATGAAGCACGACCATCTTCAGAAGGCTTCTGTGCTGTGTCGTCAGGCAACGAGACGTCATCAGGAGAAGCAGATGGGGTCGCCCTTTCTTGGTGTTCAGATGACTCCTCTAGTTGAGTCGGCGACTGAGGAAGTTCCCGACTATCATCCAATTGAAGGCTTTGCTGCTTCTTCTTCTTTTTCTTGTCCTTTTTACTTTTCTTGGTCGGCTCAAAATCATTGATGTCAGCCTCTGCGGGTTCGGCTAGCAGCTCATCTTTTGTTGTTGATAGTAATGAACTTTGAACCTCCTCCGATATGCTTTCCGCAGGGATTTGCGTCTCTTCACTCTTCTTGGACTCTGCACTTCCCAGAACATCCGTGGGGACCTCTGTTGTTCCCACGTGGGTTGGCTGGTGGTCACCAGTATCATCCTCCCTGGAGGCTTCATCCACACCTGAGGATTGCAAAGTAGCTTCCGCCTCAGCAGCAATCTCGCGCGTTTCAGGTGCAGACTCGGTGCTTTTCTCTTCCACTACAGCAGACGCTTGAGCTGCGGCCTTCTTTTTCTTGTCTCTTTTACTCTTTTTGCCAGCTGGCTGAACTGCCCATTCATCCTCGCCAGCCTCAATTGCTTCTGTTACGGCGGCCGCCTCCAGGGCGTCCGCAACGGGCAGCGAGGGTTCCGGCCCCGCCTGTTCCGATGCTTGGACCTGTTCATCAATGGCCTTGACAGCCGGGGCTCCGTCGTCCACAATCTGTGACTTGAGATTTTGGACATCATCCTGAGGGATTGGTTCGGAAGCTGCGGCCTTGGTCTTCTTTTTGCTGCTCTTCTTGTCCTTCTTGGACATCTTGCTCGAGCTTGAGGGCTCAGAACCAATGTCGTCTCCCTGACCGGCTTGTAACTCGGTCTGGTCGGGGTCCTGGGCGGTGCTCGGGTCCCCTGTCGATTCAACGCTGGGGAGGGTCTCCGAAAGCGGCTCTAGTTGCGGCTCCGGAGTGATCGGTTGACCCAACGATTCCGAATTGTCTGACTGGCCCGGGGGTTCAGCATTGGCCGCGAGAGGATCGAATTCCTTTCGCTGGTCCTTCTTTTCTTCTTTCTTTTCGACGTTTGAGATCTTGTCTAGTTGGACGTCTTCCGAAAGGGTCTCGGCAGAAGAGTCAGTAATCCCCGCGTCAGACTTTTTGCCAACCTCCAATGATGTCTGACTGTGTACCTGTCCTAGAGGTTGGGGGATCTCCGTGTTTGTGTCTTGATTCGCCAAGGCTATGACCGGGGGTAAAAGTGGACCTCCAGCCTCCAGGGCCGAGTCGGTGAGGGCCGGTCCCACGGGTTGGGCATCCGCTATCCGCCCGTTTTGCGTGTTCTCCAGTGATTTGTCGTCAATCGGCTCCACACCCACATGCAGGCCGGGGTCCTGGCTGCCGACCTCTCCCGTTTGAGCGTTGGTTCCCGTTGATGGTTCGTCAATGGTGTCAGGGCGGCCCGCAGCTTCGGGGACCGATGTTGCACCAGCCTGGGTGCTAGCCACCTGCTCCGCGTCCACCTCCCGCTCTAATGTCTCACCGCCCTTCTCGTTGGCCACTTCTGCGCCGCCCTCACTGGAAGACGCAGTCGCTGAAGGCTCCCCAAACGCAGACCAGGGCTGTTCAGGCTGAAGGTCCATTGGCTCGCCTGCAACTCCCCGCGTTGTGTTCAGCCCAGCAGATGACGGAACTTCGTCGCCGGGGGTCGGGGTGGTGTCTTGCAGTGTGGGCAAAGCCTCGATTGCAGGGTGCATCTGTGCTTGGCCATCGGAGTCGAGATCCTTCTCCGCTCCGGGCGTGGCTGTTTGGTCGATATCGATGCCTTGCGAGGCCGAAACGTCGCCTTGACTGCCTGCTTCGGGCAAGTCCCCTGTCTTTGAAGCATCCTCAGCCGAGCTTAGCTCGGTTGCAGTGGATGCCTCAATGATGGAATCGCTTTCCGTGTTGCTTGCCGTCTCCGAGCCAGCTTCGTCTTTATGAGGCAGTTCAGGCTCAACAATGGTCGAGAAAGACTCCAGTTCAGGTGCCCAGGTCACGGATTTCCTCTTCTTCTTGCCCGCAGTTGTAGCAGTCGGCCACTCAGCCTCTGTCGACGTATCTGCTTGCGGGAAGGGGATTTCGTCACTGCTAAGCTCTCCCGATGGAGAGGTCAAATAAGCGGACTGTTCTCTTGTATTCGCTACATCTGTCGAGTTTTCGAGGGTACTCTCCGGGTCCAGGGTGGAAGACTTCTTGCCCTTCTTCTTCTTCTTTCCCTTTTTGTTAACAGTTGGTCCTGGGTCTGCCTCCTCTGAAATCTTGCTGTCCGTAGCGAATTCTCCGCTCGCGGGGGGTTCTTGCGATGATTGCTCCATCTCCCCAGTCTTGTCTGAAATTGTGTTCGAGTCTCCAATGTCCGTGATTGTCTTGTCTGGGATCGACTCGTCCGTAACCTTCTCGTCCATTGTATCCTTCTTGTCCGAATCCTTGGCGGCGTCCTCAACAGTTGGTTCCAATGCGACGACAGCGGCGGCTGCAGCGGCAGCGGCAGCAGCAGCAGCCTTCTTGGCCTTCTTCTTGCTCTTATTGGATGATGGTGCTTCCGATTCAATTGGAGAGTCCAGACCACGGTTCTGCTGGTCCTCGGCGAATGATTCTTGCGGTTTGAAGTCAAGTGAAGCAGTTTGGCTGTCGACCAACGTCGGCTCCTGAGAAGCATTCTCGAAAACCTCATCCGGACTAATAGGAGTGGCAGGATCTTGCGGAGGTGTGAGGAAGGCTTCGTCCTGGCTTTCTGTCATTGCTGACGTTTGAGATCCCGCTTGAGCTGTCTCCTCCGCGGCGAAATTTGCTACGTTGACATCGATCGGCTGGAATTGATCGGCTGTGTCAACCAATTTCTGCTCATCTGGCGCATCAATCACAGGGGATTTCTCGTCAGTAGCTGAGTTAGATGAAGCGATGTCTGCAGGTGCGATAGGGAGCTCATCGTTGACGACTGTGCTAGCTTCCGGGTCCTCTTCGACTGCCTTCTTGTCCTTCTTCTTCTTTTTCTTTGATTTCTTAGAGGACTTGGAAGTCTCCTCGGTCGGAGTCGAATCTTGCGGTTGCTCGGCGGGAAGGGTAGAAGAGGTAGGAGTCTCAGGAGCCTCTGCTGTGGAAGGGCCCGTTTCAGCCGGTACGTCTGGCTTGTTGGTCTGCAGGACGGTATCTTCCGATTGCTGTGCGTTCGCGCGGATGGGTTCAAAGGCGTCGGCATCGGTAATATTGTTTCCACTGGATAGGTCTTCGGCGACTGTCTCTATGGTTGGAACTTCTGAGACGGATGCCTCGGCCGCTGGCTCTTCAGTGGATGCCTTATCAGTGACGAAGCCTTCAGCTGAGAGAGGTTGCGATGGCAAAGCCTCAGTGGTCGAAGTCTCAACTTCCGGGGTCTCAACAACCGGAGTCTCGGCAGCCGGAGTCTCGACGGAAGTCTCGACGGCAGGAGTCTCGACGGCAGGAGTCTCGACGGCAGGAGTCTCGACGGCAGGAGTCTCGACGGCAGGAGTCTCGACGGCAGGAGTCTCGACGGCAGGAGTCTCGACGGCAGGAGTCTCGATAGAAAGAGCCTGAACAGAGGGGACCTCAGTGGTAGGGGCGTCGGCAAAGTACTCGGGAGCAGGACTCTCGATTCCCCAGGCGTCGAACGCCGGGGTGTCGATGGCGGGAGCTTCACCAACACGGACATCGGAGGCGGGAGTCTCAGTAGTAGTAGCCTTAGTAGAAGGGACCTCAGTGGTAGGAGTCTGAACGCCTGGGGATTGCAGAGGCGTCGACTCGGATGACATCACGTCGTCCAACTGCGACAGCGAGGTACCCTTGCCCTTCTTCTTCTTTTTCTTCCTCTTCCCGGACGCTTCGGATTGAACGGGCTCAGCCGGTGGCGACATCACGCTCAGAATAGGAGGCTCAGAAGTTGCCGTTGCGCTGTCGTCTACGACAGCTGGCACATTGTCAGAAGTTTCAAGGGCGGGAACGGAAGCTTCCTCAGTGACATCTTCCGGAAGTGGTACCGCGGCAGCATCCCTCTCAGCCGAAGCTGGTTCGGGTACTTCGTCAGTCTTTTCGGCAACATCCTCCGGAAGAGGCACTGCCGCAGCATCCGCTTCGGCAATAGCTTGTTCAGGTGCCTGCTCAGCGATGTCATCTTCCCTTGGAAGAGGAACAGTAGTAGCATCTGGTTCGGCATTGGGTAAAGCAGACGTCTCCTCGGGTGTCTTCACAACAGGCGTTTTCGCCGTTGTGTTATCGACGACAGCCTCCGCGGAGAGAGCTTGAGAGGTGTCGTAATCGTTTGGTCCGACGTCCAAGCCTGATGCAGAAGGTTCTGTGCTCGCGGCTATTTCGGTAAATGAAGGCTTTGCGTCAGCTTCAATCACATCTTCAGTTTCTGCAGTCTGGTCGTTCTTGGACTTCTTCAGCTTCTTCTTCTGCTTCTTGGATAACGGCGCAGAGAAAATCTCAGCTGGATCCTCTGCCCCACGCGATTCGACAGAGATCTCGTCAGTGATTTGTTCGGCTGCCGGTTGTTGTGAAGCCTCATTGCTCTCTGCAGCAGAGATGTCTGCTAGGCCAGAGACAGAAGGCTGCTGTTGCCAGGGGTCCTCATCTAGCTGCCATGGATCGTCTTCCGGGTTGGGTGAGACTTCCTCCTGTGCCAAAGGTGCAGGCTGCGCTTCGGGAATGGTCATGTCGGCGTCGGCGGGTTTGTCATTTTGGCCAAGAGTAACAGTCTGCTGCTCAGCCAAGCTATCAGATAAGTCAAGTGACTTGTCGTTGGACTCGAAGTGGTGCGGTGGTGATCCCGATAGCGCAATGGGCTTTTCCTCTGAGCCTTGGCCATATTGCTGGCCAAGCAACTTGTCTTGGATCTCGCTTAACTTAATCTCTGGTGCCTCGGAAACGGAACCGGGGTCTTGGACCTCGTTCGTGGTGACAATTGACTCTCGCTGTTCGGGCACAGTGTCGCCAGCAGCGTTCAGGGACCTAGCTTCGTTATCTGGTGCGGGAGTGCCTGATTCAGAAGAGACAGTCAAGGGCTCAGGGGCCGAGCTAGATGGTAGAGGCTCATTTGTCACATCCATAGACTTTTTCCCCTTCTTCTTCTTTTTACCCTTCTTAGTGTCAGGGACTGAAGAATCAGGAGTTGAGGAAGTAGCAGGAAATTCAGCCTCGACTTCCTCCTTCAGAACATTGGCCTTAGGCACTGGCTCTTGGGCCACATCTTTGATCGTGACGGTGACTGGTACCTCGGTGACAGGGAGTACTGGGAGTTGTTCGGCTTCATTCGTATCCTTGATCTCCTGGCCGTCGGCAGAAGGGACCTGAGGAGGTTCTGGAATAGACTCTGAAGCCTTGGGAATCTCACTGGCTTGGGCAGGACTAGCTTTTGCGGCAGCCAACTCGGCCGCGGCGGCCATCGCAGCCAGCTTCTTCTTTCTCTGCTTTTTGCTCAAACCCGCAAGCGGGTCTTCATCCACCTTGGGCTGCTCTGGTTCTGCTTCAGGCTGCTTCTCCTCCACGTCCGCGAGAGAAGTGGCTACAAGCTGCTCAGGCTCGGTTGGTTCCTTAGCTTGAGAGGGGTTGGTTTCAGCAGCAGCAGTCGCTTCAACAGCCAACTGTGTTTCTTCGACGGACTCCGAGGGTGGCGTGACGGTAAGCTGCTCTACTTCCACCGTTTTACTGGTTTCAGTGGCTTCGGCGGCGGCAGCAGCAGCAGCCTCAGCCTTCTTCTTCTTTTTCTGCTTCTTGCTCAAGCCAGCAAAGGGATCCACGTCAACCACTGGTTGCTCTTCAGGCTTAGCCTGTTCAATCAACGGTTCCAGCGACTCATTGACGTGCTCGGGGAGTGGAACAGCAGCAGCTATTTCGGCTTCGGATAACTCTTTCTCCTTGGTAGCATCTACTGGCTCAGAAGAAGTTTCCAGAACGGTCTCCGAGAGTTCAGGGAGAGGCACTTCCGCAGCTCTTTCGGCTTCCGTGGTCTCCGTAGCCTTTTTGGCATCGAATAGTGGCTCCAAGATAGCTCCGGGTGGAGGGCTTGAAGAGATGGGGGCGGTCTTGGCTTCAGAGGCGTCAGCTTCGGTAGTAGCGATGGCAGCGGCGGTGGCGGCGGTGGCGGCGGCAGCCATGGCTGCCATCTTCTTTTTCTTCTGCTTCTTACTCAAGCCGGCAAAGGGATCCTCTTCAACTTTAGGCTTCTCCTCGAACTTGACTTGCTCTTCAGCCTTGACCTGTTCTGAGGGCTCCTTCGTATCCAACGAAGGCATCTCTTGGACGTTCTCAGGGAGCGGCTCAGCCGGAGTCTGCTTGACCTCACGGGCCTCTGCAGCCTTTTCAAGAACTGGCAGGGAAGTTGACGTAGCCCCTGTGTAGAAAGCGATCTCATGCTCGTGCTTGACATCGGCAAGAGAGTCCAAGGGAGCCTCGAAGGTCTCGTCGGACGAGGCCTTCGGTAGGGGGATAGCCGCCGCCTCTTCAAGCACGGTAAGGGGAGTCGACTGTCCCTCTGTGTCGATGGCGATCTCAGGCTTGTACTCGACATCAGCCAAAGAGTCCAGAGGAGCATCGACAACCTCATCCGAGGCTTCCGGCAACGGGATAGCCGCAGCTCGTTCAACCTCAGTCGTCTTCGCAGTCTGCTCAAACTTGGGCGCAGAAGCGGAGGGCGGCGTCGTGTCTGCTTCGGAGGTGGCCTTGCTATTCTGCTCGGTCGACCCACCGGATCGTTCGAGCTCCTGCATCTCGGCCTGAGCCTGCTCCCAAGCCTTCTTGATCTTGAGTTGCTTTCTTTCCTTTTTGGACAGCTTCTTCTCGGGCGCGCTGTCCTCGGGGGAAGGCTCGGGTGTGGCAGGTTCGAGGGCTGTTTCGTCGACCAGAGCATTGCGACCCACAGAGACGCTTTCTTCTGCTGGGGATTTGCCAGCATCAGCACCATCGCTGGGCACAGATGGAACCTCCTCGACCGCGACGGGGGCCTCATCGTTTGGCGCTACAGACTGAATCTCCCTGGTTGAAAGCAGCGCATCATCGATACGCTGAACTGAGGGAGCAAACTCGGTTGATAGAAGCGCGTCTTCGTCGGCAGATGCAGCAGGCAGTGGCGGCAAAACGTCCGCGCTAGTAGGCTCATTCGAGAAGATTTCGACTGAAGGAACCTCGGCTGGCTGCTCCGTAGCCCTATCGACTGGCGAAGCGGGAACAGCTTCAGTTGAGACAAAGGTCGGCTCTTCGGTCGGCATGGTGCGTGCATGGTCGCTTGACGGCAAGAAGTCCTCATCTATCGAGCCGATTGCAAGAGGCTCATTTGACACTAAGCCTCCATCGGTATCTGTCGCAAGAACGGGAGTAGGCTCAGCTGAAGAGGGACCGTCGACTGAAGCACCCTTGCCCTTCTTCTTCTTCTTTTTGTCTTTCTTGGACTTCTTCCCTTCAACCAGCGGTGGCATCGTTGGCTCGGGAGATTCCAAGGCCTTTGCTTCTTGGTCAATCTCTGTAGGGTTGTCTTGGGTCCTGGCATGGTCTGCGAGGTAGGCAGCCCCTAGACCAGCCGCGGCACCTCCCAACAAAGCGCCAATAGCAGCATCGCGAGAGCTAGAGTGACCATCATACTCAACCTCGGTCAAAATAGCGGCAACGTCGCGAGAGCTGTTAGGCGTGGGGCTTGATGGTGTTTCTGATGTGTCACGATCCGTTAGAGTTTTGACGATTGATGGGGGCGTCATGTGTAGGAGATACGAACTTCTTTCTTTGGACGTGGTCTCTACTTGTTCCGGCTCGGGCTCCTCAGATGCGTACGTGGCAGGGCTGTCGGGGAGAGCTGGTAGCTGGTCTAGCTTAGCCTCCGGAATGTCCGAATGGTGAATAGGGCTAGCAATCGCCGTCGCTGGGGATGCAACGGGGCTGGCAGGAAGCGGCGGCAAGTCTTGCAACTCCGGCGGGGTGATGGCAGATCCCGCAACTGGAGGAAGGGCTGGTGATGCCGGGTCTGGCAAGCCTCTCTCCTGAGAAATGAATGCTGCTGAAGCAGGTCCTTGACTCAATGTCGGCGACATCAACGGACTGGCAGGAAGAACGGGTAGGTCCTCAAGCTCATGCTTTGAGAGATCCAATCGTCGAGGGGTGGCGTCTGGAGCGTCTGGAATGACGTGCAGACCAGGCGATGCCGCATCGAACATGGCACCAGCATGCTGGATTGCATGTTCTGCCTTTGGCGTAGTTTCCTGCGAGCTGAAACGACGCTTCGCATGTTCGGGATAATATGACATATCCGTGTCAAGGCGAAGGTCAGGCTCAAAGGGCGATGCCTGAAGCTGATGGAAATAGTTCACATCGTCATCGCGCAGCGCGAATTCCGGTGCGGGAGACTCCCGCGAGGACGGCTCGCTCGGAGGCAGCTCGGGGAAATCGACGGGTGGCTCCATCGACTGAGCTGCGGATTCCTGACGAGCCTGCTCGAGCAAGTAGAGGGGCTTGATTTCTCGACTGCTCTCCCACGATATGGGCCTCGAGGGGCGTCTGGAAAGGGAAGCGGGGTGCGGAGGGGTGATGTGCGTGGTTTCGGGGGACGTCGGCACCGCTGGGGAAGTGGCGGGCGAGACTCCAAAGGTGCCGGGAGACGACGGCGCCGACCTCTGCCCCAGTCGCAGCTTGAAGGGAACAGCAGTCTGACTTGGGCTTCTAGTCGGTGTCTCCATATTGCTGCGCTTGCGCGCGTGTGTCTTTGGCGTCTTGGAGTCGTGCTGGCGCCTACGCTCTTCTGGTGGCGTCTCCGGCCGGCTGTCGGGCAAGGCGGGAAGCTCATCCAGATCTGTCTGGGTAGGGGAGCCAGGGGTACTGGGCGGCATTGGGCTGGGTGGCAGAGGGAGGAAGTCTCCGTACTGAGGATCGATGGCAGGTCTAATAGTCCGCGGCACGATCTCAGGATCGACAATGTCAACGTCTCGCGGGGGACTGGCGGATCTCTCGCGATATCGAGGAGCATCTGACGACTCTTCCAACTGCGGTTCGGTGGCGTTGGAGCGGGACATCATGGAGCCCAAAGCTGCCACGGCGCTCGCCAAGCCGGCACCCGCGCCAAGGGTGCCGGCATTATCTAAAAAAGACGACTTCTCATCCTTGCCAGATACATCCTTGCTGCTCCTATTTCCAAACAGGTTGTTGAAGAAGCCGCTACTGCGCTTCTCCTCTTCCTTGGGACTCTTCTTGTCGTCCCGGCTACGTCTCTTGCGTTCAGAGCTTTCGGACACCACCGACTTGGCATCGTCGTCGTAGCGAGGGCCATTGGAGTGTCGGTCAGACTTCTCACGTCGAGACGAACGGTCAGAGACTGGGTCCCGATAGTCCTCACGGCGACTTTTGGAGCGGCGTTCTGACTTTTCGCTCCGTGTTGCGGGATCGGACACAACTGAACTAACATCCCTATCATCGAACCGACTGCTCCGGGACCGACGGTCAGATTTCTCACGTCGGCTCGAGGGGTCAGAGACCACAGAACTCGCGTCTGCCTCATCGTACCGGCTGCTTCGAGGTTGACGTTCCGATTTGTCACGCCGGCTTGCAGGATCAGAGACTACGGAGCTCACGTCGCGGTCTTCGTTCCGGCTGCTCTTGGAACGGCGGTCGGACTTCTCGCGCCTGCTCGATGGATCAGACACCACAGAGCTCACATCTCGTTCTTCGAACTTGGAACGGTCCCGCTGAGATTTGGCCGGAACATCGTCCCATCCTTCAAGATCATCGCGAGTGTTGTTTCGTTCGACCGTTGGAGTCGCAGTGTAATCGCTCTGTTTCTCCACATCTGTCCATTCATCTGAGCTCTGCTTGGACTTCTTGGACTTCTTCTTCTTCTTCGCAGACTCCTCCCACGCATCTTCGCCAGTCTCGTGAGGCTCACTGGATCGGTACAACTCCCTCTCGGGCAGCTTCTCGCGGGAAGTGCTCGGTTCGTTATAAGAAGATGGCTCTTGGGCTGTTGGCTCATCATCATCATCATCGTACGTGACTACGATGTCAGATCTCGAGGCTCGACTCTTTTTCTTGTCTTTCTTGCTCGTTTTCGTAGATGGAGAGGCCTCATGATCTGCTGGGGCGGCTTCGGGGTCCACTGCTCCAGAGGCGGGAGTCTCACCATAAGGGTTCGTTGCCCCAGAAGAGGCGGGCAAACCCCAGGTAGGTGCGTCCTGGGACCCACGAGTCTTTGGGCCAAGCGCCACAACGGTCTCTGGGCTTTGAGGAGTGTCGTAGTAGCTGCGTGGCCTCTCGTAAGGAGGGCCCGTCTCTGCAAAGGGAGCAGGCTGATCTCGGTAAGCTATAGGAGGCTCACCGTCGTAGCTGTTAGGTCTATCGTAGGGGGCCATGGTTTGCGAATAAGGAGCTGGCGGAGGTTGGGGTGCAGCTTCAGTGACATCGTGATAGCTATGAGGTCTGCCGTAGGCGTGGTCCATCGGTGCGAAGGGGTTGGGCTCAGCTTGTGGTGTGGCTTCGGGAACGTCATAATAGCCGTGTGGTCTTCGGTAAACAGGGGTTGTTGCAGACGAAGGAGTAGGTTCAGGTTGTGATCTGGACTCGGGGGTATCGTATGTCTCTCCGGGTAACGTGCTATCGAGGCTTTGCCTCTTCGACGCCTTTTGCTTGCGCTTCTCCTTCTTACTCAGCTTCCTCGACGGCTGAGCTTCTTCAACTGGCGGCTCCTGCTCTATGAAGGGTGGTTCTTTGGCCTTGCCCTTGTCACGGCGCTCTATTTCGCGAGGGGAGTCGGTCGCGTGCCCGTTGTTCAACTGCTTCTCAACCACTGGCGTGTCTGGCACTTCGCCGATGACAAAGCCGCGATCGATCGTAATGGGCCCATCATGGGTATGATCAGGCCCATATATACCCAGGTCGGTGACAGTCTCCGCGAAAGGCTGCTGATAGACAGCCGGCTCACTCTGTCCTGGTGGACTGTCGCGTCGCATATAGGTGGGGTTATCAATAACAATGTTCGGGTCAAATCCAGTGTCTTGGAGACCAGCAGCCAGCACAGACGCAAATTCTAAATCATCCGCAAAGGCGCCAGGCATTCTAGATGTTTGAGGGCTAGACGGCTTTGGGCCGGGGGCCGGAGGCAAGTCCGCCTCATCCTCAAACGATGTGGTAAGCTTGGGCGGAGCAGATTCAAGAATGGGCGACATAGGCTCAACGCTACGAGACTTGGGTGATTCTGGGGGACTGTGTCTCTCCCTGTCTTCTTCCGGCTTGCTTTCGAAAGGATCGCGCATCTCGGGGGCTTCGGAGACTGCAGCGGCTACAGCTCCACCAGCAACGCCTGCCGCGATGATGCCCCATGGTGAGCTCTTGCCGAGTTTCTTCTTCTTTTTCGACTTGCTAGAAGTGCTGGACGGCGCCTTTCTCGGAGGCTCTGGGCTCTCAATCTGGAAGCTCTTCGTCTCATTTTCGCCCCAACTGACTGACTTAGCTGTGGGTGTCGTTGGCCTTTCCACGACCTCACCTCTAGGCCCAAGAACAATGTCAGCTGCAGGGACGGCTTTAGATGAAGGCGCATCAGGTGCTTCAACCGATCTAGATTGATCAGAATTCCTTGTTCTGCTGGAGGGCTGTTCTTCTCTTTGCTTCTCAGGGGCGGGCGTGTGGCGTGGCGTGACAACGGGTGTGGGAAGGACGAGGTTCAGCAGCGGTCGTTCACGCTCGGCAGAAGGATCGCGAGATTGGAAAATCGGTTGTGCGCCAGAATCGAGCTGGCCGTAGGGCAGGCGGAAGCGGGAAAGCTCATCAGGGATGATGACATGATCAATACGAACATCAGCGTTGGGCGCGTCATACGGGCTCTTGTCATGGGGGTGGTCCATCTGCGGCGGCGTTACAATCGTGACGATATCAGGCCCTTCATCGTGGTCCTGCCACTTGCCAACGACGGACCCGTCATGGGGAGACGCGCTGCGTGAGCGAATCTCGTCCTTGGCAATCTTGCGGGCGATGGCAATCTCACGGTAGTACCTATCGGCCTCTTCTTGCACCGCGTCCTTGGTGGCTCGAGATCTATCGCGGGACCCATCCTCGGTCACATGATCGTTGCGGTGCTTGCGCGATCTCTCCTCTTCCACGGCGATGGCAGACGCAATGGCAGCTGCGGCTATCGGCACAGTAGCATGCTTTGCCTCGTCGTAGATGGACTTTGCAGCGTGCTGTTCTTCTTGGAGCGAGTCCCCCCGGTGGCGTGCCTCAGGGGTCCGGGAATGGTCTCGTGCTCCTTGCTGATACTGCTCCAAGCGCTTCTCGAGTTCAAAGGAGTCTTTGCGGCTCATTCGGGATTCGGAGTAGTCGGGCTTTCTTGGCGGAGAGTCGTCAAAGTTGGGTTCGCGGTCAACGGTCACGACCTGGGGAGTCAAGGGCCTCTTTGGGGTGGCGTACTTTGGCGTTTGGAAGGCATCATCAGCGACCTGGAACTGGAAAGGGTCAATAGGGGCTTGTGCACTGGGGGCCTCGGGATGCTCCACCCCATGTTTCTCTCGGGGCGACTCAGTCGGCTTCTCTACCCGCTTCGCATCCCGGCGTTCATCCACGACCACCGGCTTACGGTCATCCCTACGAGGTTCCTTGGGTTCCTCACGTGGCCGGCGGTCATCTTTTGGGTCAAACTCCACTCGAATCTCGTCACCTTGGGGTAGCTTGTACACCTCCGGGCGAGGGTCAGTCTTGACGTCAGGCTTCTTCAAGGCCTCATAGGCGGGATCAGAACGACCGGTGCGATGCTTGTCTCGGTCGTCGATGATCTCGACGTTATTGCGTCGATGTGGCCGGCGGGCGTAGCTCTGATCACGAGGGTCGCGGTCTTCCAGCTCGATCCTTACTGGACGTTCGGGTTCATCCTCTTTGCGGCGGCTTTGCCAGGAATCGTGGAAATCCTCCCGACGGTAGTCCCGCACTTCGCTTCGACGATCGTTGTGATGTTCGAGGTACTCGCCCGGATCTCTACGGTTAGCAGCCATGGTCGCACCGAGAGCCGCGGCGGCGACGCCTACGCCAGCGATGGCATTCTCGGCAGCACTTCTCCCTTTGGGTAGCTGGCGGGGTTGCTTGGAGCTCCGGCGCTCCTCCTCCTCCTCCTCGAATCTCTCTGCATCGTAAACCTTAGATGGGAGAGGGACAATGGGAATGGGCTGCTGAATAGGGACCGGCTCAGGTCGGGCACGCTGGGGAACATCTTGGCGGGATGAGGTTACAGAGCTACGGTCGTAGTCGAACTTATCCGGATCCGACGTCGGCACGGGATAGATTCGCTGCATCGGCTGTTTCCCGGTCTTGGGTGATTCGACCTGTGCTACCGTCTCTTCGTGGTGGCGGCGGGAAGAACCAGCGGACCGGGGGTCTTCCTCGCCGAAGCCGCATGGGCTTTTGACGGCGCCGCGAAGAGAGTTTACGGGGCCGAAGAGACGCGGGTCCACAATAGTACTCCTCCGCTGGGGTGGCTTGATCTGCTCCGGGGGCTCCGTCGAAATTCTTGCCGACTTGGACGGCTTGATGGCGGAGCCATATGCCAGGCCGTTGTCTGAATCATCCGTAGTAGACTCATCTTCGGACGCCGATTCCCAATCATCGTCCGAGGAGGATGCGTTTTCATTAGGTTTAGAAGTGCCAGATCCTCTAGTCTTACTGTCGCTCTTACTCTTACTATGGAAGTGGCTGAAAGCGGCGGCGGCGGCGGCGGCACCGGCCGCGGTACCGGCCAACTGGGATGTCCGCGACTTGGCAGCCGACTTGAGATCATGCTCGTTTTGCCTCCGCGCAATGTCTTGCAGTTGGCGCCCAATCTCAAGAATTTCTTCGTCGGTCTTATCGCGAGGCACCGGGGGTGGTTGGTGACGGGTGTCAGCTGGCTCAGTGCGGTACAGTGAAGGACTCGCGTAGGCTTGCGGCCTCGGGCTCGCTTGCTGACTCTTATCGCGGTCAATATAGCCACGACCGTAAGCCATGTCGGAATTAACCGAGGACGAAGAGGAATTGCCAAAGGAGAGTATGCGGGCTTTATGTTTCTTCCGCCTACGACGTTTGCGCTGCTCAGAAGGGGCTCTAAAGAATGTGTTGAAGAGGCCACCAAACTTGGGGCTCTTGGCTGAGATGTTGAGCATGGAGGACGATGTCGAAGACGACGAGGAAGCACTCGATCCGCCTCGCGGGCGCATCCTCTCGGGCTCGCGGTGTCCTTGGTACCCCTGCGGTTGGACATGTCGTTCAGGTTCGCCATATCCTAGAGGCTGGACGAAGACATCAGATGGGGGGTACTGCTGTTGTTGGTGCTGATCAGGGTGTGGGTATCGTTGTGGCTCGCCATATCGCTGAGGATCGGGGTATCTTTCAGAAGGGGCGGCATGTGTCTCGGGTTCGGGGTATCTCTGAGGTTCGACGTAGGATTGGGAGTATTGCGATTGCGAATACATTTGCGGCAAGGGCTGCTGTTGTGTTTGGGGCCTATGTGATGGGCCGGGGATGCTCGATATGATGCTCTCGTCAGCGGCGGCGAGCTGTTCGCGAAGATCACGGCGGTCTGTTCTTCGCCGCCGAGAGCTCTCTGGGCTCCGGCGACGCGGATCTCGCATCATGGTCGCGACGGCGTATCGAACCCTGTCGTGCGCATCTGTCGCCGGCTGGAGTTGGGCACACGCGATTGAATGACAGGATCTTCGACGGCGTGGGGTGTCGAATTTTCGCTTGGGTGAATTAAGGTGAGGCTGTGCTTCGAGTACGCAGACAATAATCTGGCGATGTTATTGTTTTGTTTTTCGAGGAAGTAGCGACGAAGCGGGACAGGCCGTGAAGCTATATCCCGGGGGTGTCCCCCAAAAAACTGACCGAGCGGGGGGGTGGGAAGCCTTCAAGCCTGGAAGGGGGGAAGGGGGGAAGGGTGGCTGGGGACACAATCTACCTTGCCTTTGGACGATGAGCGCTGAGAGGGCGGCTTGTTGGACAGGACTGAAGCTAGGCCCTTCCTGGTTCGAGAAGGAGAGGGAGGCAGCACCTTAGGTTCTCACCTCAGATGGCGGCGGGGTAGCCCAGCGGTAACGAACCACTAAGACGAGGTGAACAGGGTGAGGCGAGCTGCCTGCGAAATTAGCAATTGGGACGAAAAGGACGGCAGCAGCTATAAGCATCCCTGCCCTGTCCGACCGCGGGACCCTGTTGAAATTGCCCGCGCTTACGTACGGATGCCTTACTTAACAATTCACATTGCACAGTTCAATCCCATCCGTCATCCATTTCCATCCATCATCCATGCCTTCAGCTGCTACAGCCTGAGCCACACCTTTCTCTTGAGGTCAGCGAGTGCCACCCGATACCACCATCCTCGACGTCCCATGTGGAGATCAGCCCGGCTCGCCTCCCCGCTCCCCTCGCCAACGCATCCTTACCGCCTCTTCCCAGAGTCTTTCTTTTTATCCTCTGATGAGACGTGTCGAAGCCCGTCGCACAAAGATGCGATGCGCTTCATGTCTTGATTCATCACTTGATTCATCAACTGCACACCGACGGCCTCTCTGACCCTCTGGGTCTGATCCATCCAGGTTGGGTCGTATCTCAAGACAGTGTGTTCTGTACAAAGTGCTGTAAAACCACGGCTTCGACAGGGATCTGCACCGTCGTCCTGCAGCCTACTGCAACCTGTCTAACCAGGTCATCTGCGGCAACACGTGTAACCACTCTGACTGTCACCTCCTGCGCCCTGGGAGATTGCCCATTGCCAGCGTCTCATGGCCTTGCCTGGTTGTGAAAGGCCCAATGCATACGTAGTAGAGGACCACGGGTTGAGAGATTCGCAGCACCATCTTGATTGGACGCCGCCGTAGTGTGAGCCACAATCGCAGACATCGGCCGATCGGGTATCGCGATGGTGTCAGAAAATCTTTGACAGAAAGGCGGATTCCTGTCTGCGCCTGCATGGCGGCCTGAGCCAAGGCGTTGGCTGTTGTTGCTCGACCTCGACTGACTGGCAGGTTTCAGCAATCCTCACCACCTCTGGCCGGCGCGCGTCGTTTTTAAAGGTCCCATTGTGTCTCCACCTGCCGGAGAGCCACATTTACCGGACTGTCCGTCGGACCCCATCAGCCGCATAACACCCCGAGTCCCCGCGCCCGCCGGCCGGAGGACGGATTTTACGGCCCCCTCAGGAACCATGAATTGTGTGGACCACTTGCCAAAATCAAACAATGACGGGCCATTGTGTATGGATCATCTCATCTAGCTGACTCGGAAAGTATTCTAGGCCTGTCGGGAATTAAATCCTTGCAACGGGTTGGTTCCGAAGCCAGGGTTTCGTGGTCTAGCCGAAGCACAAGGCATCGGAACGATCCCGAATATGCGTTCTAGGGAACTTCTCTTCAGGGCGGCCGGCTCACCTTTAAACGTCATGATAAAAGCGTTTGATTCTTGTTGTAAAATGCAGACTTCCTATCATTGCTAACCTCATAGTTTGTATCCAAAACCCACAACATTCTCTACCTCAAAAATGGACGCACCGCGTTTACAAAGCGTTCTTGAACGCCTACGACAAGAACATTTCGTGGCCACCGTACTCTTCACCGTCGCCGCCACAACCGCCGTTCTCGTCGCGATAGTGCTTCAGTATTTCAAGCCAGTCGGCAAACGCAGAGGAAAGGATGGAAGACGTCCCGTCCTGCCCCCGGGCCCCAAAGGCGTTCCCTTGTTCGGGAACCTGCTCCAGGTCAACGCCAGCAAAGGAGACCCTTACAATAGAGGCGTACGTACCCATCTTCTCGTGGAAGCTGCCCTTACAAGACCATATCTCACATGTGCTTAATCCAGCTCCTCTCCATGGCAAAATACGGAGAAATGACTACCCTCCACCTCGGCTCCAAGACCATGGTCCTCCTGAACAACAGCAGGGTCGTTAGCGAGATCTTCGCAAAGCGAAGTAGCCAGACGAACAACCGGTCCCCGATGCCCATTTCCAACGATCTCGTCGCCCGCAACCGCAAGTCCGTCCTCCAGGCGCAAAAGGACTGGGCCGAGCCGCGACGTGTCATGCACACCCTCCTCAGCGGCACCGCGCTGCGGCAGTACGGTGAGTTCCAGGAGCTCGAGAGCACGCAGATGCTGGCCGAGTACGTCTTGAAGCCGGAAAAGTGGTACCGTCACCACTACCGCTACGCCAACTCCGTCATCCACCGCATCGTCCTCGGCGAGCGCCTGGTCAAGACCAACGAGGAGCTCATCGAAATGCAAAACGCCGTCACCTTCTTCGTCGGCAGCATCGGCAGCAGCATCATCGACTGGTTCCCGGACTTGGCCAAGCTCCCGCGCTTCATGCAGCTCTGGAGGCCGCACTGGGACGCCCTCGGCCAGTGGAACTACGACCTCTACGATAGGTGGTACAGCCCCATCGCGGCCAAAGTCGAAAACGGCACCGCGCCCCCATCCTTCGTCCGCGACACGCTGCTTCACCCGGACACAAAGTACAAGGGCGACCACGTCGACGGCATGTTCGTCGCCATGCAGCTTATCGAGGCCGGCAGCGATACCACGCGCGAGGCCCTCAACATCATGACCATGACGGCGCTCGAGTACCCAGACGTTTTCGTGAAGGCCCGCGCCGAGGTGGACGCCCTCTGCGGCGTCGACGCCGACGCCAGGCTGCCCACCCTTGCCGACATGGACGACCTCAAGTATATCTGCGCCATGGCCAAGGAGATTTTGCGCTGGCACCCCATCTTCCCGCTCGCCCCGGACCACTCGACGTCCCAGGACATGGAGTTTGAGGGATACTTCTTCCCCGCGGGCACCAGCTTCGCCATCAACGGGCCCGCCGTCGCTCACGAGTGCGAGGATCCGGAAGATTTCAAGCCCGAGAGGTGGTTGAACGGCCACGAGGCGGATATCACACACGGGTTGTGGGCCTTTGGCGGTGGCCGACGTATTTGTGTGGGATACCGCCTGGCTCAGCGCAGCATGTTCTTGAGCATTGCCAGGTTGGTCCAGTGTGCCAACTACAAGCCTGTGAGTGCTTCCCCCCCTCTGCTTTCTTTGCCTCCCTGTTTCAGTACTTCTTGTTTATGTGGCAAGCTCACTAATTACCTACTTCCAGAATGGAGAATACGACAAGCACACCCTGAACCTGGAGGCCACGGGCGAGCCGTTCCCCGTCAAAGTCACCATGAGAAATGAGCATTACAATGCTCTCATCCTGCGCGAAGCTCAGGTTGCTGGTGTTTTGGAGGACGCCAAGTTGGAGCGGGACTGATTTCATGCAACTAGCCCCCATTTTCTAGAAGACATTATTTAGCGGGCAACTTTATGGTAAAGTGTGCCACCCTGGACGACATAGATTTCCTTTCCTTTTAGACTCAACGGATAGATCATTACACAATAGACTAAACTCTGCTTTATTTACCCATCAGCCACACCAGCTTCTCCCAGCTGGGGCATGTTCTTTTCTCTCTCTCAAGCGTTTGAGGTTTCGTATCCCATCATCTCCCACCCGCGGAAGAAAGACATGGGATCGGGCTCGAGAAGCAGCGAGACATCGATATCCTCCGGAAGCGACCAGCTCTCCGCCATGCCCGCGTAAATTTCGGGGTCCATCTGCTCTCCACACGGTTCTCTCGCTGTAAATAGACAAAAGAAAAAGGCGGTCAGCGTCTCTATAAAAAAAAATTACGCCATTTGGCGGCGGGAAGGGAATTGGATTCTTTTTGTGCGCGACGTCACACTCACCTGCTTGTAGTTGCGTCACGGCCCCGTCAATCTTGCGAAGCAGATCCAGCGACTTGCGAGCCGAGGCGCTAAATGTGGCGATGCCCTGCAAGATACCCTGGCACTGCTCCCACGAGGCGGACGTCGCTGCGCGGTCCAGCCCGGCCCAGAGACGCGGACACAGGCGGCAGACGATCAAGACCAAGCCGGCAGCACAAGCATCTAGAGATTTCCATGTAACAGCGTTAGCCCACCAATCTACTGAAAGTACGCGCGCGGAAACTGGCCGCGGAGGGCGGGGGAAGGGGGGCAAGGGTTCTTACACAAGCTATTCCACCACCACGCCCCCGTCGTGTCCTTCTGATACGAGTCGTGGACTAGAGCGATGAGCTGCATGGCCGCGTCCACGCACACCATGGCGCACTCCGTCAGGAACGGCGCCCTAAGACCTCTGTCCTGGGCCTGTTGTCTGGTCGGTGGTGCTTCTGCTAGGCCTCCGGCGGCATCCCGATGAGGTCGGGCGTACGAGGCAGAGAGATCGGTGAGGATCGGTCTGTGAAGCATGAGGCGAACATACAAGAATCTGCGTTCGGAACGGTCATGTTTAGTCGGTGTCCCCTAACAATTCTACAACCCTCTCGTGGTGCAACGTACCTAGCATGGAGGGCGTGTTTCTGACTGGCGAGAATACGGAGGTTATCTGGGTCCGATACCGCCCCGTCTAGCCGGGAGACGGTATCATCCCCCCACGACAGAAACGGCGGTACGGAGTCCTCAAAGTCGGTCAACTTCGTGTCGAGTTCGACAATGGCGTCGAAGCCCAGGACTTGGCCTCCTACCCCCACCCCCACTCCTCCCCCTCCCCCTCCTCCTCGCACGCCGCAACTTGCTTTCTGCATAGGATGCCGGTTCCGCCATGGCTGGTAGACTTGCGAGAGGATATTTTCGAGTATCAGGCTCAACCTGAAGCTTTGAGTGATGAACTCTAGCTTGGGTCGCTCGAGACTCGGGTCTGCGGCGGAATGGGACCTTGAAAGCAAGTCGTTTGCTGATAGACAAGAGGTCACAGTGGGTCGACCAAACGTCATGCTCACGAGACTGGAAGAAAACCGTTAGATCTTCTGAATCGCCGCATACCTTTTACCATGGGTCGAAAGGTGGGGCATGGGAACAGGGGTCCACTCACGTATCAAGTATAACACATCCCTGCCATGTCCGCTGCCTCACATCCATTTCCAAAGTAAGCCCCTCGCCTGGCTCCCGCGCGGCCACGGCATCCATGTGAAGTCCGAGGCCCTGCGCAATCCGGCACGCGATGCCGACGGCGTTCCAGCATCGGTCAGGAAACGGCGTCCCTTGAAAGACCAACCCGCACAGCAGCAAGGTCTGCACGACGCCCAAGTTGTTTTTCTCGAGCAGGTCGACACTGGAGCACTTTCTGCTCCGTAGGAGAAAGATCTCGATGCTCTTGGCCTTTTCCGCGCTGGTGAGGTCCGCAAAGTTACAGGCGAGCGCGAACATGGAGTTGAGCGCGCTGTGGAAGACGATGGTGCTGGCGTCCGCGCCGGGGGAGCAGCCAAGGCCGACGCCACGGAATTCATCGTCTGCTTCGGCTGCTGCTGCAGTCGCCGTCGCCGTTGCCGGTTCCCAGAGAGACCTGTATGCCCTTTCGAAGGCGGGTCTATGAAACACGGGGCAGAGGTAGTGGAATCTTTGGAAATACAGGTCGATGAGATAATCGGCGAAAGGTCGAGGAGGGAGCAGAAACTTGTCAAAGTCTGCGTATAGAGACGGCGTTGAGACGGACGATGCCTGCTGGCTTCGAAACGGCGTGGATGACTGAGCTCTTGAAGGAACAGAGCTCATCGCACGGTAGGCCTCCTTCAAGAATGCAACGGCTGAGGAGCTGCCGTAGAAATCAGGCTCCGTAGAGTTGGGTAAGTCCTCGAGGTCGTCCTCGGCGAGGATTGTGCCCATTGCGGTCACCCGCCTGGCCTCGCTAGAGCTTTCGACGCCGACAGACGAGTACGGCGATGGGAACTGGGCGGCTTGTTCGTCGGATGTTTCCAGGGCGGTGTCTAGTGCGGTGTCCAGTGCGATGTCCAGTGCGTTGAAGTCTCGAGCTACGGCGGATGAGTGAGTATCCGCGGGTCCCTGGATGTCTTGCCCAGTGGCTTCGAGGGTGTTGACGTCGATGCCGCGCGACGCGCAAGCCTGTTCCAGCTTGCGAATACGCTCATGAAGCGTCTTTGTGTAGCTTTTGGGGGGTGGTAAACGTAAGTGATACGGAGAAAGTAGGAGGTGAGAGCACTGGCGACAACTCACTCATCGCTACATGCCGTTCTGGCATTGTTCACTGTGTAGATGCAGTGTTCGAGGTCCAGGGACCGGCGCTGACAAGTCGAGCATATGGGCTTGCCACCGTCGCAGCGCGCCTTGCGCTCTCGGCATGGCTCACATGCCAGTGTGATTTTACGACGACGCTGCCGTTCCTGTCGCCCAGAAGGCATCGTGGGACGCTGAATCCCGCCGTGATGCTCAAGTATGCCGGCGTTGAAGATGTTGCTTTGTCAATGAGAATGCGCTCCTTCGATCTCGGTTGGTAACTACCGAAATCTTCTCATAGTGACTTGAGGTTCTCGACACCGTCAGGATCAACTGAAAAAGGAAAGTCAAAGTACTGCCAAGAGGAACCACACGGAGATGTCGGATGAAGGTGTTCGTCCTATGGTACCCCAGGGTGGACTCGTGGACTCTGGGTCAATCGAGTTTTGTGGGCTATATCCTTGACGTGCAGGTTCGGACCGTGTAGTTTCCCGACGGAAGCGGGCCATGGCGGCAGTTCAAAGCCAACCGGGAACTAGCAGTAGCGCTATGACTATCAGCTGCGCATTGATTGGTGGTTGGTTTCGTACTCGCATCAATTGTTTGACTCAATACCTAGTAATAAGAATCCATGTAGGCTAGGAGTCGTTGATGAACTTGTGCCTGTGTCTGGTCTACGGATAATAGGGTATATGTATCGCCACGCTACGCTTTGTCTACGGGCATCTCCCCGCGGCAAATAAAGATGAAGTCACCGCAAATATCAGTGAGTGAATAGGCTATTTGGTAAACATTTTCAGACGCATTCCAAAACGGAAACAATTAGACAATTGGTCCGCCTGAGCCGCTGGCAGCCGCTGGCAACATGAGGAATTCCAACAGTCTGATAATCTACTTGGACATGAAGAAAACAAGAGCTTTCAACGAAAGCAGAGCCTGGCTTACGGCCGCAGCAAATCCTCTATTGTCACTTGTTCCCCAAGCCGCGAGACCGAGCAACCTGGCCAGAACAATAAGCAAAGCGCGCGGCTGTCTTCTCTTCATCGATGAGACCGAGCTGGCTTATCCCTGTAACGCAAAAACTTAAGTAGTTAGCTTTGTTATTCGATATACCAGAAATACCCCTGGGAGCAGAAGTAACTCATGGCATTCCACGTCTTGGTGTCGTCTGCCGACTTCCGAAAGTACCAGCTGCTGCGTCCCGAGTTCGACACTGTGCTTGCCCCTCGGGCCCGCCAAAGGACTTCCAATGGCTCGGTATCGTCTCGCCCCTTCGCCCGACGTTGTCGATCCCGGCGGCGAACTCGTTTGGGTTAGTATCGGTTATACTCTAATTCTCACTAGTCTTAGCTTTTACCCCAACTCGCACCTAAACACACCTTATCTCTTAACCTTAATTCCATCGAAAGACCTATCGTCAGCTTACCTAAGCACGTGACACCATGCGCGATAATTCCAGGTCAATAGGGGATGCGTATTGTCAGGTCGTCATATCATTCGTACCCGTTGGCCAGAATGATCAGGTCGGCCTCGATCAGACCCTTCTCCGTCCTGACGCCCCCCGACACGATCTCCAGCGCCTTCTCGTTCGTCAACGTCTGGTTCTCCGTGGGCAGGCTCTCCAAATAACCCGGATCAAAGATGCGCCGCTTGCAACCGATCTAGACCTCGAGAACCAGGAGGTCTTGGTACTTGGACGGCACCGTAGACCACAAATAGTCCTCCGCAATCTTCTTCTGTCCCGCCCGAAACGTACCTGCGGCCTCCGACAAGGGAAACCCCCTCAGCAAGTTCTCGGTCGCGGCGAAGACGATGAAGCGCATGCAAGCCAGGGCGGGGACGGTCGTGAGCCCGCGCCGGATCACGTCGGGCACCTTGCTTTCAATGGGCGGGAAGATCCAGTGCTTCGATCGCACAATCTGCGACAGCGACTTTGTCTAATGGACGTTGTTCGGGATGACCTGCGCGGCCGTGCACCCATTGCCGAATAGGACGATCGTCTTCCTCTCGAGCTCAATCTCCGGGTGCCACCGGCCGGTGTGCTCGATCATGCCCTTGAAGGTGTCTGCACCGGGCACGTCAGTGTCGTTGGGTGTGACCAGCGCCACCCGTGCTCGCGAACAAGAACTGGCACTCGTGAAAGGAGGTGGCACCCGGCTTGATGTGGCGGATCGTCAAACGCCATCGGGCTTGCTCTTCAGTCCACTCGCAGCGTTCGCCAGCATGTCAAAAGGGCATGTTCCTCCGGAGGTTGTACTTGTGGGCGACGTTGTTAAGGTACTCCCAGATCTCCGAGTATGTCGGTAGGACTCTCGTGCTGTAGGAATCGGGCCGGGTTCGAAGGAGAAACTATACCATGGCTGGGGACATCGCAAGCGTACCCTGGATGATGAGATCGAGAGGCTGTTAGCTCATGTTTTGGAGACTGCCTCGAGGCATCGAGACGTCCAAACGTACCCGGCAGTGCCGGGTATCGATTGATGAAGCAAGTTCCGCCCAGTTGACTATGCCATTCGAAAACATTTGCGTCTTCGATTCCGTACCATCGATTCAGCGTTGCCCCTAGGCTAATGGCTGCGATACCAGAACCGATACAGGCGAATTGGTCGTAAGAAACATGTACGGTCTCGCTGACGTTGATTGTCGTCGCCGTGGTGCAGTATCGTGTGGTTCAAGCTGAAAAGAATGGGGTATGTAGCATGCAACGACGCTAGGTAAGATTCCGGTGGCAAATGTGACGTTAAGAGGACACACAAATAAATTGGAGAGCTTGCCATCTCATTGTCGTATTTCCAGGCGTGTCGTCTATCTTGTATAACCTGCCATCCATCATTATGTTGCTGTGCTGTGATTGGCCTCGGACACTTTCCGTAAATGGATACTGGAGGGGTTGCGGACCTGTTCCCATTGGTCGGAACGATTCCGACGAAGACAGCGGATAAGGCACCTAGGTATCCGTATTTAACGGACATTGGAGCTGCGGCCCCCACCGTAATTTTCCTTCTCGCACTTCCGTGGCCTGTGATCCGTCTGAGACAGTGTCGAAGGCGATGTGCGCCCCTCAGAAGAAAAGACTTAAAACGGGCATATGAAGGGCGTATTTTCGCTTCAATCCCTTTGCCAACCGCGTTTTACACGGGATTTCTTAAGCAAGGATTGTGAAAGTCAGCTCGTCACATCAAATTGGATAATAACCTCTTATTACTTGAAAAGACTATTATTGTGGGGTTTCAATTGAGATTGGACGATCTTGTGGTTCTCTTAGAGACAAGAAGAGGTGGTCGGTGAGTTTGACGCCGGACTCTCAATGCAGCTAGCCACTTCCCTGCAGAGCATGAGCAATGAATTGTGTTCGAAAATCCATGTATTTTATCAATAAACCAGCCCTCTCTTTATTTGAGTTTCAATTGAAAGGCTCTTTCCAGGTCCGAACCAGTCAGATCACCCTTGGTAGTAACAACATCTCAAAAAAAAAAAAAAAAAGTACTCTTTGAACGGATTCAGATACACTTATAGTTCGTGGAGAGCTGCCAGATCGGCCTTGGTCGCCGCATTATCATCAGCAATATGGGTAGGCAGCATAACGAATCTCATCGAGCTCACATTCACAATGTGACCGTGATTCGACTTGACTATGTGCGGATTGAACTCCTTAATCAGCAAGAATGGCGCCAGCAGGATCGTGTTGATCGTCAGCTCCACGTCCGCATACGTCCCCTCCATGACGGCGAGACCGCGGCCCAGCACCAAGACCGTCATATCCCCGACCTCAGAGCGGATGCGCTGGTACAAGGACCTAATTTTGCTCCTGTCGCTATTGTCGCACTGGTAATTAGGCAACTTTGTCCCCGGCGCCAGCTGCCACGCCATCGGGACGCAGTTCATCACGACGACAATCTCTTCAGTCACCGTCGTTCAACTGCTCGTGGATCCAGAGGGCCAGGCCGGCGGCCGCGAGAACGCATGAGGCGAATTGGAGTTGGGTGAGGATCAAGGGGACGCCACGTGAGGTGAAGGCGGCTGGGTCCAGTCCTCGTTGCTGCTGCTGCTCCGGCGGCAACGAGTCCGGGGTTGAGGATGGTCCCATGGAGAAAGACGGCCACCGAGTCAATTGTCAAGTGCTTTGAATAGAGTGTGCATGATTTTGGTGGTCAACGGGATTTGGGAAGAGAGAAGTAGGCGAAGGGGAATTTGTGTAGGTTTGATTCTCGACCCTGGGCCACCTGGACCCCAAAATGCAGCAGGTTGTGGACCAATATCTACAAGACACCCGTCTCTACCGCCTCCGCTCCCGCCCAGCCGTCCCCGATGCGGCGATAGGTGAATACCGGATCCCACGTCGGGTTCATTCCGAGCGCCCCCTGTAGAGCTTTGATACAACGACATTGGAGCTGTCCCGTTAACAGTCCGTCATCTACAGAGCCAAGAGAACCAGCCGGGGGCGCGGAAATAAAACCAAACCCCCCATATTTTGGTCCGAGTCTATATTCCATGTCGGTACGCCACGGAATCCGTCAGTGCAACGTCTATTCACTTCAAGCCTTCGATACCTGGGCCCGCTCCTGCTTCAATTTTCTAAGGCCGTCAGCCACTTGACAATTCCGCAAAGTCGCTTGAGTGGTTAGCAGCTACTCTACTCACCTCAATCGGCACTCGGCTCCAGCTTTCGGAACAGCAACCATGGCTCAGGCACAACCCGCTCTCCGACCTCTCGAGAGGATAGGTCTCGTCTTCCTGTGCTCTTGGGTGCGTCCGGAGACATCAACAAGCTCCAAGTCAATGCGTGATTGAAAACTCTCCAAAACGAATAAGCCTTCTCCACGTTTGCTCAATCGTAGCTCTTGGACTGCCGCACGCCATCCGCCGCGGGATCCCGCTGGAATTCTGGCTCCTTGCCGCAACCTACCGCGAGCCGCGCGAGATCCTCCAACACCTCGTCACCCAGACACTGGAAGTCTACTCGGCCTGGGTCGCAAAGCCAAAGACCAAGGAGTCGCAGAACGGGACAGACAGCGGCAGCATCACCGCCCTCAGCTGCCTGCGCCAGGATGTCGAACCTCTTGCCACCCCTGCTGGTACCGACAACAGTGATGCCACCACGAGTAGCGGAAGCATCTTGTGGCTCGGCAACCGCAGAAAAACCTCCGAATTCGTTCTCTTCTTCCATAGCGGCGGGGACATTGCCCCGCTGAACCAGGGCCACCTCACCTGGTGCTGAAAGTGCTACGTCAACGGCGGGCCCGGCGCCCGCGCCGGCACGGGCGAGGAGTAGGAAGAGATCGAACCACCTCCTGCGATACGCCGTCGCGCCGGAGAACCTCGTCATCGGTGGCGATTCGGCCGGCGAGAACCTCACGGCCCAGGCCCTTTGCCGCCTCCTCCGCCCCCACATAGATGTCGAACCCGCCCGGCTGGCCAAGCACCTCACCGGCACGTTCCTCGTGTCCACCTTTCCTCTCGCTCCAGACAGATGCCATGTCTTCCGGGATAATCATCGGGTCGATATGCCCTCGGCGACCACCTCTTCTCCCACAATCATGCGCAGGAGCAGGCCGCGAAGCCGCTCAAGCCGCTGGCGCGGGACGGCGATATCGAGTGGATCGGGGAGATTGGCAATATCAGCAAGTCGTTGTATATGACGGTTGGCGCGTAGTGTTTTGCGACGGTGCGCGGGTCTTTGCGGAGGCGGTGGGGAGACGGAATCCCGGGCTAGACGTCCAACTTGAGTTGGCTGCGAGCGAGGTTTACGATGCAATCCTGATCGAGTCGGAGTTTGGGTTGATCGAGGACGCATCTCAGAGAATGACGAATTAAGCATCGGGATGTCTTTGTCGATTTTCTGTAGATGAAATGCACTTGATACCACCGTAATTGCCAACTGTGAGATATGAATTGCTCGTCGGTGTTTCGTCATGCTCGTTTCTCTTATGCCACGTTCTCCATCAAGTGCCTTCGTGCCAAGAAGCTGGTCGATCCCGTCTGTGGCTCAGAAGCCCTTGGGAGGCAAGCACCCAGGTCGATGATGATGCAGTCGATGATAATCTCAACAATCTGACAATCATTGTCTCCTTCACCACCCACCTGCTCGCACTCGCGAGCAGTGACCAAATGATACGTTTCCTATCGCACCAGAATCAGTCAAAGTCCCCAATGACTTTAGCTAGAGTTTGACATGCCACAGCGCAACTTTGTCCAGTCACGCCGGGACCATAAACCCAGCCAGTCAAATCCAGGAACTCCCTCCCCAGATGGTAGGGTTATCTCTAACCAAGGTCGTGATGCGCATCTTCAGGGAGTTATGAGAGCAGAGCCGGGCCCAAATCCCCGAAACCGGCATTATGTCCCTTCAAACCTGACAAATAAAACAAACTAACTCCACAACGAGGCCAACCAAAAACCAGAGGAGGGAAGCCAATCTCCAAAAGCTCGTCCAGTCCAGTAGTTAAAAGAAAGAAAGAAAGAAAGAAAGAAAGAAAGGGAGGAGCCTCGCCGATTCGTCGCCCTACCAGACCTCCAAAAAAGCCAAGACTTTGCACGTTCCCCCCCTCTCCCCTCACCACTGGTAAGTTTTCATCATGTAAATATCGCGTAACTACTTTACCCTTTTCTCAAAGAGCCGCGTGCCCAGCAAAGCACGTCACTGCTTCTTCGTCTCGTTCCCGCTCCCGTTCCCGCGGACGCGTCCGCGGGAGGCCCAAAAGGATAAACCGAAACCAACCCCCTCCCCCGTTCCACCCAAATCGAAAATGAGGCTCTTTGGGCCTTGCTTTGACGACATGTTGACTTTTGCCATCTCCAACGGCCCCGGTGAAAGGGGAAGAAGTTGCAATTGTTTAAATCAACGTCGACAACTTGAGGAAGGGGCTCACACGCCCACCTTATACGTAGGTTGTTCAGTACCGTAAGCAGCCAGCCTTTATCTAAGGTTAGGCACCCTATCTTATCGCAAATCAGACCGTTGCACCGGCCACACCCGCTACACCTTTCACCACACACCCAAACGCACGCCAACGTCTCTTGCGCCCGCAACGCCCGCCAAACCACCACGAAAACCCACCTCTTGCGGGCGCAAGATCCAAACTCCCGGGTTTCCCTTCTCGTTGCTCTATCTTGCCCGCATCACTCGCGCACGGGAAGGATCGTTCTTTTCTCTATCTAGGAGATTTTATTTTAGAAATGTACCTAGGGGGACGAACCGTTGCTTCCCGAGATCTGGGGTTTTAGGTAGGGAAAAAAAGTCCCCGTCGAGCGCCCGCGCGATCTTGGGGTGCAGCAGAAGCTTGAACAACCTTGGAGAAGAGCCGCATCGTGGATATGACTTCATATTTCGATATCACGACGACTTCTCTTCCCCTCATACGTATTTACGCACTCCTCGACGTTAGACAATGGGTATGTATGGACCGTTGGCTCTGCCAAGACGTGGGACACCTCCTCCCCCATCCCCATGGCACACACTCTCTTGCTTAACAATTTCCCACTTGGCGCCCTCCTCTCTCGCCCACCTTCTCCTCTGCGGCGCCGGCATCCCCTCTCTCCCCGTCTCTCCCACGTTCTCTCGACCTCTCCCTCCTCCCACTTCTCCCTCTTTCAGCTCGCGTAGCGTCCGTCCTGACTCCCTACCCCAGGCAGCAGATAAGGGGACAAAAGGATACATCGGCATCAAATCTTCGTGTTCCTCACCCCATCCCATCTCCCTCCCCCCCTCTTTCTCTGAGGCGTACTTCCGAATTTCCCCTTCTCCTGCGCGCCCTTTCATCGACGCCCAAAGAACCCCCATGATGCATGCTTGAACAGGGTGGGTATCTTACACTAGCTCGCCCCGACGGCGTGAACGACCCAAAAAGTGGTCTTTTTTGCCAAATGCGCAGACAACTTTTGGGGGTCGCGTCGCCGGTTCGCCCACTCAGAGGCCAATTCCTTATCTCTGAGACCTTCGTCTTGGGTGGGGCTCACTAGCAAGTCCCTCTCCCCTCCCCCCCCGGACGTCGGTAGCGTGGGCAAAAAAACAAGGGGTGCGTCGATAGGGTTACAAGGGAATGCGACGGCTTCGATATCGATGGATTCTAACCCACACCAGCCATGGGGGGTAGTCCTTGACAAGTTGACGATGCCGGCCCATCCAACGATCCCGCACCCGAAAGAGAACAGCGTCAATTCCAGTTCGCTTACGCTGGCTGCAGTACGTACTCTTGATTCTTTCCCTATAGGTCTAATAGAGTACATGGGCAAGTCCGGTGGACGATTGATTAATTGCCTCGATTACCAACCGCAACGGTGTTGTGTACATTCGCTTCGCTCCAATAGTCGCATCCTTTTATTCATATTATCTCTCTCTCTCTGTGGCGCCGATGTCGGCTTACCAGCACCATGCCACGGCGCTGTGTCTGTCAACTTTGAAAAGAAAAAAGAAAATCATAATCCGAAGCTGAGTGGGGTGTTCGAATCAGACAAGACAGACATCCTGTTGGGTGTCCCCCCGTCGCGCATTGAACGCAGAGCATCATCCATACTTTACATTACCTTGAGCCACGAACGGGGGCCGGACGCGTGGCAGCCAACATGGAACGAGTAGACAAACACCAAAGAGCAGGAAATAACGAGCTCGTCCGAGGAACCGTAGCGCAATTATCCGCCGTGCCGCCTAAAAACTCAGTCCCTCGAGTCGCGTGTAAAAAAAAAAAGTCAGAATCCCAAACTCAATCCTCGAGCCAATACCTCCTCTCCTCACTCATTCACCAGACGGGACGAGACGAGACGAGAGGGGGGACCTACAAGACCGCACCGCCTCACCTGCCCACTGACCGAGACTAGGCTGGGTGAGCAGGAAGACCCGGGCGACGGCCTACTCTCTACTGCAGTAGTCGGGTTTGCCAACGAATCAAACATCCCAGAAGCAGAAATAGAGCTTGCGCCAAGGCTGATGGTCGTGTTTCGATCCTTCCCTTCCCCCCCTTCCGCAACCTTCCTGACATTCCACAAACTTGTGACACCGCAACTATCTAGTCCGCCAAGCACGTACAGACATGGTGCGCTGGTTTTCCCTGGTCATCATTTCCGGTTGTACTGGAGGATGAGACATTCGGTAACACCGCATGCATCCTCATCGTAATACCCCTCCTATTCACTTTGCACAACTCTCTCGATGCTCGCATCCCATCACGCGTTCAAAAAAAAAAAAAATTCACCCAATTATCTCGTTTTAGGTTTCAAAATAATAGCAAAGTCGCTTTTATTTGGCGTCTCATCATACCATGGGGTATTTATACAACAAAAAGTCTGTTTCCTCCGCATTTTGCGGGATATCCTTCCAACAGCAGAGTAAATCGCTTTAGATCAATCCCATCCTGTAAATAACGCCTCGCTTTTTGGGTCCAGATGGCACCCGAAACTTCAAATCATAGTGACCAACTCCAAGTGGCACGGCCCCCTTAAACTGAGGGAGCCTTCTCGCTCCTAACCTCGCCTGTAGGCGTCACAGGCTTGGGCTCATCTGATCCGCTGCTTGCTCCGTTGTTGGCCATGTGCTGGTGCTCTTCAATTCCGTGCTGAGGAATGAATTTTCCCTCTCCGGCGGGTTCCGCCTGGTGAGGGGTCCAGGCAAGGAAATCGCGGCGGACTTCGACGTAGTCGTACGAGAATTCTCCGTGCTGGTCGTCATCCATACCCAGGAGCTCAGCCTCCTCGGATGCTCGCAGCTTCAGGCCAGGGATCATGTCGATAATCTTGGCGAGGATGGCGGACATGACAAAAGTGTAGGCGCAGCAGGCGACGATGTAGGCGATTTGGATGTACATGAGCTTATAATTGCCGTCCACCCAGCCGCCAGATACTCCAATATTGACACCGTCGAGACCAATTATCGAGCTCGAGGCAAAGAAGGCGTTGAAGATCAGACCAACAATTCCACCGATACCGTGCTCGGCGAAGACGTCGAGAGAGTCGTCAATCTTGAGGAGGAATTTGACTAGAGGCGGTTACGTTAGCAGTGATCGCTCAGACTTAACAAGTATATGCTTACTCTTGGTGCCGAAGTTGCAAGCAACACCGGCAACAACTCCGAGGATGATGGAGGCCCAGGGAGTGATAACACCGGAAGCAGGGGTGGCGGCGACGAGGCCAGAGATGGTGCCGGAGCACCAGCCGACGAGAGACCACTTCTTGGCCAGGCGGAAATCGAGCAAGCACCAGGTCATGGCGGCGAACATGGCGGTCAAGCAGGAGTTCCAGCAAGCCATCGCAGCGCGGAGGTTGGCGCCAAAAGCGGAACCACCGTTGAAGCCCAACCAGCCGAACCAGAGGAGGATAGTGCCGAGAGTGATGAGGGAGATGTTATGGGGGCGGAAGTTGAGCATCATTCTCTCGTTGCGACGGCCGAGGACCCACGAGTAGGCGAGAGCCGACATGCCGGATCCGATTTCGACGGGGCCGCCTCCGGCATAGTCGAGAACACCGTACTTGAAAGCCCAGCCGTTGGCATTCCAAGCCCAGCAGGCGACGGGAGCGTAGACGAGGGTGGCCCAGAAAAAGATGAAGACCATGCAGGGTATGACTCGGCCACGCTCGGCGGTGGCACCAGCCGTGAGGGCGGCAGTGACGGCGCAGAACATCATCTGGTAGAAGGAGTAGAGAAGAGCGG